GGTTTATACGCAGCGCAACTCCATAGTCGCAGAAGACGTGGCCATCCCCATGACCGATGTTCCATCGCCTCAGACTGAAGCTCGCGAAGATTGGCCGATGGTGAACAACGAAAACAAGTTCTTGTCTCCGAATAGCGCAGCTCGACAGAGCACCGTGGAGCCTACGCCAGACAAGAGACATGGAACCGTCCTGGATATGTCCAAGCAGACACCCGGCAAGGCTCGATTTAAGCGGGAGCAGTGGAAAAGTCTCCAAGTTGGCGACTTTGTTCGGTTGTACAACGAAGATCCCATTCCAGCCGATATCGTGATTCTGTCCACTTCTGACCCAGATGGCGCCTGTTATATCGAAACAAAAGGCCTGGATGGAGAGACCAACTTGAAGGTTCGCCAGGCTCTCCACTGTGGCCGTCAAATCCGACACGCCAGAGACTGCGAAAAGGCCGAATTTGTGATTGAAAGTGAGGCCCCACATGCCAATCTGTACACCTACAATGGAGCTGTTCGTTGGGACCAGCGCGATCCGCGTTTCCCTGAAGCTCCACGGAAGGAGATGGTTGAACCCATCTCTATCAACAACATCTTGCTCCGTGGTTGCACCTTGAAGAGTACCGAATGGGTCCTAGGTGTTGTTCTCTTCACCGGCGGAGAGAGCAAGATTATGCTCAATTCCGGTGCGACTCCGGCCAAACGACCTCGTATGGCCAAGGATCTCAATTGGAACGTCATTTACAACTTTTTCATCCTATTCCTCATGTGTCTTGTCGCAGGTATTGTGAATGGAATTGCATGGGCCGCGCCAAACAAGTCTCTAGACTACTTTGATCTTGAGTCCTATGGAGGCACACCCCCTGTCACTGGTATTGTCACTTTCTGGACCGCTGTCATCCTGTTCCAGAACTTAGTTCCCATTTCGCTTTACATTTCTCTTGAAATTGTTCGGACCATCCAAGCGGTTTTCATCCACAGTGATCTGTTCATGTACTACGAGAGACTGGGGCTGTATTGTGTGCCCAAGTCTTGGAACATCTCGGACGATGTCGGTCAGGTCGAGTACATCTTTTCTGACAAGACTGGTACCTTGACTCAAAATGTGATGGAGTTCAAGAAATGTACGGTTAATGGTGTGGCATATGGAGAGGCCTACACAGAAGCTCAGATCGGTATGCGACGTCGCGAGGGAGCTGATGCTGACGCAGAGGCCGCAGTGGCTCGGAAACAAATTGCTGCGGATGGGGAGCGAATGCTGGGTCTCTTGCGTGGCATCCACGACAACCCATACTTGCACGACGACCAGCTGACGTTTATTGCCCCGAAATTCGTGTCCGACTTGGCAGGACAATCCGGAGACCGACAGAAGTACTGTACAGAGGACTTCATGCTGGCTCTTGCCTTGTGTCATACCGTTATTACTGAGCATACCCCCGGCGATCCCCCTCAAATTGAGTTCAAGGCCCAGTCTCCCGATGAGGCAGCCTTGGTCAGCACTGCCCGAGATTGTGGATTCACCGTTCTGGGCCGAGCCGGTGACGATCTTCTCGTGAATGTCATGGGCGAGGAACGCACATACAGAGTTTTGAACACCCTTGAATTCAACTCATCCAGAAAACGAATGAGTGCAATCATCCGAATGCCCGATGGCACTATTCGCCTGTTCTGCAAGGGTGCGGACAGTATCATTTACTCTCGTCTAGCCCGTGGCAAACAACAGGAGCTTCGTCGACAAACCGCAGAGCATCTAGAAGAGTTTGCCAGAGAGGGACTCCGGACGTTGTGTGTTGCCCACCGAGTGCTTAGCGAGGATGAATACTACACATGGGCTAGGGAACACGATATCGCTGCCGCTTCGATCACAGAACGCGAAGAGAAGCTAGAGAAGGTTTCCAGTGAGATTGAACAGGAGCTCATGCTTATTGGCGGAACTGCCATTGAGGACAGACTCCAGGATGGCGTGCCTGATACAATCCAGCTTCTTGCGGACGCTGGTATCAAACTCTGGGTCTTGACCGGTGACAAGGTTGAAACTGCCATCAACATTGGGTTTTCTTGCAACCTCCTTAATAACAACATGGAGCTGATTGTGCTGAACATTGCCGAGGCCGAATACCAGCAGGCCTCTGACGAACTCGACAAGCATTTGGCAACTTTCGGGTTGACCGGTTCTGATGAGGAACTTCTTGCTGCTCGTACTGATCATACACCGCCTGAGCCTACGCATGCCGTGGTCGTTGATGGTGAAACTCTCAAGCTGATGCTCTCCGATGACTTGAAGCAAAAATTCCTTTTGCTTTGCAAGCAGTGCAAGGCCGTTCTCTGCTGTCGTGTCAGTCCCGCACAGAAAGCCGCTGTCGTGAGCATGGTCAAGAATGGCCTGAATATTATGGCTCTTTCCGTTGGTGATGGTGCCAACGATGTGGCTATGATTCAAGAGGCCGACGTCGGTGTCGGTATTGCTGGTGAAGAAGGTAGACAAGCTGTCATGTCTTCTGATTATGCCATTGGCCAGTTCCGGTACCTCCAGCGCCTTCTTTTGGTTCATGGGAGATGGTCTTACCGTCGCCTCGGAGAATGCACAGCCAACTTCTTTTACAAGGTATGTGGCTTTGGTACCAAATATCATTTTGTATTATCACTGACTTGTCCCAGAATCTTGTGTGGACGTTCGCTCTGTTTTGGTACTGTATCTATAACGACTTCGATTGCTCCTATCTCTTCGACTATACCTACATTATCTTAGTCAACCTCGCCTTCACTTCATTGCCCGTGATCTTCATGGGTATCTTCGATCAGGACGTCGACGATAAGGTGTCTCTTGCCGTCCCTCAATTGTACATGAGAGGTATCGAGCGTAAGGAATGGTCGCAACTCAAATTCTGGTATTCACATCCTACCCTGAACTCTTGTGGTTTTTAAAACATACTAACTTGAATAGGTTGTACATGTCCGATGGCATGTACCAGTCAATTATCTGCTTCTTCATGCCTTACCTCCTATATGCGCCCGCAAACTTCGTTACTGACTCGGGACGGAATATCAACGACCGAGCCCGTATGGGAGTCCTTGTCGCGACCTGTGCCGTGCTTGCTAGCAATCTCTACATTATGATGAATACCTACCGGTGGGATTGGTTCACTGCTCTGATCAACGCCATCAGTAGTCTTCTCATCTTCTTGTGGACCGGCATTTACACCTCTTTCACTTCTTCTGGTCAATTCTTCCATGCCGCTTCTGAGGTTTATGGATCATTGAGTTATTGGATCATCCTTCTGCTGACTGTCGTGATTTGCTTGCTTCCGCGTTTCACGTACAACTCCATTCAGAAAGTGTTCTTCCCGCTTGATGTCGATATTGTCCGCGAGCAAGTGACTCAGGGCAAATTTAAGTATCTGGATGCCATAGAAGATCCCCCAATGCCCCCCAAAGTGGGCGACCCGAAGACCGTGACTCCCAGTGATGAATCAGCCGCCTCTTCGGAAATAGTGAAACCAGTGCAGCCCGTCATGAAGCAGGACACCCACATCATTGATGAGGAGCGGCCTTTTTATGCTGCATCCGTGGCCCAAACTGCAAACACCCACAACCCCCGCAGTCAAAATGGCAGTAACGGCACCAACTACTCCGCCAGTCTTGACCAGTATCCGCGACCACAGTCCGTCGACTATGTTCGCCGATCTCATGACCGGACACGTCATTCGTTTGACCGGAGTCGACCAAGCTTCGAGCAAAGCAATGACTTCACCTCCGTTGCCATGCTCTCTCGAGTGGAATCGTCGCAAAGCCAACCTCGTCAACATGAAGACCCGTTCCGGACTCCTGACGATCCTCCTGTACATAATGTGATATAGAGGAGCGCATCTTGCGCTGCATTGAGCCTGACGACCCGTCACTGATGACTTTACCCCGATCAGACCTTTTGGTTTGTTCCTTGTGATTTGCCCTCGCCATTCGTATTTTGACGAGCAATATGCTGTGGTGTTTTTATTTTTGAGAGCCTTTTATATTCCCTGATAGAGAGCTGGCGTTCTGGTTTACCCCTTTACTCGGTCGGATGCTTAGCGCGATCTTCGTTTTTACCCCCTTCACTCTTACCCTTTCCTCGTTACTCACTGCCTTCAACGCTTTCCTTTTATTGTTCTGATGCATGCTCTATACTAAGCCTGTCTGGTCTATGTTTTCCTTGTACAAAAGCGTTTCTGTCCCTGCAAAATGCATGACACCCGCGATTGAAGGTTTTCTATTGTCTGTTTTCCATCTGAATGTTATATCTTGTTGGGTGATCTTGTTGCTCTTGCTTTTGTTTCTTGTTCATTTGTTTTGTTAATTTTCTTGATCAAAGATGGCAAGCCGGCATAAGGGATCGCATTCATGTATTCTATTCAATGCCCTCAGTGAGCAAATTACTTAATGTGGCCATTTAATATTACTATTGCACAGCTCTGAGTTCTTCAAGTAACTTCTCAAGAAAATCTACTCCACATTGTAGTCTTATAGCGTATCGGTATCATGCCTTTTTAAGTAGTTTCCTAGTTGGGTAAAATAGAGCGCGTCTACGCGTTCCGAGGAGCCTCACCGCCTAGAAGATCTGCCAATGGCACTTTAGCATCCCGCGTTTGCTCTGGGGATTTTTGTTCGCCATCTTGTTCTCGCTTGCTTTTGCTAGAAAGAAAGTCTCGTTCTTTGAGGCAGAAGGTCTGGATCTTATCGCCAATCCATCATATCCTCCTCCGCCAAAGTATCACCGAATCGTGGTCAAATACGGCACTCTGTTGCGAGGCCACTCCTCGCTACTATCAACATTACTCTGTCCTTCGCTTGAGCTTCCTATCACATCATTTGACTCTCTCTTCAGCAGTTCAGTCAAAACTCGTGGAATCACTTTGAAATCAGTGTTACCTCTCGGCAAAACGATGCGCTAACTGCTCTACCTATGGGATGAAGGAAATGCACCGCACTCTGTCATTTCAACACAACAACCTTCACAATTCGAGACTACAATCGCCATGGAGTTTCTAGCTGCGATTAGGTATGCCTCAGAAAAACGTCCCAAGGCACATGAGCTGGAACTAACCAGATTGTGTGTTGTACAGAGAACTCAAGGCCCTCCCGGAGGCCACCCATCTCTTCTGCCCCCGGAAAAACGACGACGATCATGGACGCTATGAAGATTTAGAACAAGTGGACGAAGATGGGAAGGCCATCAGAGATATTGTTGCCGAAGCAAAGAGTCGAAGAGAGAGTTTTCTCTCGTCCATGCGCATCCTCGCATACCATAAGGATGGCGTGGAGGACGATCAGAAGTGGATCCTGAGCAAACTAGACGAATCGCTGGAGAAATGTGATCTATGCATCAAGCATTATTATATCGGCAAGATCTGGCTTGTGGACCTGCTGAAGGAGGAGAACTATCATGAAGATGATATTGAGGCATTTGCCCAGAGAATCGATGAGTGGGATGTTCAGCGAATCACCCGCAACTTGACAACTGCTACAACGCAGTTGAGGCAAATCCCACTGGAGAAAATTAGCTTGGGTGTCTTAGACAGGGCTGCGTTGCTGTCAATCTTCGAGACACTGAGTTGTGAAGCCATGCTGCGCAACGACAGTCTCCTGCAGGAATATTTTGATGAGCCGTTCAAGCTCATTCAATCAAGACGAAGCTTGAAAGTTTCAGATTACATTCCTGCGGTCACTCGCTTTCTTTTTGATTCCAGTCAACTCCGAAGCTACTGGGCCATTCAGTCATGGACACGATACGCGCGGCCTCCTACTACCGAAGAATTTGAATGGGCGGTTCGCGATGGCCTGTTGGTGGGCCTAAAAGCTGCGTCACAGCAGCCACCACAATTTGCAGTCATTCAGAGGTTGTGGCGCGGTATGCACCTTGTTGTCCGAAGGTTGGACAAGGAGCAGATTACACATCAGCTTCGAGGATTGGAAATAGACCCTTGCCGTCTCTCTGTGGATCATCTCTCCATACCTTCATCTAGCTTGCGATTCCTTCTCAACACCATCCAACTATTCCTTGAGAAAGCCCCGGTTGACTTTTGGGATGCTATGCAAACCATTTCTCCCCAAGCAATCATGGAACAGACATTTTACAACACACAATTTAACGCCTACCTACTAGAGACCTCCGAGGGTGAGCCTTTTGAGAAGTCAGCATTAAAAGACATGCTCTCCTGGATCAATCCCTTCCTCGGCTCACTGAAAGGTGCCCACCAGCCGTCTGCCTGTCGTTTCTTGGCATTGCAATTACTTGGCCGCCTTCAGGATAATCAATACCCCAATCTGTCACGCTATCATTGCTTTGATATTGGCTTGAGCAGCCTACTCCAAACGCTACGCCGCTTCACAGAAAATGAGTCTTCCCGCGGTACAGTTACTCGGATCGTGTTGGCAGAGACAATGGGTGTAGTTGGTGATACCATCAGTGTAATCATAAAACCCCCGACTTTCGATATTGAGCAAAGTCGGCAGGAGAATATTCGCGCGCAGTGTATGGAAGTTGTACGCAACACCTTGGCATTGGAGTGCCAGTCATTGAAGACCGATTACGAGGCGCTTCTGAGGGACGGTACCCTCTCGCACGGAGTATCTACCTACTCTGCGCCCATCTGGGATGCTGTCATCAAGAACCTCCACCGGGATAACCTGCCGTTGTCAAGTTCGGCCCTGCTAGGAATCTTGCCCCTGGTAGGGTTGGAGATGTTTCCGACGAAAGGAGAAGGGAACAAGGAGAAGACCCACTTCAACATGATCTATGGCCATCTCACCAACCTCTCATGTCGAATCATCGAACGTCTCGCAGAATTCCCGCCCGATCATCTTGACCCATTGTTTCGAAGTCAGGATACTAGCAGCGCTGTGATTTCGGCTCTGTTTGCCGCTGACTATGACACCTACACAGCTGCGGTCGACCTCATCAAGGCCGTCAGTGGCCAGTCAGCTCGACGAGATGCCATTTCTCATATGCTTCAAACTTCGTTCACAACTACGATGTACGGCCTCAGCTGGTCATTCCGTCGGATCTCTAACATGAAGACTTTTGCGCCGGCTCCAAGGATGCTATACACTGGTACAGATATCGTAGAGATATTATGTGATAGTCAGACTGGTATGCTGCGAACTCGTAATCTTGCTGATCGGCGAGAGGTCATGTCGTTGCAGAAGCTTTGGGAATATCTGTGGCTGGCATTGACTACAATCTTTGATGAGACCGAGGCATGGCATCTTCGGGGTAATGACAAGTCTGTCATGCTCGAATTTTGCCGTGACACGATCCAGTTCGCCGACCTTCTTTTTGATCAGTATGGTGTGTTTTTGGGGGCTGTAGGAAACGCGGATCCGGGGCAGACATCTGCGTCGGAAAATTTCCTCAAGTCACCAACTGCTACAATGAGTGCTATGGTAAAATGGCTTAGATTGAAGGATGAATTTCTGGCAACTACACTCGTAGGGTTGGTGGCAAAGCTTCTGCGCCGATTAGGTGGGATGAATGTGACCACGGTGAAACCAGATGCATTGAGCTTTATTGAGGGGGTTGCTGTCAATGGGACAATCAAAACAATACTCAATCAACGTGAAAAGGCTGAATTAGTCCGCTCATTGGAGGCGTACTACAAAAAGCCAGTCGTCACTGCCTCAACTGCTTCTCTCAAGAAACAATCTTCGATCACCGCTTTTGTCAAACCATCTGATATCTCGAGCCCCTCCTCACGCGTCACCAGCGACGACGAATTTGATGATGATAATTTGACCGATCAAACTCTACTTGAACTGTCTTCTTCTGTCGAATTCAACAAAGCTCGCCTCGCAACCCAAGCCAAACGGGAAGCTGAAAAGGCCGCCAAAATGCGGTCTCGGTCTTCTACAGCTGTGAAGCCGCGTCCTGAGATGTACGCTCCAGGCATGTTTCCCCGGCCAGTCCCCCCTGTTCGAGATGCTACCAACGTTCTATCTTTCCGTGAGAAGCGCGAACGGGAAAGGGAAGCCAAGAAGAAGCGTGATCAGATTGAGCTCGCTAGACTCAAGAGGAACATGCCCGCGTATGGCGTTGGTGAACAGACAGCTGAACAAGGCTCTGGCCTGAAAGGTATCGGTATCAAGGGTAAAGATCATACAGCCCCCGCAGATTCCATGATGGTTTCCTCTGGAGACGAGTCTAATTCGGAGAGTGAAGATGAATTAGACAAGGAACTCTTTGGTGCTAAACCGAAGAAACCTGACGCTGTCGCGGCCTACGAGTTGAGCAAGAAACAATCCCTTCAACAGCAACCCGTCAAGAAAATCAAGCGCCACCGATCTGTCAGGGACATGCGTGCTCGCCTGGCTCCAGATCTCGGTTCTCTCCACCACTCGATCCTCTCCTGGGACTTTTTCGCAACTGGCGATTCTCCTCCTACCTCGGACCGAACGGATTATTCCCTGGTCTCAAACACTTTCCGCACCCCTGATGACTATCAGAGTACATTCGAACCTTTGTTGATCCTTGAGGCGTGGCAAGGTTTCCAACAGGCGAAGGACGAAGGTTCTTTCCGACCCTTCCAAGTCAAAGTCATGACCCGATTGGCTGTCGACTCGTGGATCGAATTCAGCACCCAGCCGCTTGGTGTTCTTCCCAAGGATTTCAGCATGGGTGAAGGCGATTTGGTCTTGTTCTCCAGCTCGTCCAACCTCACAAACGACCCAACTCTACCCCACGTTCTTGCGCGTGTCTGTGGTGTCAATCGGAAGAATAAAAAGATGGAGGTCACATATCGGGTCAATCCTGGCAGCAACAAGTTCCTGACTTCTTTCGGCCCGGGAACTGAGGCATGGGGCGCCAAGATTACCTCTCTGACCCCAGTGGAGCGTGAATATGGTGCCCTGATGGCGTTGCAGTACTATGATCTTTGTGAAGAGATTGTCTTGGCTAAGCCTTCACCTCTTCTCACTTATTCGGACGCAAGACTTCAGCCCATCATGGACAACTACTCCATCAATCGTGCTCAGGCAAGAGCCATCAAGTCAGCTGTTGACAATGACGCCTTCACTCTCATTCAAGGTCCTCCTGGTTCCGGAAAGACCAAGACCATCATTGCACTTGTCGGAAGTCTCCTCAGCGACGTGCTTGGGAAACAGTTGATCAAAGTTAATGGTTCCCTTGCCCCTTCTGCGAGAAATGCCGTTTCCAAGAAACTTCTCCTCTGTGCGCCTAGCAATGCCGCTGTCGACGAGTTAGTCATGCGATTGAAGGAAGGTGTGAGAACGACTAATGGTCGGCAAGAAAAGGTCTCTGTCCTTCGTCTAGGAAGAAGCGACGCGATGAACACCAAGGTGTTGGACGTTACCCTCGACGAGATGGTCAATACCCGTCTGAACCAGGATCCCAGCAAAGGAAATGGTGTCGACTTGCAAAAGCTCTATGAAGAGCATAAGACGACTGATACAGCATTCAAAGAGCTTCGTGGGCAGCTCGATGAGGCACGAGCCAAGGGACTGCCTCCTCCGGAAGAGCTGGAGCGCGAGTTTGACTTGATGAAAAAGAAGCGGTCTCAACTGAGCACATCCATTGATAAGGCCCGGGATCAGAACCATACGCTGGCCCGCAATGCTGATATGCATAAACGCCGGATCCAAGAACAAATCATCAATGAATCCCATGTCATTTGCACCACTCTCAGTGGTTCTGGACATGAAATTTTCCAGGGCATGAATGTTGAGTTTGAGACTGTCATCATTGATGAGGCTGCACAGTGTATTGAACTCAGTGCTCTCATCCCACTGAAGTACGGCTGCTCGAAGTGTGTTCTTGTCGGTGATCCCAAACAGTTGCCTCCAACTGTTCTGTCAAAGATGGCCTCCAAGTTCCAATACGAACAGAGTTTGTTCGTTCGCATGCAGAAGAATCACCCTCAAGACGTGCACTTGCTGGATGTCCAGTACCGTATGCATCCAGCCATCAGTCACTTCCCCAGTGTGACGTTCTATGACGGCAAGTTGCAGGATGGACCGGACATGGCCAAGCTTCGCCAGCGTCCCTGGCATCAAAGCGATCTTCTCAGTCCTTACCGATTTTTCGACGTTCAGGGCATGCACTCATCTGCAGCCAGAGGCCATTCCTTGGTCAACTACGCGGAATTACAAGTGGCCATGCAACTGTATGATCGTTTGATCACAGATGTCAAGGACTACGACTTTGCGGGCAAGATTGGAATCATCACACCTTACAAGGGCCAACTGAGAGAGCTCAAGAACCACTTTACCCAACGATATGGCGAAGAAATTCTGAAGAAGGTGGATTTCAATACGACTGATGCTTTCCAAGGTAGAGAAAGTGAAGTCATTATCTTCTCCTGTGTGCGAGCATCCAACAAGGGTATTGGTTTCTTGGCTGATATCCGCCGTATGAACGTCGGTCTCACTCGTGCCAAGTCGTCGCTCTGGGTCTTGGGTAACTCTCAGTCCCTGGAACAGGGTCAGTTCTGGAATAGGCTCATCAAGAACGCACGGGAGCGAAATGTTTACACGGAGGGTAATATTGTGAAAATCCTGGAGAAGCCGCAATTCACTGGTTACAAGGAGGTTGAAATGATCGACATTGATGCCGAAAAAGCCCCAGACTCTCCCGAGTATGAACCCCCTGCCCCACCAATTTCCAGACCTTCATCGGTCTCTATTGACATTGATTCGCGCTCCGTCTCCGTGTCTGCCTCTGGGCGCGGTACACCTGCAATTCCACGACCTGATGGACCTTCTGGGGGAGGCAAAGGCTTAGACCCAACGAAAGTATGTGGGATCTGTGGAAGCGCCAACCATTTCACCTACAACTGCGACAACGACGAGGCAAAGGACAATGCTCGAGGAACATGTTTCCGCTGCGGTCGTCCTGGGCATTCCAGGATTTCCTGTCGTGCTGAACGATGCGGTGAATGCGGCGAGTGTGGGCATTCATCCCACAACTGCAAATCTACCAAAGCTATTACAAAGTTCGAGAAAACCCGCATTGAGAGGGAAGAGTTTAACCTCAAGCGACGTCAAGATTCATTCATTGAGCGCCAACGAGAGCGTCAACTGGGAGGACACAATCCCAAAATTCCTGTTGTTCAAGCCACAACTTCAACCCCACCAATGAAGTCTGTTGATAATTCTGTGAAGAGAAAGCGTGAGGAATCTGCCTCTGATGGACCGCAAGCGCAGCGTCCTCGTACCGGACAGCCAAATCCCCCTGCTCGTGGTTCGAATGTCTCAAGAGTCAGTGGTCACCCGGGTCTTTCTGGTCCCCCTCGCGACAACAAAGTATCCAATGCTGGCAATGGTTACAAGGGCCCGCCACCCAGCGGCCCACCAGGAGTGAGTTTTGCCGCTTACTGGATCAAATAACTAGCGTTCATCTATGCTGATAACTTCTTAGGGTCTCATCAAGCCTTCCCGCGATGGTCAGGCGTATCCGACTGAGAACGACCCAACAAGGGCTCTGCCGACAGGACCAGGAGCAGAAGTAAGAGCCATATCCTTGGCTGGCCGCTCTTATTGATCACTCGTACTAATATCCTATCAATCTAGGCTTCCAACCAAGGTCCTCCTAAACCCCGACCTCCGATGATTCGTAGAAAGAAGGACACAGATCCTTTCATCCGACCTAAGAAACGCAAGTAAGCGTTGCAACGTCAATTCAGCTGTATTTGTTAGCATCCACATGATATTATGTCATGTATGTCATGTACTTCAACCAATAGTCTCAACTATCGATGATGAATATCATCTTGACATGTAACATGGAAGGTTCCCTGGTCTTTTTAGCGCTACAATATTATCCATATTCGGGTCCTTTCACCACTCTACCGTCCCATCAAGTCTTCCTCTTGACGTACCTTGAGAAAGGGATACCTCTTTGTCATATATGGAAATACATCCAGATCTTGCGAACTATCGTAGTAACGCGCTGACCCTCTGCTAGCTTGACCAGCCATTGCTACATAGATGACGTGTAACATTCCATGCGAAAGGGCATAGGGCTAGCAAAACCGCGAGAAAGTGTCTGACTATGTACATAGGGACTGTATTGATATCTTTTTCAGTGTCATTTTTCTATCTTAGTGTTAGAGCTTGAATGGTTATATCTTTTCTAATATTTCTGGCACCTTGTATAGCATCTTTTGAAGTATCTTTTGGTGTGTCTTTTGGAGTGTATCTTGGAGTGTCCTTATTGATGTCTTTGTCAGTGTCTTTTTTCTATTTTTGCGTTTTCTATCTTTTCTACGTCGTGATATCTTTTATAGTATCTTTTTAGACACATAGCGACGGACCCACCTACATCGACATCAGTCCCCCAGCAAAGCACCCCTCGGCAGGCGTCTGTTCCACCATCATGACCTCCATACCCGCCGCAGACAGATACACTAGACCAGGACTAGGACCCTGGCACTATACAAGCCTTTGGAAATCTAGCTCGACTGGATACCACCATCACCCCCCAAGCAACAGAAACCACTATCAAGGGAACGACCCCCAGCAACCCACCAGCGGAAATCGCTGATGAGTCTCATTGATCATCTCGTCGGTATATATTGAAGGCTCTACCTTCAGGTCTGACTTTCCAAGTTTGCTCCTTCCTCGATTGATATCTTTTCCCTTCTCTTCCTCTCTCCCCAGCAGCTTTGCTCAGTCGATGGGGTTTCTTCCATTTTGTCCCCATCGATATCCTAGTTGACATTGTTGAATGCGCAGAGGTGAAGGTGACCTTGATGCCAGACTTCTGGATCCCACAAGCCCTTAACATTGAAACCGATATACGACATCTCCATATTCAGCTGATTTGATATATGTTAAATCTTCACTACCAATACGGGTTTCCTACCAATTATGTTGAGACCGTTTTCCTTCGGCAAGTGTACGATGGTACAGGCACATTCCTCTCAACTGTCACTGTCAAAGTGAACTACCAATTAAGTGCGTCGAGCCAAGCAACTTCTGGATTTCCAAGGACAAAATTCGCGATCCTAGTACAGAGGTTTGCAGGCAGTCCAATACAAAATAAGAAGAAAAATCCTCTTATTACCACGTAATGTAGAGTTTCTAGCCACTGCATCAAAGAAGCCAAGAAAGTAGATATTTATTTACTATACTAAGCGAAAGGAAAACTCGAAAATTCCGAAAAATTCCAAAAATTAAGAGTTTGGGTAAAGTGGGTTGTGAATCTGATGGCTGGTCTTTTTTTCCGGTTAGATTTTCCATAGTTTCAATAATTCACCTCCATTCTCGCACTCCACTAGCCATATACATCCCACCTAGACATCTGCTTATCTAGGCCTTGCTTTGCTTATTCTATCTTCTCACATTAGAATGTCTAGTTGTTTAGAACCGATGTCATATTGGCCAAGAATAGCCAGCTGTACTTGGAATCGGAGACTGTTAAAGCCTGCTTTGGAAATACTCCGCCACCACCAGCTTTCACGAGAGACTTGGAACTCCCGGTATTCCCGAAGAGTGGACCCCAGTGCAGTATTTGACAGGCGAACGAGTAGCACTAAAAGACAAAGACATTATTGCGAACTGCTATACAAAGCCAGTATTCCGTCGACAACCAGTTTCATAGCTCGATTCGTTTCTATTCACGGATTACAGAACCTCAAGTACTATATGCTTGATCCTCAAGGCATCCAATAGATACTAGGTAGTATATATTTATAATGTGGAATATCCGAAGAGCTATGGACGACGAAACTGACCATCTGTGACTTTAATCCTATTGGTCAATTCTGCCTGGCAGAAAATCAGACTAGTTATACACAAGGTCCAGGTGAAGATATTATATAGAGGTTCTAATACTAGCAACGGGCTGCCCTATAAGTAATAATATCTAGAGTAGTATTTGGACGCCTATTTGAACCCCATTTAGACAGCGTTTTTCAATAAATGATTGTGCCAAGCGCCCAAACCCCGGTGCGTTCGGCGCTTGGCACGATTATAGTCCATAGTGCCCAGATGCCAACCAACCAGTTGAAGTAATCTTCCCCTAGCGCCTCCCACACTTACTTAAGTCCGAAAAAATATGCAATAATATACAAAAGAAACTGTACAACTAAACTGGCCAGGGTTAAGCTATCACTTTTTATATTTGTTTTGTAGATATTTAGGGTGTATGGAGGTGTACAATCAAACGAAAGATGATAAAGCGGTAGGCTCAGTTCACGAACAACTGGCCAATGAGAGTAAAAGTCAGGGCTGGTCGGTTTCGTCTTCCATAAGTGGCGCCACTGGCGGCTAGAGACTGCCGGTGACCTGATCAGATAAGATTACCATCACCTGATTGTCTCCGCACTTCCACTTTAGTTCCTACTTCCTTCTTGTTAGCTATAAAGGTCCGAGATCTTCCCTATTTTTATGCTCAACTTGTCGATCTGATTAGCCGTCAAGATGGTCTCTCGTTCAGCCGTCCTCACTGGCGCTCTCGCCCTACTCTCACCCCTCGCCGCCCATGGCTTTATGGTCCCTGTTCCAGACACTCTCCAGGCCTTCCTCGGTCCAAACAGTATGAACCCTGGCCCAAACTCTCACCACAATGAAGCTGAAAGTGCCTTCAACCGTCCCTCGTGGTTCACCTCGGCTTTGATGGCCCGCCGTATGCTTGCTTTGTCACCCTCCGCTGTCCTCTCCACCGACTTCCCAGAGACCATCCCCCCCTCCAGACACGCCCCTCCCTCGGATGTTGCCGGTCACTCTATCGCACTTCGCGAGTACATCGCCGATTGTGAAGGATCCCTGCCGTCGGATCTATCTCCCGGTGATAACGGCAACCCAACAATTCTTGGCCTTCACATTGGTACCACCTTTAAGAACATCGCAGCTGGCTCTAATCTCAGTCTCCAGCTAGACTGGTGGGATCACCTTGATGCTGCCGGTCCAGTCTACCCTGGCCTTCCTCTTAGCCCGGCTGCTCTGCCTCGTGTCACTCTCATGGGATACATGGAAAACCTCCCGTCGCCGCTGCCCGCTGACACAGCCGCGGCCCTCGAGCAGTGTTTCACCGAGCCTCACCCTGATGCTAAGGCCTGGCTACCCACTGCTGCTTACTCCCCTCATTCGAGTTTCTGGGCCCGCATGGTGGTCACCCATGCTATCTGGATTGGTGGATTTGGCGACGTGCAGCAGATTGGGTGGATCAATATGACCGAGTGGCACGGTATCCGACCCCACGGTAGTGAGGAGGGTGTTGGTGATGGAAGAGGATGGAAGGATGTCCGTTTGCCCGGCGAGAGGGTGTAGAGAGAGTACCCAGGTACTTTCTGCCTGGAGGGTTCAACGAATGACTAAGGGGTGCACAGTGACGATTGCATTAGTTTTGTTTTTCTCGCATTAGACCTCCGCATGCAGCATGGATAACAATTAAGCATATCTCCATATCTCTCAACACGCTAAACAAGTTTTACGAGGTGCTTTGGAACTCTCCCTTCCCATTCGTTCGTCTTATCTGCACCATGCAGGCTTATCATTCTTATCATCATCCCTGTTTGTGCACGGGACAGGTCGGGGGGCAAATCTGGGGAATAAGAAGACGATGAACCTGCAATTCTTTTGCATTGTGTGTGTCTCATATTATTGAGCTGTTCTACCCCTTGCATTGGTGTTACATCAATACACATACTGCAAAGATCGGGTCCCGAACCCTCCTTATCTTGAGAACATCCATCTCACCTTACATCTTCAGTTATGAAGCTACGCATCCCTAAGCCGAGTATACGAGTCTCGCAGGGTGAATCTGCCTTTGCAGCAGGTAATGCTCGGTGGACAAATCGTGATCTCGACCCGATTGCCAAACATGCCCGCAAATGGGGTATATTCAGTATAATAGGTATGGTACTTCTTCCTATCTTTTGCAAACATCAGACCATCAGGGGCTAATAGAACATGCTATTAGCGTATTGGATCTCCGATGCCTTGAATCCAGCTACTTGGCAATTCGCCAGTGGTATGATTGCCGTCGGCCTCACCTACCGTGAATCTCTCGGCATTGTCGCCTTATCTTTCTTCATCATATCATTGGTCATCGCAGCAAACGGTAGTGTGGGTGCCATATACCATGTTCCATTCCCTGTGATTGCCCGCGCTAGCTGGGGCTTCTGGGGCTCCTATGTTGCCATCGTTTCACGGGTCATCCTCGCTGTCTTCTGGTTTGCTATCCAGAATGTCAACGGTGGAAATGCTGTCCGTGTTATGCTTGGAGCAATCTGGCCAAGCTTTTTGAATCTTCCAAATGGTATCCCCGAATCACAGGGTATTACGACCAACGGTATGGTCGGATTTTTCCTCTTCTGGTTGATCCAGGTTCCGTTCCTCTGTATGCACCCAAACAAATTACGTTGGTTGTTCACAGTCAAGTCGGCTCTGGTTCCTATTACCTGGATCGCTATCTTGATATGGGCGTTTGTCACCGTGAAAGGTGGTGGCAGTGTGTTTGAACAACAGGCCCCAACGGTATCCGGTTCCAAGTACAGCTGGCTATTCCTGGCCAATATGACATCTGTCCTGGGCAATTACGCGACTTTATCGGTCAACCAATCAGACTTCTCTCGCTATTCTCGCGTCAGTGCTAAATGGCAGCTCCTTTATATCCCTATGCTACCCGTTGTATTCACGTTTTTTGCCTTCATTGGCATTGCCGCTTCATCCGCCGGCCAGGCTCACTACAACCTCGAGTCTATTCCATGGGACCCAATGGTATTGGTCAGCTGCTGGGGGAACCGTGCATGTCGCTTTTTCGCCGCTGCATCTTTCGCCCTAGCCTCGCTGGGCGTGAACATCTCTGCCAACTCCCTTTCAGCCGCCAACGATTTCACCGCCCTGGCGCCACGATACCTTAACATCCGACGCGGCCAGCTTCTCTGCGCCGTGCTGTCGTGGTGTCTTGTTCCGTGGAAAATCCTCGCATCAGCAGGAAACTTCCTCACATTCATGTCTGCATACGCCATCTTCCTTGGCCCTATTGCTTCAATCATGATGTTTGACTACTGGGTCGTCAACCGTCGTCGATATGATACACTTGCTCTATACCAGCCCACTAACCCGACATATCGTTATACATTTGAGATTCCGGGCCTTAAGGGAAAGACCATGTCTGGCACGAACTGGCGCGCTATCGTGGCTTTCCTTGCGGGTGTTGCGCCGTGTCTTCCCGGATTTATCAATGCTGTGAACAATAATATCGATGTTGGTGCCGGTGTACATCCATTTGAGTTTGGGTGGTTGTTGGCCTTTGTTACGACTTCTATTTTCTATCTCGGTTTATCATGGCTGTTTCCTGCGACGGAGACTCAGATTGACCGCGCTATTCTACCTGATGAGATATATGATAGGGGTACAGTTGTCGAAGGAGTGGAATCATATGACCCCGATGGGAAGGATGTGGTTACTGATACACAGGAGAAAGATGATGTGGAAAAGGCTCTCTAGGCTTTGTCTGATATTGATGTGAATTTTCTGTTCTGTACCAAGTGGCATGTACATATATCTATGTGAATATTCAAGTACCAACGCCAATAATAATCAATTGCGTTATGTTACCTTTATCCTTGACAACATACCACAATAGTTGTCCGCTTATGCGGCCTTGTTACGTCTTCTTGATAGTCTTTGATATCCTTTTGATAGCCTTTTTGGTAATCTTCTCAAACCTCTTTCCAAATGTTTTTTTTTTCCTTAGCTACATATGTTACCCCTTATTTCCGTGTTGTAGAAGATAAGAACAATATACAGCATGGGCGGTCAAAAAAGTATAAAATGTGCAAATTGACTTTTCTATAAATAACACGTGATAAGAATCTGAACATTTGGCAGATAGATAGATTTTATAACACCATGTATTTCTTAATGGGTCGATATATCTTTCCATCTTAGGGTTCCAACCAAGATGGTTATTTATGTACCTATGTACGGAGTACGGGAATATTTGATTTTCTCTGCCAATCCTTGGCCTTCCCTTTCCGTCTTGCTCAGTGCCGCTTTTTGCTGACTGGGTATTACATAAGCACACTAATCTGCTCATTGATCATAAGCTGAGCGTAGGTATAAGCAGCCCGAGTAAGCTACATCAATAAATACGACACGTTAGTTACATCACGTGTGACCGTTCTCTAGATCACCCGCATTATCCCATCAAAAAAAGATTGGCGTTGTCACCGCACCGTTGTTCCGGTGGCGACGAGCTTAGATCGCATTGGAAATACCACATTCATTTTTCTCACTGCCAGTATTCTGCAAACTAGTGAACATTATTCCATGGCTTGCAAGCCAGAATATAGAGGAGAGGAAAGTTGCCGCACTTGAAAATGGATACAATGACACATACACTACTCAATTACCGGACCTTTGGCAATTTCTCTGTGGTGTCACCTTGAAAATTTGCGCAGGCCCTTTTTGTAAATGCATCGTATCTTGCACATGAAAAGGCCGAGTGTGAATCAGTCCCTATCCTATAAGCTTCCATAGATCCATCAGGCAGAGGCCCCATACGAAGAGTTGTGACAGAAAGCTTATGAGGCTCATACTCAACAGTCGTGAGGAGAGTGGTAGTGTTGCCGTCAATAATATAATATATGTAGAGTTGATCAGGTCTTAGATAGTGCTTTCACCCCGCTACGCTTCCTCGTATCTATGGGAACCTGCTGGAAAGGTTTGGTCAAAATCCACGAGCAGAAGTCGCTGAGAACTCGGCCATTAATTATCAGCACAGCTATGTGAATGTGTTGGTGTGCCGCGCTGAAATGAACCGTTTCGCTCACAACACAGACTGGACCTCACTGCGTATTTTTTGAATACACCGGCTGATCCAATCTCTCGAACACTTCAAACTATCCAAAGACCGAGCTAGGGATATTGAAGGGCTTTTACAATCTTGTTTCCAGGAGAGGGCGCACAGAGGATTCAAGACGTGCTGCGAGACTAGTCCGTGTGGAATGTGGAAAGCACGTTATATAAAACCAATAATAGAATCGCACCATTCAAGGCCCGTAGAATGATGGTTGTATAACTGCATTCAGACTCACTCGATAATCTAAAAAAAAAAAAAAAAAAAAAAAAAAAAAAAAAACACTGGATACAAATTTTTGCCTTGACTCGTATTCAATATCAATCGAGGCAACGAAGGCGCACAAATCCCTCGAGACTTGATAAATCGGAACGAAACAAGGCTTCCGTGTAGAGGCTTGCAATCTGGTCCGGTCTGGTCGGTATCTGGGTTGAAGGCGTCGACCTCGGGACCGTTGCGATTAGTCTGGCTATAGAAAGCAAGCCGGCCATCAGCATCTAGAGTCAAAGGCTGAAATTCAACACCGCTGTTACCGAGACCAGTGTGGCAGTCCTCCCCATCACCAGAGTAAGGAATGGTATCGCTGGTAAATTGAGCATTCTGATAGATTGCGATACAGTAATCATTGCCAGCCCGAGTGTTCAAAGGACTGTTGTTGCGCTAGTCGACGCTTGAAATAGACGCTACTTGCACCAGCCCAGCAGCTAGGAGGAAGCCGATTGCGAGGCTTTGGAATGATCCTCCCGAGTACATCCTGGTTTGCAGACTTGACTGACGATAAATGGCACTCCAAGAGGCTGAGGCTGGTTGAGATGGACGGATGCGGTCATGAAACGTTGAGACCACTGATCGTAGTTGTCGAGATCGAGACTTTGGAAGTCTTCGATACGCACACGAAAATTGTGCCTAGAATCAGGTACTGCGGTCAGGTATAAGATATCGTATTCTGGATCGTTTCGATGCTCGAGGATATCTTGTTTGATGTGATCATGAAAGCGGACGTTGAGCGTTCCAATGATCTGTCTTTGCATTATGTGTTGGATGTGAGAGTCGAGTATATTTCGTTTGCAGACAGGAAAAGAGCTTTCAGAGTAGATGAAAGGTGGAAGGGGCAACTGTTAAATGTTTGATGCTAGGGTAGGTGTGTGGCAAATGTAACGATAAAGCCCAAGGGGAAAAAACACACAATTGTTCAGAGTATGACTGGCCTTGATGGATATGAAAACGCCAAAAAGACCACGAGTATGGAACGCTCTTATAACTGCGTACGTCGCTCTATCAATGCTAGACCTGCTGCACAGCCATACTCTAAGTCAGCATAAAGATTAAAGCCAAGAGTGAGAGATGCTGCTGATTCAAAGCATTAGACCACAATATGACGACCTTTCTTAGTACACCTATCATAATCAGGTTATAGACGTTATCGATGACTATGCATGGTAATGATGTACTATAACCGGTTTCTCGACAACAAAGCTCTCGATCGGCAACTCGCCTGGCCCCCAAATTTCTTTCCATATCCCTCATAACATGATTCTTTGGTAGCAGACTTGGAAAACACCCCCGAATTGACGCCAGGCCAAATGAGGTTACGATAAACTAGCCCCCATCTAGTTGTATCGTGGTATGCGGAGTGTATTAGCTCAGTGGAATGATTTTCTGTTTTACCGAATTCTCTCATGGAAGTTCCTTTAGGGAAGGTCCTAGAACGGGGTCAAGATCTGGGGATCTCGACAGCCAACTTCATTAATCACCGATCCATTTGTTTTCCCTCAATATCTCCCACCTAGGCAACTTCCGAAGGCTCTAATACTGTATCCTTCTATTAATTTCAATTGCTAGTCAGTGCAAACAGTAGTTCCCTCCATTATTGTATCGTTTTGATCTAGGTTTCCATCTCACGGCCATCTCATAATTCCCGAGCCTTGTCAAACAGACGCCGGGGGATATTCTGAATGGCTGGATCTATACAACACTGACACCCTTTGCCAGATAAGAACTAATTCCATGCCATATAAAAAAGAAATCGCAGAGGTTCAAAACGAACGGGAAGTTCAGCGCTGAGGGGGCAGTGTAGTAGTCTTGTAAAGTGGGTACAGTATTCAAGGTCAAGCTTGTTCATGAATTCACGGGCTCAAGAGTCGGATCCCTGAAAAAAGATCATTTCTGCTGTACCTCAACATAGACTAGTAGTCTAACGTTGGTTCGAGTAATCGTGCCAAGCTTACCACCAATACACGCACCGTGTATTGGTGCGCGCCACTCAACGATAATTTTCAGTAATAAATTATTCCCTCTTTACTACCAATTTATCCTACAACCACAATGTCAGACCAAAATAAATTGATAGAAAGTCAAATCCAAAAGGCTTATCTTGCCTATAAACGACAAAAAAAGCCCAATATCGCGAAATTGGCTCGAGAATTCGAGGTTCTATACTAACGACTACGCGCCCGAATCCACGGTTATGAAAGCAAAAACACGACCACCGCCCTAAAAAGAGGTCTTACTCCAGTTCAAGAGAGAATACTGGTTATATAGATTAAGACTGTACACACTTCTAGTGTTAGAATCCCCCCTTCTACAATTATAGACGCTGCAAATAGGATTGTAAAGCGCGCTGGATCCGACCGGGAGGCTGTTAGAGAGAATTGGGTCTACCGCTTTATAGCCCGTCTCCCACCAAATATACCCTATATTAACCCGAAACTTAGTGAAAAAGTGAGGGACGATAGTGAGCAATATAGGCCTCTCTTTCTCTGATTTAATAACCTCAAATTGGTACTTCAAAGTACGATTTTCAACCCTATAAGATCTATAATTGGGATAAAACTAGCTACCAAATCGGCTAAGGAAAGCGCCAGAAGGTCCTCGCACCTTCAATTGACTATACTTCTACATCGATTTCCATCGTCAGGAAGCTGATCCCGATCGTCTGGGAGGACACAGGAGCTGCAGGAGGAAGGCTGACCACGGAGTGCGTGGGTCAGATTCCGGTCTGACAACTTATACTCGATCTATCCAATAGGATTCTTATCTGTCGACCAGAACAGCCCAATCCTGGACAGTATTTTCGCTTTACAGGACCCACTTGCTAGTCCACTTGTTACGCCTAATAAGTGCTCCATAGAGCAGGATTCTATGTTTCTCTGACCGAAGTCGGAGCTTATTTGTTATTATTCCTAACCTCAGAACCAGGGGCTAGCAGAGCTAGTATACAGTAAAACCTAGTTATAACGAATCAATTGAGACAGAGCCAAATATTCGTTAAACCGAGGTTTTCGTTAAATCCAGGACTCCCATATATTAGTATATACGTAGTATAGTGGATTAATTAAAGCACCGGTATCCGATCGTAATAACCAGGTATTCGTTATATCCGGGTTCGTTATAACTAGGTTTTACTGTATATAGATTTTTTTTAAGCCTATACCTTCAAAAATATACACTTATTTTTACTTCTTACTCTACCTAGTAAGCTCCTGGTAATTAAGTCATTCTAGTACCATCCCGTTCGACACATTATGGCTACTAAAGTATAGAAGAAGAGGGGGAAAATTTAAAATAGTTCGATATCGCTTTAGTAAGGGTAGTATTTATGGCGACATTTACCTAGTAGAATCAAAAACATAAAAGAAAAGGTCGTAACGCCGATCTTTCTGCCCCCTGGAGCGTTTGAAGCCACTCCTCACTTCATCGTAAAAGGTATACTAAGCTCATACTGTATTTGGGAACACACCCAATGTATAGCCACGAGGGAGAGCAATGACTACTTAACCAGAAATTTGCATTCTAACGCAAGTTTGAAATGAACCCCGAATGTTATATTTGGTGTCCATATGAGTTGGCCCGAGGGATGGGCCACGACAATCCAACATCCTCCTTCCATACCTAGAGTCTTGAATAAATCGCTAATAACTCAAAAAAATTATATAAAGACACTTAAATCTTTCGATCAATCTTGCAAGGTTGAAAGCCCCAGCAGAGAAAAGTCTACTTGCAATCACTCGAAAATGCACATACATGGCGAGAGTAATTCTTTTTGAACAAGCAAACCAGAGGCATTATTTTGAATATATCTAAATTTGATATAACAATCACTTGGACACACACTTTGCAACAATGTCCTGGAACTGCTTGTCCAGGGCAGCAATCCCCGAGCCTAGACTCTTGAGATCATCCTTGCTCATGCCTCTCCGAGCGGTGCCCATGGCCGAGAATTCCTCAGGATTGCGCATGCCAGTAAACAGAAGCGTTTCCAGGATAGTGAGCGGTGCCATCTTGGGGTCTTCCACGACGGCATAAATGGTTGTGGCAGCCACCCCGGCATCACCAATGATGGTAATGATACGCGAAAGTCCGACGAAAGCATCTGTCACGAGGTCTACTTCACCCAAAAATGGCACAACTAGAAGAACTCCCATCAATATTTTGCTGATCAAATCCTTCTTCTTTTCCTCCTCGTATGAGTCGGCAATCTCAACCACTTCCTGCATGTTGCTCACAGCCTGGCTGAGCATGAAGACTGCCAAGGAGATGGATTGTACGAGATCATCCGTGGGACCGACCCATGATCCCAATGCAAGCTGGATTTGAGCCACAGAGATACTGGCTTTGAGGCTCCGTATGTTCGGCAGGGCCATGGTCATGATATCTTTGGGGTTGGCGACCTTGATAGTGCTTTTATCTGCCTCCACGGGAAAGCCGGTGTAGGTTCTGTGGACCATTTCGCAGCCTATTTTATCCATTTCAGGCGTACAACTCAAGTCCAATTTGTTGTTTCCAAAGCTCACCCATGACTCTTCGATGCCATAGTCAGTGGATAGCTTCTTGTAGAAGCCGTCTTCGTCTACCAACTCGTAGTAGACTGTATATGTGCCCGAAACGATACCAATGTCCGCGGGACACGATTGTGTGGTGCTGTTCCGGCCAATATGGTTGTAGGTGCATTGGAAGAATTGATTTCCTGGACCATAGGGCTCCTCGGGATACATGAATGCATCCAGCTGCTTGGGGATGATCTCCTTGATATATTCGACATACTCGTCGAATTTCTTATCGTAGCTGCTCGTGATATCGGTGTAGTTGGCCAAGGTCTGGTTGAGTACTGTGGCCAGCACATCCAACATGTAGTAGTCCACACATACTGCATCTAGGTCGCCAAGTGCGTCTTGCAGATCATCCATCGATCCGAAGCTCAGAGTAAAGTCGCAAACCACAGGCTCATCGCATGCGGCATTTGTCCCATCGTCATTATCACAGTTGGTTGAGGGAGATGCGTTATCCACACAGGTAGGATCCGGGCAGTAGCCCCTCTCACAAGCAAAGTTGCACAGTCCGCTGTCACCGCCGACGGAAGAGAGGCCCGTAATGCTGGAGTTGGAGGCGGAGGGGACATTCAAAGGACCCGTGGCTGTGCATGTACAGTTGTGAATAGGGCAATATCCAACATTGCATCCATAGCTGCACAAGCCGGCAAAGGCCCCAGACCCAGTGCCGGCCGTGCATGTATCCGGGACGAACGGCGAGGTCGTGGGCACGTTGAGCGGGACCTTGGTAGTACCACACACGCCTGCAATGCAATTACCGTAGTTGCAAGCAAAGGAACATAGACCGCTATAGCTAGCGCTCTCGCCTGTAGTGGGATACCCTTGAACACCGGTAGCCTTAGGCATTTCGGGCTGTGGTCCCATCTTCGTACACACGCAGGCACTTGGAGGGCAGTAACCCAGACTGCAAGTGAAGTCACATATTCCGGCAAAATTACCCTTTCCCCAGCCCTGGATGCAAACTTGGTTGGCCAGCGAAGGGGATTCGACAGATATAGAGTTTCCGGCCATCTCGCTACCGACCCAGGCGTTCCAGTTTTCGATGCCCAGTGTGTTGGAACATCCGCTGCTGATCTGTTCTCCGCCTAGAGAGACTAGAGTGGCTCCGCCGCGTGTGATTGTGACGTAAACATCTCCGGAGTGGCCTTTAAAGGACACACTGCCATGATAGATACCCGCGTTACCGCTGGGAATATGGGTCCAAGAAGCGCCAAGATCGACACCCCCGACTGTGACTGTGACCTGGGCCGTGGAGCCCAACAGTGCAGAGAAGAAGATCTTATCCTGGGCGACATCCTTGGGGTAATATTCCAACTGCAGCTGGCTCACGGTGTTTGCCGTCGTGTCGCCATCGGAAGCACACGCTCCTGCCGCATTGAGCCGATACCATGCTGACACCCCTTCCTCTGTGATCGTGGTGCTGTTCATTTTGTAGTTGTCGATCAAGAAGGGGAGGAAGGCTCGCCAGCCACTATGGTCATACGCTTGGGCGTAGTTGAAAGGCGACTTGCCGTATTTGTCGCCGAATGCCACGTAGGTGGCATCAGCCAGCTCTTTGTGGCTGTCGTAAGAAGGGCCAATATAATGAGATTCGCCATAGTCGTTCCACGAAATGATTTCGACGAATTCCGGCGCCAGGTACATGACCTGTTGCCAACGATCATACCAGAGGTCGTCTCCGCGCCACATCCAATTTTTGTCATAACCGGGCATGTTCGTGTAGAACCAGGGCGAGACGGGCATCATGTACGCTTTACCATTCAGGAACTGCTGGTAGGAGGCATCGGTGTAGGTATCCATGTCCGACGGTCCATATGGCCAGGCGGCCCAGCTGAAAAGCCCATCTGCAATTCCATTGGCCTGGTCCATGGCAATCTTCGCTCCCAGAGATGACCAATCAGGTACGAAAAAGCAGTTCGTCGCCTTCTTGATATTTGCCCAGTCGGCTGCATTGCCAGGTCCTTCAAATGTGGAGCACAGCGGTTGGCCGTTGTGATGCCAGTACGTCAGCGAGCTGCCAGCGTAGGAATTGAGAAGACTGATTACTTTTGCTTTGTCCCATGGACCATTGCCAGCATAATCAAACGAAAAGAACAGTTGAAATCCGGTGTTTTGGGCCGCAAGGAAAGCATTTCCCAAGGAAGATTCGGTGATATCCTCGTCATTGGCAATGTTGAGGGCAAATGCGTCAATGTGGGCATGAATAGCCTCGCTCATATGCTCTTCCCAATCTGAGACTTTATACCCGGCTGTATTGGAGACCTGCAATAATCAGCCAAGGTTCACTTCAAGGGTGAGCATTACAAACCATGAAATGAGCAAACACTGCCCTTGCCTGGACCATGAGAGGAAGGTACCATATTGCAACAACGAGACTCCAAAGGAGATTCATGAGGAATCGAAAGAAACAAGAAGAAGAAAAAAAAAGGAAAAGTAAAATCAATCCGGCAAGAAGAGTCCCCAGCTAGACACGCTGTGTGCAGGTTGAATAGGATAGAAAGAAGTATAAGCAGCAGTTGGTGAAAAGAGAGACCACCGACCGATGTTTAGCAGAAAAATCCAAAAAGAAGGACTAGAACTCCATGTTCTGAGGGATGTAGTTACTCATAGTTTCCACTTGACAGCGGACGACTCGGATGCTAAATAGTCGGCGTATTTCGCGTTAGCTCTTGAAACAATGTAACCGAGATAAAGAATAATAATTAAAGAGCGTAAATATGAGATTGAAAATTAGTGCCTTCACTTCAATCTAAAAAAACGATGCTAGCTAGGCTAGTCAGGCGCTACTATCCTAGCTAGGCGCATCAATAGTGGCAACAATTTCCGACTCCCGATGTCGCATCGGATCAAATTATCGCTGTCCAGAAAGAGAATGGACCCTGGCTCTAGCAGAGCGCCCTTGTAGGTCTTTCAATTTCCCAGGTGTAGATTGCGATATAATATGATGGTTACCTAGTAGTGTCTCGCCGTTGTGGAATTCTCAACACTTCACCTCTCCTACCTACTTCGCAGACCTGGATCATTCTCTATACACCCTCTCTTTTTGATAAAAATGAAGCTCACCTTCATATTCCTGGGTCTCTTTGCCTTCCTTTCACGCACCGTTATTGCGCAGGTGGCCGGCGGGTCCACATACGCACACGCATTTGAAGCCATATATCTCTACTACGGTTATCTGGTTGACATGGAAGTCACCGGAAAATATGGGGAATTAGGCTCTACTTGCATACCAACTGCAGGCAAATCTGTTTGCACGGTGTGGGAATTCATCAAGAGCATTCAAAGTCGCTATAATGCCGCGGCAACAGGCGATGGGGGTAGAATGGGCGCCCTCACGCGCCCTGATGACATCCCAGCGCTTGCAGACTTGCTGGTGGAACAGAACTACAACACATATGACTCAAAGAGAATGTTTGCTGAAACGGTCCCTCACAGCCATGTTCTTCTCAAGGTTACCGACATTCTCACCAACGCACGCGACAAGCACCCCACTGTTGTTTCAGGGGGGATTCTTGCTGAGGCCAAAGAAACTTTGATGCGTGTTCATGCTGAGCGTGCGCAGGATACTCTCCAGGCTAAAAGAGAGGCCTTCGGGATTGAATTTGGTCGGGAGAATATGAGACATATCGTCGTGGATAACGTGCGCATGGAGGGCGGCGTGGCCACATATCAGGACATAGATTGGGATGCAACTGCGATTGCAGCGACGGAAGGCACAAGTTATAACGCGCAAAGTGCCTTAGATGGCTACAGAGATTTTACCCGACACTGGACCGACCATGTTGAGGCTATGGGCGATGAAGAGGTGATTCCTGATAGCACGCGCATTCATCTCCGTATCTTGCAGAGTATTCACACTCAGTCTGACTCACTGGGTAGTCTGGCTGCCTGCAGGGCTATATAATTGCTGTGTTTGAAAATTTGGGCTTAGAAATGAAGTGGTCCTTTCAGCCTGTGTACTGTATTTAGGAATTAGACAGAGGCCAGCTCACTACATCCTGTGGCTGTCTGGAATACATAGTAGCCAATTACAGCTTCAGTCTGGAAATATAATTGAAATTGACCCTCAATCATAGTAAAATATTCCACAGAGTTGGTTGGGTTATTGGCTTGGAAACAATGGGCACCACTGTACGGAGTAGGGTAAACCCCCTTGAACATTTCAAATTCCCTAAACCGACCATTCTATAGAGCCTGTCTGGATTTAAAAATTCGCCTCTGTTAAGATAGGAAATTAGAATGTCGTATTTACTACGCAGGGACTATCGAGATATGTCGGGACTCAGGATGGCGGCTCGCTTGTGGAACCTGCAGAGAAGTCTAGCTGATTTCATTTTCCATTTCATCCATCTTCTCCTCTCTAACTCGTTCAAATCGAGCAGATCAAATCTCTCCCCTTAGCTCTTTGCAAAACCTGTGGAGAAGTTTTTGGACATTTGTTTTTCAAATGGTGCCGCTCAACAACGACGGCCATGGTCCGCTTCAGGTCCCAGGGTTCAATTCCATCCCCCTGGATTTCCAACTGCCCCTCGAGGCCCGCTTTGCCCATGGGTTGATTGCCTTTCGCCACTCGCATCGGCTAACCAAACGAGAGATGGCTATGCTCCGGCTCATGTTACATATCACGGAGCAACCTGAGTGGGATCGCGCGATCCTGGATCCAGATGAGGCTCGATTAGCGCAGTGGTACCAAAACGCGAAGGAAGGAACTGAAGGCTTTCTTATCAGTCCTGCCACATGGGATTGGTGCCTCGCGGAACTACGCGACAAAGCGGAGATGTGGCAGAGAACGGGCCATCTCTTGGTTTTCGACAGCTCCTCTGCTTTGTGTCAGGCTGATTTGTCAAAATTGGCAGGAGAATTGCAGACGGAGATTGCCCGGCTAGGGCCACAACAAGATCATGGTTCTCATCTGGTCGACCCATCTCTATTTCCGCTAGTGTACGACCGTTCACATGTACTAGTCCAGGGTGGGGAAGTTTCCTTGGAAAACTTGTGGAAATTACCTGGTCAGGTTGCCAAGGGTCTGCCGATCCACCGACCCTTCGGCAGAATAGAACCGGGAGTGGAGGAGTCTCGCTACATGAAACGGGGCGAATACGAAAGTTGCTGGTCCAATCGTTTTCAATGGCTTCCCTGCGAAGTGCAGTTGGAGCCCGAGCCCCTGAATGACAGCCGTGTTCGGATTACATCCTATGTGAACAATCTCCACCCGCAGCGCCACAAGGGGCTGTATAGACAGCTTGAGCGCCTCATCGGAAGCGCAGTCCCTTCTTGGAACGACATTCTGTTCTACGGCAACACCCGTGGACGCCGTCCGCCACGCATCTTGACATATGGCTGTGAGGTCCACAACCGGAATGAAGATCACAAAGTATTCAATCTGGTATCCAGGTGGCTCACTTGGACTGTGCAGTGTGCTACGTATGAAGAGTGGCAGGAGCGTTGCGATATTGCCCGTGAATACCTCGCAGGGCCCGAGCCACCAAGATGGAAGCAGGCCTGTATGAGCTACGGGGCTCGATGGGAAGACATGACCCAAGCGATGTGGGACATTCCAAAACACGTGCGCATTGCTCTCAACGCGAAAAGAAGACGAAAAGCTTGGTTCGACCATCCCGAGCCCGGTGTCTCATTCACCTACGAACAATGGAGACAAGGTCAATGTACAGGACGCGCGATCCATCCGCAGCGCGTTGGTAAGTACCCGGATCCACAAGACCATCACCATGTTCCAGTGAGACTAGAGCAGCAATTTCGGCACAAAGGTCTCCAAGTCGTGGTGGAAATTACTCGCATTGAACTCACGCCCGAGAATCCCGTGTATTCGGGAGTAAGCCACTTCCACATCGAGGGCCTCCGCAACGACCATATTGTTGCGACCAGTTTATACGCGGTGGAATGCAAGAATGTAACGCAGGCCCGCGTGGCGTTCCAGCACGAGGACCAAATCGATACGGACGAGCTTCAATGCGAGGTCCCGGAGGCGCTATCTCTTGTTTTGGATGTTGGAGCCTGGCCAAATTACGAAGAGCCCCCTCGCGCACTACATACTTTCGGATCTGTCGGGATTACAGAGGGCCATCTTCTGAGCTGGCCTAATACTTATCGGTCGAAGCTAGAGTCATTTCAACTAAGGGATGCCAGTCAGCCCGGCCATATGACTCTTGTCAAGCTTCGCCTGGTGGACCCTCACTATCGGGTTTGCTCAACACGGAATGTTCCGCCCCAGCAGCATGAGTGGTGGGCCGCGGCGGCGGAGCAAGCATCGGATCTGGACAAGCGCTTGCCACGAGAGTTGGTACTTTCCATCATGGGTCAAACCGACTGCTGGCCTATGTCTGAACTCGAGGCACGGCGCTTACGAAAGGAGCTCCATGATGATCATGAGCGCGCTCGAACGGCGATCGATAAATGTGTGGGGCGCAATAATGCTCTTTTGCTACTCCAGGATGTATGAAGGATATGTGTTCAAATGTCTCGAATCCAATTTTTCTTCTGCTTAGACCCGGATGATTGTTCAAACGGCTATCACCAATTAGGCTAAAAACCTTTTAGGTGCTGCTCTCTTTTCTTGTCTAGTATATCAGGGCAATGTAACCTCAGTCGGAAATCCCCTAGCTCCTGGTATTTACGCTCGCTAATATAATCCAAGTGGCAAGAAAAATTTAGTTCTACCAGTAGACAAGTTCGAGATTGCAATCTCATTTGTGCTCGGGCCCACTGAGGCGACTATTAAGCTAACCGAAGCACCAGCGCTCGTATAGTTTAGCCAAAGTATTGTTTCAATTTCCGAGTTCACTCCGTTCCTAGCGCCTTGGCAGTTGAACTGCCTTATCTCAAATGCTTGTTCCATGTACATCTTGTCCAGCTTGAGAGAACGGAATCTACCTGACGTTATGTTTTGCCTTTGGGCCCTAAGTGCCCTCCTTCTCCAAGCAACAGCAACATTGACAGCTGCTTCATCTTCAAATTGCACCGATGCAGTCCACTACGACACAATATCCATGTTCAGCCATGCACCTCTGACCTTCTCCTACGAGGTGCCTGATGACGCTGCCTGTGCTGCGAAATGCGGCAGGATTGCCACTTGTCGCGCCTGGCTGTATTCGACCTCTGGTCAGGAATGTCAACTGTATCGCGATAACCCGGTATCTCAGGCACAGAGTCCGCATTTCGTTTCGGGAAGCTGTGATACATTCTCTGGATCTTCGGGGGGTGTCAGTACATCGGTGTTAGCAGCACCTAGTCAATCTTTAGTATGTTGCTCAAATATTTGTTTTTCCTTCAATTTTTGTCGTTTCAATATCCTCTCCTCTCTATCTTTATTGCTTTTCTTGCCCGCAATGCGCTCGATACACTGACTAAACTTTATAGATCCCTCAGCAGCCTGAGCCAAGTCACCACGCAAAGCGCGAGCGGTCTCATCGTCACTCTCACCATGGTCATGGACACAGCCATTAGCGTCTACTAGCTAAATATAGGTGTATATGATACCCTGTAACTTAGATAATTGACTATTTCTATAATTTTGATGGATACTCCTATCCCATGGGGGTGGTTGCAGTCTAGTAGACTGGAATTAGGACTTTGCCTTAAGTATGGTAGATAAAAGTGGGGCCATGAGTAGACTGGAAAAGCTTCTCGTACGAGGATGAAGCTCAAGATTTGTAAAGTTCTATTCTATACTGTAAAGATTATGGTTACCGAATTTTAGAGTGATCAAGTTATAAAGGTGTGGTGGCTGATTGAAAATCGGAATTATTTTTGATAGGGTGCGACCGTACGAAGGGCTAGCACTCTTCGACTTTATTTTAAAATATATATTTTAAGTTAGGATTACTTGTAGATTTATATTCTGTTTTATAGTATATTTACTCCGTATATATTATCATATTATTGATTTTTTTGTACGAATCAAGCTCTAGGTAGGACTGTCACAATTGCTGGGTCCATGGTATATTCATAGCTTATCCTATTGATGAAGGCTTGTCCTATTGATGAAGTCTTGTCCTATTATTCATGTATTGTCTATTGATAATATCTCGTACGATTCAAGCTCTAGGTAGGACTATCACAATTGCTGGGTCTATGGCATATTCATGGCTTGTCCTATTGATAAAGGCTTGTCCTATTATTCATATATTGTCTATTGATGATATCTCGTACGAATCAAGCTCTAGGTAGGACGGTTATATATGATATTTATTCCTTATCCTATTATTGCTGCCTTGTCCTATTGTTGATGCCTTATTATATTATTGATATCTCGTACAATAAATGCCTTAGGTAGCAATATTTATTTTTATAGCTATATAAGGCAACAACATTAGCTAATTTAGTAATTACCTCTATTGCTATCCAGCAGATATTCATTCCTTAGTTTTCCTCCCACTACTCTCTTTCTCTTTCTCTCTCTCTTTATCTCAAATTTCACTTTTATTTTGATTTTCATTAAGATACCTTTGGGATCACAATTTCAAAGAGTGCTAAGCAGCTCACTAAATAGCTCCTGAATGCCAAGAAGTGGCAGAAAGTGGGTCTACAAGTGGTTCATAGATATACTAAGTGGATCAATGAGAATGCGTCGCAGGAAAGGCGGTCATTTTGGCTGATATATAATTAAGCGGTTTCAGAAGCTTAAAACTAAGCTTACTGAGGATTTGGAGCAAATTAAGACCTACACGAAGACAATAGAGAATTATATTAAGCGAAGTATTGATACAAAGCTACTTTTGTCGTAAGAGGTTGCTATATTGAAGGGGGAATTGGAGAAGGCCCGCGCCACCAAATCGAGGGTAAATAGGCCAAGAAATAATAAGTCGATTCTTGGGTCTAGGAAGTCTATACTCTCACCAATTTGTACAAATCGGAAGATAGTGCAGCGAGAAAAGCTGATTCCTTAAGAATAAAGCGGCAATAAGAGCGGTAGGCCAAGGTCTTAGAAGCTCAACAACGCACCCAGGAACAGTTGGATTTAGCTGAAAGTCAGCGAGAAGCTAGAATAGCAGCTATATATAGGGAGGGTTTGACTTGGTATGTAGATAAAGATGGTCATTATAAGTAAACATAGCTTCGAACTCAATGAGATTTATTGTTGACTGAAAATTATCGTTGAGTGGCGCGCACCAATACAGGGTACTGTATTGGTACGAGCGCTTGGCACGATTACAGGCTGAGAGTCAAGAGGCCTCTTTTTATCTTGCATACACGAAAGGTTAGGACAAATGACGCCATACCTTATGCAGCAGCATAATATGTGCTCCGTACAGAGTATTACAGAGTACCCCGTACATACATATGTAGTTATGTCCTTTCCAACATGTATGTTCGTGGCATGGTCACGTGATAGCCAGATGACTAGCTTTTTCATGATACATAACTAAAGCCAGGTGAATACATCACCTTCGCTTCTATATGTAAGTTAGGCATTTGCACTCATAGTTATTTGGCTTTTCAGGATTATTTCATCTGATCGAACTGATATTCAAAGGAGGAAGGAAGACTTTATAAACTCCCACCCTAGTTTATTAGCATTGGATCCAGTTTAAAATTAGTCGCAGGTACTCCGTAGACACGGTACTTTTGTCTGCATATGCCCAAGCACCCCGGGATTAGAATAGATGCACTCCGTGCACAGCTCCTTGCAAGAGCCGAACTGTGAACGGTCAGTGCCATACATAGCCTTGGAAACTCCACTCTATACTTAGAAAGCCAGGGCTAAGTTTGAATAACCGCCGGGTATGTCAACGTAATCTCAGCCACACCAAGGTCCACAGCCACACCCAGCCACTGCTGATGCCTCAATGACTCACAGCGGAACCATGGGTTCCGCCTGGGCATCTGCAGGCGTTCCAAAGTTGCACGGTCAGATCTGTCATGTGTACATCTGAGCCGTCCACGGGCTGCCTAGACGCTTAGGAATACGAGGAGGTCCGATATCGCTGTTGAGCTGTATTTGGATTGACTATCCTATCCGAGGGCTGGGAAAACCCTCGGGGATGGTAGATATACCATTCCCCTAGATGGAAGAGTTGAATACAGATATAATCAGGGCATAGACGCCCGCTTTCCCTCCCCCCAAAGTAACCAGAGTAAATAAAAGTCCATAACCGTCCCATGCCGACCACACTCCTCGCAACCACAAAAAGTAGATAAAAAGAAAGGGTAAAAGTGAGAGAAACAGATGCACGATGCAAGTAGAGGACACGCCAGTCATCACCACATCGTACATTTTGTGGGAATCAAACGCCCAAGTCCCATCGTACGAACCGAGTACCCGACAAAATAGGGGTATGTACAACGGGGTCGGTTCGCCATAGGGATAAAGAAATAAAACCACGGACTTTTTCTTTTTTTGCCTCGCACAAAGGAAATAAGAAAAATAAGCAAAATCCGCTAATAAATCGCAAGTCAATTCAAGTACTCCGCAACACGGAGGCTCGGGTTCAACGCGATCTTGCGTGCTTCGCTGCCACAGCAGGCACGCTTCATGCCTGCTGGTCCAGAGACTGGGCCAGTCCGCCCGGAGGTAATGGAGGATCCATGTTGCATCATGAACGAACGTGGGAAATGTCCATCGGGCAACACAGAGTGATCTCCAGAGGCCCCAAGGTTAATCAGATGGCGCACATGGTTTTGGAGCAAAAGATCGTCGGATCCAGTACGTCCGCGTTTCCGGCACTGGCGCAGTTCGGGCGTCGCGCCAGAAAGTTCGCAAAGACTCTGAGCAGCTTCGCTCAGGCTGGAATCCAAGGAAAAGTTAGACAGATCTGGGACCGAAGAACCCATAGAACTGGTATATTCAGGAGAGCTGTAGACACCGACCAGACAACTCTCGTCAATCGGAGAAGCAATGGCCAGAGTCTTGCGGGACTCCTTAAGAGAATTACTAGTGCAACGCAAGGTAGCCTTAACAGCCAGACTAGCTGGCGCTGAGCCAGAAGTACCCGAGGCGTTAGATGAGACTGATGACGACCGCGAGGAGCGCGACGACAGAGTAGAGACATCCGAAACCATCGAGTCAGGCGACGATGCCGAAGAGGTCGACCGAGCCAAAGATGACCGACGAGCCACAGCCGGGTATCCATCGTACGACTGAGTCCGAGGGCAGAACGACAGGGGCGGGCGCTGATCGAGTGTTGATCGCGTCATGCACGCATTCTGCGCCTGAGACATAGCCGTACAGATGGATGGGCGGTGGGGGTTGTAAGCAGCCACACTCGCAGCAGGAGTAGGGGCCACTTGAGATTGGGGGGTCATCTGTGGTGTGGGAAGCATCATAGGTCGGGGAATACTAGGCAAGGCTAGGTTGGCAAAGTCCATGCGCGGAGTCGGCTCCAAGGTTCGCGGAATACTCCGAGCGTAATTCGGGGTTTGTTCGCGGGACAAGGAGCGCACTGACTCGTTGCTTGGCACACTACGAGGCGAGAGGTATTCTGACAGACCGAGATCCATTCCGCCCATCGCCGAGACTGGGGTCATGGGTTCTGACTCTACAAAGTCCAGTTCAGGGGTGAGTCTGGGTAGCACGGTCTGCCAGCACTGACCTTTAGCAACCGGGGGTCCACCGGCACCAGGGGTCAACCTCAAGACCAGATCAGTCCAACGCTGAAACGTTGCTTCATCGATATGTAGGCGCCATCCAACAGCCTTGAGGAACATAAGTTCATTCTGGTTAATCTCAAGAGTATTAAGGCCAGAAATCTTGCTCCAGGCCCGAGCGGAGTAGTTGCGATCCTGCAAATACTTTGAAGCAAGAATCAGCGCGGCTAGGAACATCCGACGTCCACACTGCATCGCCCGCAAAGGCGACTGTTCCCGAGGTTGTTCCTTGGTGAAGTCATGTGTGGGCACGTGGGACTTGATTTTAATCAAATAATATAAAGCCACCTGCAAGGTACTGTAGCTAGTACGCGAGCGGCGGAGTGTCTCTTGTATAAAAGTGCGGAGAGGAAGAACCCCTTTGGATCCGGTCGAGGCATCACTGCGGGATGCTGCGGCGGAAAGGGGCCAGATAGTTTCAACAATCTGTGATGCGGTGTCTTAAAAAGGAACGGGAATCATGTTTAGCCGAACGTACAAGACGTATCTTGAGGAGTCTTTATTTTTTCAAGACTTACCGACGAGATTGTCGACGAAGTTCACCTTCCGTTCCGACTGCCGTAGCAGACATGGCGGAGGGCGCGCACTGGGAGCGCTAGAAGAATAACTGTTAGTGCGCCGAGGGTGCGTTCGCAGCTCGGATGGCACTACACCGTCCACCTTGGAAACAGGTCCCTTGGCATAAGCCCGGGGGCATGCTCCGTTAGGATTTCTTCCTGCCAACTGGCTATTATTATCATTCTCCCAAATCACGTCAACCGGGTTGGTCGAGGTCGATGATATCGAACTCTGCGAGGAGACGCAATCGAGGGAGAATACAGACGAGGAAGAGGAGGATGCGGAGGAGGAGATCGAGGATGCATAGGGGTGAGCGTGGTGAGACGCTGTGAATTGGGAACTTGGGTTTGACAGGGTCAAGCCCAAGACGTCCATCCCTGACATATCCGGAAGTATGGAGTTCATATAGGGCGTTTGTGTGAACAAAAGTTCAAATGAAGACAGCCGGATAAAAGCGAGATGGTCCGATTTTGGAACCGTAGTGTCAAGATACCGTTAAGCAGGGAACCGGGAACGAGAGCCGAGGAGACAGAAGCCGTCTTTGCTAGTTAGGCGACGGCGGACCTTTAGATGTAGAGAGCCAGGTTGATAACCAGAAGTAGAAAAATAAGCGGAACCGCCGGGTGTAGCGGGTAAAAAAAGAGACCAAAGGGGGAAGCAATCAACTATAAAGACAAGAAAAGGAAAACGTATTCACGATCCGATCAACCAAGTGCTTCTGATATAGGAACCAAAGCAAAGCAGGGGCACGTGGCGGGGATGACTCTTTCTGATGACCAGTATTTAGATGGAGCCAGAGACGGTGACGATGCGGAGTTCGGTAGCAGCAACACAGGCGATCGGAACGAAGGAATCAATAGGGTACATTTTGAAAATAAGTCGTGTGATAGAAAAGAGTTATATCAAGGCACCCAACGGACCATGGACAGGCAGAACCACGGTGGTGGCGGCTTGTTCAAGGCAGTCGTTGAAGCGGCTAGGCAGAGAAGGAGTCGGGAGGGGAGAGAAGGTTGAGGCTAATAGGGAGGCGAGATGGGGTGTTAGCGAGAAGAGTCAGAGAGTGGAAGACGACATTTATTTGGGGATAGTTTATACCTATGACTCTTTTTTTTTCTCAAAATCTGTTTGACTAAGAGAGAGATGGGGGGGGGCAAAAAATGGGAAGGGGAAAAGAAAGTCACACTGTGGCGAGAGAAGTGGGTGGCGGGTTAGGGAGATGCCGGGAGGCGCAGGGACCACACGTATAGAAATAGAATATAGTCAAATATTCTATATCTTTATATCATAATCTCCTTACAATCAGGAGATGAAGGAACTATCTTCGTCTCAAGAAGATGGTGAGAGGGGGAAAACCCGGATGCGGCGAGAAGACTCCGAGATAGGAGGGCAGGAAAGAGCCTGGGAGTGGTACAACGGTGACTCACGTTTCTATCATTTTGTTTTGATATACGATTTTATACTATGAATAGTTGCTATTATATGGTATATTCTATCAGATAATATAATATCTTCTATCTTATTTGTATCTTGATATATCTATCCTAATCTTGATTTTCTTCTAGAACATAAAACCATTATCTACTTTGTACAAAGTACAACATACACAAAAGTACCAGTACAAAATGACTTATGCAGTGACACCGTGGAGTCACTCATAGTGTGATTTAAATCTTATAAAAAATATAAAAAATACGACCATATTAACAAATCAAAAGGAAACGTTTTTCACAATAGTAAGAGAGCTATAATCCATTCTGAAGGTTCTGTTCAAGTCCCACTGAGTCATAAAAGCCGCTTGCCACGCTGTCTTTGCACCCTTGACCAATCCTGGTCAGCCCTGGCCAATCCACGCGCGGCTGTTAGGCTGCGATCCACTATCATTCCCATTATTTCACGATTATCTCTATGCTGATTGGCTACCACTGCGATCGGCAGTGGTTGGGGTTGCCTGTAGCCTTCCAGATGGAGCTGGGGAACTTCGGGTGTACTGAACTCATATGACCTCACGGTGGGAACTTAGGCTGAAAACAAAGAGATATCTTGGGCTTCAAGGAGTGTGGTGATTTCTCGAAAGTTCAACTTCAAATATCCCTGGAAGATCACCACTATGTACAAGGGAGCCAGGTGGCAAAAATTATGCATTCTGTAGTAATGTAGAAGTGAAACAAGAGAAAATTTGAGAAGAAAAACTCTTCATAACATGGGATGATAAATTGTATTTAGGTGGCCTAACTATGTAGGCTATATACATCGATGTACTTTGTACAAAAGCTATCTACAACGAGGATGAAAGTACCTCTCGCAAAACTTCTACCAGCCCCCGTACTTCGGTCACTGTCCTTGTTAGCTATCGAACGAATCCTATCTCGATACCCACTCACCGGTGTTATAGTGCAGGAAGCTGACCCGCACCACCCCGTCCTCCACATCGTCCAATCCGCACACGTCGGCCAGTCGCCGGTGGCTGTACATATGACCACTGCGGAACCCAAAGGCCGATCGACGCTCAACCTCCTCCACAATACGCTGACTGTCTACTCCTTGCACAATGAAACTAATAACCGGAACGCGGAGCTCCTTGCTGGCGGTTGGCTCACCGATAACATCAGTCCGGCTATTTGAAGCTAGGAATTCCAGTAGAATCTGTTGCAGCCGCTCCTCGTGCTCAGCCATTTGAGCCCAGGTCGCGCTAGGCTCAGAGCCAAAGTACTCCACAACCTGGGGAATACTCTGTGTAAGCTCATAATTAGCCGATGCTAGATTGAGCTTCAAGTCTAGCGTATCTGTGCGCTTAAAGAAATGGCCCAGTGACTGGATCTGATCGTGAACCCGTGATGAGGCATAAAGCTGCGCCAAGTGTGGTCCATATACTTTATACCAGGAGAATGCCTAGTGGGGGGAAATCAGCAATGAACCAGTTATGCAAAGATTTGAGTTGCAATTTACGTAGAAATCAACGTCCAACGCTTTCACATCAACCTAACGATGCGGTGCCAAGGCCACTCCATCCACACACAGTAATGCCTATATAAGCCGCGTAAGCAAATTCGTATAAGCCAATAGATTTGATTATTGCTCACACGGGGATGAACATGAACAACATCTGCAATCTCTCGGATAGGGCTGATAGTGCCGGTGATATTGGAAGCATGAGGACATGCTACGAGTCTGGTCTTATCGGAGAGCAGGGACTTCAACTCGGTTGAATCGCACACTGGATTCTTCGGGTCGGAAGCAGTCCACCATTTTACGGTCAAACCCAACCTCTCTGCTATATGGACCCATGGGGACGTATTGGCCTCGTGGTTAAGCTTGGATAGGACCAGTTCATCACCAGGTTGGAACATAAGCGCCGTGGAGAGATTGTGTAGTAGCTGGGTGGTTGAAATGCCAATGCTGATCTATTTCGAGGTTTATGCATTAGCACCCGAAGCTCGGCAGTGCTTATAGTTGGGAAAGCAAATGCCATGGATTATAATGCAGATACCTCCTCGGGCGCGGCGTTGGTGAAACCAGCAGCCACTTTGTATGCGTTATCATATGCATTAGTCGAAATCTGTGAGACTTGATAGGTGGCTCCGAGCTGAACATTTGTGTTCAGCAGGTAAGAACGGATGCTATAGCTGCATCAGTATATAGCAATCTACGATAGGATTAGACCAACGATTCTGCTACAGTATCGAGAACCTGGCTTCCGCCTGTAGTGTTACAGTCAGTATAAATCTGAAAGTTATCGGGGTTATAAAAATCGAGGTTCATCTCACCAGCGTTGTCCATATACACTTGCTCCTGCTGCAGCGCAGGGAAGCGAGTGCGAGCAGCCAAAACATCGAAAGTAGAGGTCATCTTGGATATTATCCGATTTGCTTGATATAACTAGATAATAAATGCGCACTTTGGCGTGGGAATTGCAAGATATGAATGTCTGTCCACTTGATAAGTACCAGTCTAGACCGCTGAGAGGGGTAAACAGTGGAGCTGTTGACGGATTTGCTCCGGTCTCAAGCTACATATGTACATTGTACTTCGATTTCATTCCCTCTCGAGGATCGGGTATTATAAAGAAAGGTCAAATATGCCTCTAGGTAGTCAAAATCCATGAGGAATGAGCACTGGTAAATTACCATTGCTACATAAATAACAGGTAAAGCGTACTCCGTAGTATTTTACATATTTTGGGATAAGCGAGCGAAACTGTGTCTATAGGCTGTGTATTTACCGGTATCAAATTTCAGGTTACTCTCACTTTCTCTTTGAACGAATCGGCATATATATATATATATATATATGTGTGTATGATACATATTGAATATGAGGTTATTCCCAGATCCTCTCTCTAAACCAACCCACATATATCATCTCGGTCCTTATCCATATCTGAATATCTTCATATAAGGATAGATTTATGAGGAGGACTAGTAATCGTTTCAAGGGCAATTTCATTCGAATTCGCCTTGTTTCTGCTGCAAAAGGGATCGAGCCGTGATGCCGGCGTTTGCTTTCTGAATAGTTTTTAATTGAATGTGTTCTGATTGATGGAAAGATTCAAAACAAAACAGCTCTTGCTTTCCCTACCAAAAATACGCAGACATGAAATGTGAGTTGGTGGACATGTCGACTCTACATCATATGTAGAGCTTGTGATCAGCGGGTCTATATGAACAGAAAAAGTAGGTTGCTTTACTCGGTGGGAACAGCCAAATTGTCTACAGAACCATCCACCCATAAAACAATGGAAAACACTATTTTGTTAGAACTGTATAGGTAGACGCCTCTCTTATCAAGCCATACATGGGCAATCCTACACATAGCCATGACATGGAAAACATGAATTAAATGCGAAGATTTTGCTTCCATCGGGTATATGTATGAAATCCACGCCAACAAAACAAGCTCCCATAAGAACGCAAGAAAGAAACCCCCGAAAGAACCACACTCAAGCAGCCGTATCCACAATAAAGAACAATAATTCCACTAGCGGGAGCGCGAGCCCACCGCAGGCCCTACACCGGGCGAGGCATCATGTACGACACACAGCAAGTACTTCCGATCGGGTACGACCACAATTTCATGTTTCTTCGTGCGCATTCTCAGCAGCTTCACCTCCCCATCCTCATCCCGATCAAGACCACCGTCATCTCGGTCTTCCTCACGTGCCGTGCCCTCATGTCCGTAGTCGTAGTTGACATCCCAATGCGCGTCATTGGGTCGCTGCACGGTGATAGCTGGTCGCGATAGCGAGACACCGAGTGCTTCGGCACTGGAGACAAAGGCGAAGATGTGAGCAGCAACTGTCTCGGCTTGCGAGGGTTGGTAAGGCTGTGACACGGTGGGTAGGGTAGGGGATGGGTCTGTTGGTTGGGCGGCGGTCGGATCAGTTGTGGGTGGGGAGATGTGTGCGGTGCGAGAGGCTCCATTTGCTTCAGTCGTTTGTGCGAGCTGTCCTGTGCTTTGGATGATTGATCCATCTTTGCGGGAGAGAATCATGGTGGATTGCACACCCGGGCGCGAGGTGAGGTGTGAGAGCAGCGCCGTGACATGTTGGGGGACTTGCTGTGTGCGCTTTGGGGGGTTTGTTAGAATATTCGAGCGCATTTGGAGGAGAGATTGTACATACTTGTGAGTTCGCCATGATTGGGGGGGTTCCGCGGGGAATGTGAAGAGTGCTGGTATGTGGTGTGGGAGATTATGGTTAGGGGTGGTTAGACGAGTACTGAGCACCTCATGTCTTTGCAATTCGCTGTTCCCGCTATGTACTTTCCTTCAGTCAGAATAATTAAAGCACATGGAGTTCAAGAAGTTGACTGTCCTCCGGTGTCTCCAAAACAAATGACTAAGCATTTATATGGGCACAAAAACATCCATCCATACATAGATGGATAGGATTGTCCTGTCAATGTTTTTAGACTCTTCATGTACTGATAAAATAACAAAACATCAGCTAAAAATGCCATCTATATATCGTTAAAGATCTACTAGGCAAGTTGAATTCTATGTGAGTTTCATATGGCCGTATCAACCTCAACTCGGAACTATATATAACTGATTTATTGTTATTTGAAGGGATATATAGTAAGTAATATTTAGTGAAATATGTAATATATATGAACTCAAGAAAATCGAGCGTAAAGCGGAATGGTATCATAAAAAAGAAAAAGTATAGGCAAGGATAGACGGGCATATGTAGAGACGGAAACAAAAAAAAAGTCATCAAAAGCCAATAAGTGAGTAACATCGTTCCGTCAGAAGTAATGATGTAAAAAAGATTTATAAAGAAACCAAAAAAAAAGATCGTGATTTATCGTTTGCGAGCAATTCGATTTCCACCGATAATGGACTTCTCCGACATCCAACCAGACTCGATATCTTGGATCATGTTGTCCAGCTGTTCGAGTTTTGCCCGGGTATCTCGGTGGGAATTAGAACTCTCAAACCCGTTGTACTCACTGCTGCGAGAAGAGCCGACCCAGCTATCAGGTCGTGTTTGGCGGCTGGAGTATTGGCGTGAAAAAGGAGCGCGTGGGAAGCCTGACGACGTGTTTGGGTCGCGATTGATATCCTCGAGAGGATTCTTGGCACCAGCATTGAGAGCAGCTATGAGAGCGGCCTGTAGAATCTGGTTCTGGCGTTCCAGATTCGCGACCCGGTCCTGGAGGTACTGGTCGGCCTGAGGAGCGGCGCGGGTGTTTTGGCTGCCTTGGGACTCTCTAGAGCGGTGGGTTGATTGGGAATATTGTGATTGAGGAGACGAAGTCTTGTCCAAATTGTGAATGTTGCGGCTTTGGGGTGTCATAGGGCGCGCGGCATTGGGGTAACGAAGTCGATTGTGGGAGGATACCTGCCGTGGATCCATCGTCTCATACGCACGGCGTTGTGGCTGGACCCGCTGGTACTTGTTGGCCTCTAGGCACGATTGTTTGGTGTCGTTAACTAGACCGAAGACCTCATCGTCCGATGAGGGAAGCGGAGACTCGAGGGAAGAGTCGGGGCGAGCTTGTTGGTGGGTTGTAGGGAAGCTCTCGTGTCGAAGGCTACTTCCTGAGCTGTTGCTCCGGGATATGGTCAAAACCCTGGGGTTCACTTCCATATTCCTCGATGATGGCAGAATGGTCAGGTTAGGCGCAGTGTAGTTTCCTTGGACAACCTTTCGCCCAGGAGGTGGAGGAGGTGGACGCTGAGGTGGTGCTAATGGGAGTGATGCAGTGGGTGGAGGCGATGGCAGACCAAATGGCAGGTTCGTCCGACTGGCGTGAGGATCGATCTGAAGCCTGCTCGGCACAACACGTTTGCCATTAGTCTTTAAAGGGATAGGGCGTCCTGGCATAGAGTGTCCAAGGACAGGAGAGTCGGCTAAAGGCCGTCCCTCGGAGACCTCTTTATCATGTTGACTTGAAGGTCTTTCGGGAAGTTCTTGTACTCGAGGGATGCGCACACTTGAAACACGTCCTCTCGGAATGCAATGTTCTGGGGTTGGTTGGTAGTGTTCCGAAAGCAAAATGGTAAACGAGTCCTCGTCATCGGCTATTGTCTCGCTAGCATCGACACTACTAAGAGCGGTTGCTGGGGTCGAGGTAAGGATACATGGGCTGTTGACAGCGGATTCGACCTTCTGATCTTCAACCAGTGTTGTCGAAGGAGAAGGCAAATCTTGTGGCAATGACCCTGAATCAATTGTTCGAATAGAGCGAGTGTTAGTGGCCGGTATACTCGTCGAGCATTGAGCCACGGGTAGTGATGGCAGGGGCCTTGTGGGCGCCGGGAGAGGAAATCCATTCATTGTGCCCAGAGACAACGAGAGCGGTCGAGTTTTGGTCTTATAATGCGACGCAGAATGCTTCGAGGCTTTTCCTCTAGATAGTGCCGCTGAAGAAGAAGAAGAGGTTGCACGAGGTGCAAGTGCACCTGAGCTCCTTGGTCCTACCTCGCTGGTTGGAGCACCTATAAAACCAACTGATGGTCTTTTTGGCTCATCTGAGGCTTTATGTACGTTGTCAGAAGATCCTGTTCGTGAGCTGGATACCGGAGATGCTGGCGATGCTGTGGTATTTGCGATCGTTTGATAGCGAGGAATTGATGAGTTTATTAATAGCCCTTTGGTGGGCTTGCGAGGAGGTGCAACAGCAGGGAAAAGTTTCAAGGTGGGAGTCGAGGGTGGCACATGGCGAGGAGAGGATTGGCCTGACTGGGTTCGTTTTTGGCTATCAATGGACAGTCTAGGCCGTGGCTCTGTCCCATTTACACCTAGGGCTGAATTGATAGTGACTCGTGAGACATTGTCGGCACGCATAGTCGACCCTGTAGAGATAGATGGCCGCTGGTGCTCATCAATTGACACGTTCCTATAGGATTGACTGGTAGAATGCGACGAAAAAGTTGCTCGGGTGGTATGTTGAGGATTTAGGTCTGTCATAGATCTTGACGTTGGGATAGTCGATGGGGATTGGGAGGAGGCGTGATCAGTTGGCTGATACGGTGGTGGCACAGAATCGTCGAAATCAGAAGCGAGTGAGACTGCGCCGCCAACCATAGAGTCAAAGTCACCAAGATCCAGTGAGGCCAAGTGACGTCTTGCCTCAGTTGATCGCCTGCTGCCATCGACTATGGCTTGCAGCCATGGCTGTCCAATGTTTTCCACATCTCTCTTCGATTTCGAAAGGGATCGAGAGAGAGGGTGAGGCAGGTTTTCTTTTGATCGCTTTGTCTCATTTTGTCCCCTTGGCTCATTTGGTAAAGGCGCTGGAATAAGATATCCTCCCTTTGTTAGTGCTTCAATTTGGCGCTTTTGGTCTTCTTCCTTTGACCTGTGCGATGGTTCCTTCTTCGGGCGCTGCGCAAACTGCAAGAGGCGACGATGAAATGGCTTTAAATCCGGCTTCGGATCCTGCTTTGGATCTGGTATAGGATCTGGCTTCGATTCCTTCGGCGAAACAGCAACTGGGAGGGCAGTGGTTGTATCGGAAGGACAAGGACTCGGAGGTGGAGGTTGAGAGGGAGCTCGAGAGTCTGTTTGAGGTTCAGGTGGAGGCGCGGGGCGAGAGGGCATATTTTGACTCTGAAAGAATCGAACCATGTCCGTTAGGCTTTCATTCCTACCAGCTCTTTCAGCTGTACCTGCTGATCGAGCCTGAGGTCGTGAAGCAGTGGTGGCCCGAGGCCTGGGTACGACCAGAGGCCTGGGCGGGGGCCCAGTCTTCGTGGATGTCATGTCGGGGAGCCTGCGCTTCGATCGAGGATCAGGTCGATAAGTCCGAATATTTGGGCTAGGTGCGACAGCACAGTCCTGTAGTGAATCACACTCATGCATAGGGTGATCGATCATCAATTACTGGCTGGTTTTGCAATCCAGCAGTTCCGGGTTGTCGACATCAAAATCCAGTATACTCAACGAGTAAAGCAATAGAAAATGCTATACATACTTCCCAAGTTAGAGGCGAACCGAGGCACTTGGTGCGGGACAAGACATGCTCACCTGCTCAAGAGGGCCAACACGATAGGGGCCTGAGAGATTATATAGACGCGTGCGGAATATGATCTGTCGACGCAAGCTGACACCACTATATACAGGGGGTGATATATACAAAGTCGACGAGAGTTGGCGATGTGGCGTTGTGGATGAGAGGATCGAAACAAAAGTCCACACTGCGAGGCAACGGGAAGGGGAAAGAGTTTAATAGGATTCAAAGTGAGCTATCGCATTCTTACTTAGAGAGTCCTCAAACGAGAACACTGGATTAGTCCGGGGAGACCCTTTTGGAACTTGGAAAGGTACAGGTATATAGGGTGGTTGAGGCTAGAACAGTAGTACGAATCCGAAAGAGAAGGCCTGCAGATGCTGAAAATGGGTTCGTCCAAAGGGATTCCTCGAAGCAAGGTCCCGTGGAGAATCATTTACTTTGGACAACTCTGGCCATCAAATATGCTGTGGTACTTGCGATGTATAGTTTAAAATCGGGAAGGTAATATGATACAGCATTTGTATAGCAAACTCGGTCGTGCCAGTGGCAGCTGCATGTTGCCGTCCGGGATTCGATTGTTTTTAATTTTTTTTTTCATTGTGCCTATTGTAGCAGGGACAATGCTGGCCAACCACAGGCCGATCGCCAATTGAACTGCTTTTCCCCAATTGTTGTTTCTCCTTCTTGTTCCCCTTATATATGAAAGTAAGGGGGAAAGACAAACGTCAGGCCGCCCTGTACTCCGTATTCCGCCATGTACTCCGCACTAGATGTGAGGTATCGGATCTACCAGATCCAACACACTTTTTGCGCCAAACAGTTAACTTAGCGTGATCTTCCTAAATAAAGACTTATGATCGGAGCTGTGCAGATCAGAGTTTTTAGTGATCCTCCAGACAGGTAGTAGAGACAGTCGATCATGGTCGATCTCAGGGATAAACTCCAGATCGGGGAAATGAGAGGGTGATAGCTCTCAAACCTAACTATTGGAAATAAATACGTAGTGATTGAATAACAAGACATATTAATGCAAATCATTTGAATAATATGTCAATATGCACTCCGTACAAATCACACCTGGGTAGGGATAGGGCAGGGATAGAGATATACAGAGATCACTAACCTCACTATTATTAATCTATACACCCTAGTTAACCACTGGCATAAGTAATACATAGGGAAAGACATATCAAGTCTTTAGAGATCCATTTAATTAGAAGAAACTAAAGTTCTGGAAGAATGAATCATAAACTGCGCACTTTCATCATTATCCCTCCCTTGCCTTGATATTCCCACAAATTACCTACATAGGTCGTAGGTAGCACAGTATACCCTACCATTTCCTTGCATTAATCTCCGAAAAACGATCTTCTTCACCTGCAGTGCTCAGCTTCATGATCTCCAATTCCCCGAGCCCCAAAATAGAAATAGAAATAGAAATAGAAATAGCAATGGAAATGGAAATGGAAATAGAAAGAAGATAGGAAAAAGAAGAAGTACCGTACAGACCCACGCTACAAGACATGTCAAGTCATTCCCCCTCTTTATGAAAGAGAATATCCACTTCCGAGACAAAGAAACTGAAAGTGAATAAGAGGCAGTCTACAGCGCACATATCAAACAGATTCGTTTCAATGCGTACTTTTAGCCTTTGGGCCGGAATCGATCGGAGATGGTACTCCATGCATAACATTTCAATGTGTTATAGCCGTTTAATTGCAGAGACATTGATGTTCGGCCTCTGAGATAACCTTCGCGAAGAAATAGAGGCCGAGTTCTCCCCATATCCTCCCTTGAATTAGCTGCAGAAGGATGGAAATAATTGGCAACCAGAGAATACCCGCCAAAAGCGACATTTGACAAAAAGAAAATGAATTTTCTACAGATAACGCTACATTATTTTGGGGGGTTTCTAGCACTACAGGGATGAATGATTGAAATCAATGTTTCATAAAAAGATATATAACGTCCTAGCCTAAGGCTTTTGCTTGTCGCCTTGGTATTGTATATATCTTGGCATTAACCTGCTGCAAGGGCGCAAAGCCACGACCACCCTCGCCGAAGGGACGTACCGATTGGTCTATTCGGTGCTGGTTGTAGTTTCCGTAGGGCGAGACCGTCCGTATAAGGACTGTATAAAGACGGATGCTGTGGTATTGATGTCCGAGCTGGCTTGAATCGGATGCGTGATCCACTGGTGGCTTCATGGATAAAGCTCGCAAAAACAAGGCTCTAGGCTCCAGCCTAAGTCCCTGTACCATTTTATTGGATGGATATTGGTTTTTCTCATAAGCCCTATGCTGAACAGTTCACGGGCCCGGTCCATACGCAATTGCTTCTTTTAACACCTTGCTCACACCAGATGACGCACGGCCTATCTCGCCGCCTTCCTCTCTGGCGCTCTTAAGTCCACGCTCAATTGCCGGCTGGAAACGAGTTGCAAACACACGGAACCTGTCCTCACGGGTTTCGTACATTTCTCCTTCCTCATCGCGCGGCTTCCCAAACAGATTTAGATATGCGAATGGGGTAGATGAGTCCGAGATCATGTGCTGGGCGGTTTGGGAAATAGGGAAGGGCCAGTCAGCACTCTCGTCTTCACCGGACATCTCGTTATCGGCATCGCCGGTAAAAGGTTTCCCGATTCCCGAATCTAAAAACAAAGCCAGAGCACCAAGAGTTTTCACCATGGGCTTGCCCTGGGTGCCGGACTTGCCGAACGAAGCCCGGGTTGAGGACCATTGTGATGACTCTTCGGTGTGCCAGCCCAAGACAGACAAGAAGCAGTTGAGTGTTTTAATCCACCCTCCTGCGCAGGAAACAGTTGATTCGCCCGCTGCCTCGATCATCCATGATAAAATCTCCACGGCAGAACTACGGATGTCCGCTCCGAGATGGGTCATTCCTGCACGAACGTAGGGAAGTAGTTGCGCCACATGGTCCTCGATATCGCCTGGTGGCAGGGTGCGCAAGAGCTTGAGGAGCTGAGTTCGTACACTGGTGGATCCATCGAGAATGAGCGGGAGCAGAGACGGTAAAATGACGCTGACTGGTTGTGGCAGAGGCGAGTTTACTGGTCGAGAGGATATGGTGGTAGTCAGGTAAGCGAGCGAGTCGCGCCGTTGGCTGTCGGACTTGACGTTGAGGAGAGATAAGTTATGCGTGAATGTGGCATTTGAAGTTGGGGCGACAAGGTGGAGGGATTGTTGTGTAAGGACGATTGCTAGGAATTGTGAGCATGAAAACACATCAAATGGCCAGGGAATTGCACATACACTTTGCTTTGAAACTAGTATCGGTGTAGTTGTCGGGTTTCGCTTTGGTTTTTCCAACCTTGAGTTTAGGTTTCTGTAGAAAGGTTAGTGGGTTGAACAAATGAAATGGGGTGTTCGCGATTCTAACCTGGAAATCCTTTTGCTTATCCTTCTTCCTCTTAGAACTGGAACCCATGGCTGCAAAGTTAATTGATTGTTGAAGATGGATGGCTGTCGGGGAATCTTTTTTCGCTCTGATTATCACACGTGATTTATCAGTTGTTGCCTGAGGCATAATGTTTCCTGAACGGGAAGTATATAGTGATATTCTAAGCATCCTTCTTTTCAGTACAATGTTGTATGTGTTCGCAATTACGCCATACTACATATGTATTTCAACTCATTATGAGCTGCCTACTTAGCTTCTATTCCCCAATTATTACAAAAATCTGATGTAGGATTCATATAATATTGATATTTCAAGTATATAAACTCAACGATGCAAATCCGCCATAAGATTCATTCGCTCTATTCGCCAGAAAACTTGTTGAAAGAACCATATGGAGAAAGAATGGTATAACTAACTTTATAAATGTATGAACATCTCACATGAAATTCCACTCTATACAACAATTTTTTAAATCGCCCTCCCAAACCTCAGCATCTATCTAGTCTGCACCTTAACCACGTAATTAGCACCAAAATACTCAATGACTACCACAATAATCAACTAACCACGAGAACCTCCTCCAAGTGCCTTAGCCACCGTCTCCTGCGCCGACTGAAGCAGAGACTTATCCCTCTCGACCCCATAATCTCTCTCTTCCCTCGACCCACTCTGACCAAATTGCCAGATATTATCTGGTGTATCCGATATGCGACGAGACGTCGCCTTCATATCTCCTGCAGAACACAATATATTTAGCCGGTATTCGAAAAACAACATTGGGTACAACTTCAGATATTCAACTCCGAGTCAAACGTCATTCGCCATGCACACAAAGTCCACATGCTGTCACTACAAGAGATACGCACCGGGTTGGAGCTGTTCGGCTATTTTCTCGCGTGCATGACTGGCAGACTCATGGACGCGGCCGACGACACTATCTGTAGTGTTTGTTTTGGTGGTGAATTGTTTGGAGGCTTCTGCTATGTGTGAGTTTGGGTTCTGAATGACCGACGGAGATCCATGAGATAGCTGCTCACCGTCCGAGTTAGACATATTTATCGCCCTGCTGAAAAGAATCAGCTATATAATGTCAAGGTTGACTGAAAGAGGTTCGGTTTCATACTGCCTTTCCAGCTATTTTGGTGTTGGTTGGATTATTAACTCAATAAACTGCGATCTAGCTCGGTTTTGTATGGAGTAAAAGTAATTTATTTCGAAGCTCGAGAATTAGTATCGCCCGACTATTCGTCGACATGACGTGGATTGTTTCCCCGGCTTGATGCCCGGGGGGTGAAATTAGTTGTGATGTCATTCTTCGCTCAGCGTACAGTTGATGGAAAAGGAAATGGAACCTAGGGCTCAACTACACTTAAAGGTGATAAAGGCAGAGGAGATTAATTGAAGAAAATCATGATCACATTGTGAAGTCCACGTCTAAAAGTAACCACGCAAGGATAAAAAGATCCATTAATCGAAGCCTGCTCAGCAGCGCAAGAAATCCAAGAATAGATGAATAGATAATATCAAAAAGGGGACAAAATCAGGAGAGAGATGCGCACTTCTGTCCGGCTCCGAGCTGCGAGACAACAAAGGAAACAAAAAACATGAAAATGAAAACATAATAAGCAGCTCGGGTTCCGGACAGACGCGGTTGTATCAATCAAATCAACAAAAGACAAAAAGCACACGTGACGTAAAGTAATCAGGAAAACATGAGAGTAATAACGGAGCCACGACCGTCGGGGACATAAGTCGTGTCATACGTGATATTATAGTGGTGGCTAGCCCCGTCACACATCAACAAAACTTAGCAAAAGAAAGAAAAAGGATCATGCGGTAGACAATTATAGACTCATTGTCAGCCACTCCCATTCCTGGCTCGCACCCTGACCACCGGCGATACTGTGGTTTGCTGGGTTTGCGGCAGCGGGTGGTGCCATCGCCGGAGCTAGTGGCACGACCTTGGACCGGCTCGTGGGGGCGGCTGACTTGGGGCTATCGTCTCCGTCGCCTTCGGATCCAGTTGGTGCCTTTTCGAGTCTGCGCTGCCGTCTGGGTGCCACTTGCACACCGGCACGAGCCTGGGCGACGCCAGCTGGGGGACCAGACTTGGGTGGGGCAGCGGCAATTGGCACAACACCGGGTTTCCCCAAAGTGTTGGATCCATTCATCGAGGGTGGCGACTCAGAACTGTTGATGCGGGACGAAATCGATGTGGATGGGGCATGTTGAATGGAGTTTTTGCGGGAAGATTTCTTAGATGACCGAGAAGTGCCAACAGCAAGAGTGTTGGCGCTGCTACGGTTTCGCTTCTTGATCACATCGGTCTTGAGCGAAAGCGGCCGGACAACACCATGCAGTTTCAGGAACAGGCCACATGCATTGCATAGAGGCTGGCCCTCTGGATTGCGTCTCCACAGAGGCGTGGTCTGGGTGAAACAGTTCGTACAGGTAGTCGGCCCTGCGTTCGGGTCACCGTTTTTAGACCCACCAGGGCTGCCTGGTCGGGATGGCACAGCACTGCTGAGACCGGACTCTGGAGGTGTGCTTGGCGAGGGGTGGTTTGTCGGAGGCCCGCTGGCCGAGCCATTCAAGCTCTGACGGAGCAGTGCAGCAGCATTGGGGGTCGATGCTGTGCGAGGAACTTTCCCGTAGCGACGAGGATCCTGGTTCTGGTTGCGAACCTCGCTGACCGAAGCAGCGGACCCGTGCGCACGACCAAGACTGCCTCCCTGGTTCCACTCAGATGGGCCATCTATCATGTCTGTGGATCCTATCGTAACATGCTTGCGGTGCTGAGCGAAGCCTGGTAGCGACTGTACTGATCCAGGGAAACCTCCGTCCCAATGAAGACCAGCGCTCATATCACCAGACTCATCCATAGAGGCGAAGTCACTAGGCATGGCAATGCCTCCGCGTTCAAAGTTGCCATCGTCATCCTCATTATCCGAATCACCAAAGGTAAACATGCTGCTGGCAGGCGCTGTGGTAGAGAACTCGCCGTGGCCAAGCACCTGTGACGGGTTGACATGCTGCGGTTGCGGCACCGAAAATCCCGACACATGAGTGGTCGGTGGCCCTGTAACTGCGTTCCCTTGGTGAGAATCACCGTTGGACATGTTGTACATATAACGCGGCTGCAGCGACGCAGACAGATTCGACTGACGCTGCTGAATGTAATTAGGAATGCGGCGCTGGGAATGGGATTCAGCGGAGGGCGCATCAGAAAAGAATATCGACTGCTCCCCTTCATAAATCGGTTGCGGGGTCGATACAGTAGACTGATAGCCAGACGGAGGGGGCGAGAAGAACTCGGTCGAGTTAAGCGACGAAGCGAGCGGCGTTTGGGCATATAGACTTGAGAAAGGATTTCCTGCAGTCATTGGAGACTCTGACGGCGAGAAATGGAAGTTTTGCTGATAAGGCCCGGCCGAGTTGAGCCCGTGGTCTTCGTTGAGGCCATACGTATCCAAACCATAGGGAATGTTAGAGTGCGTGTGATGATGCTGAGGTCTACGCGGACCCACCGTGCCATTGCCAGGAAGAGCAAAGGCAGAGGTTGGATGATCGAGCGAATAATCCGGCAATGCCGCTGACAGTTCCGAGTGCTGCGCCATCATAGCGTTGGACACCGGGGGAACCTGGGGTGAGGCTTCGGCAGGCCGCTTGCGGGTCGGAACAGAGAGACCGGCGAAGAACTGCCGCTCGTCGACGCTCGTTTTGCGAACCCGACGGGGGACGTATCCGAACTCAGAGTTTGTTCGCTGATCCTGGGGTGGGTGGGGGAATGAGGCGGCGGTCGACGACTCCATCATCGCATTGTCTTTACGCGATTTGATAGGGATTCCAGTCGGCGTTGCTGTGAAGTGTCGATCTGCAGAAGGGTGTTCGACAGGAGGGTGTGAGGATTCGGCGGGCGAATCAAAAGGCATGATAAAGTCATCCAGATTCATGGGATCCGAAGTGTCATCAAGGTTCATATCGTTCGAAAGATCGGGCCCAGAGTGCGATACTTGGTCGGACAAACGCATCTGCGCGATGCCGCTCGGCGTCGGGCTTAGGGTTTCCGAGGCACTATTTGAACATCAGAAAATCAGCCGTGTACTTCAAAGATTCGTAGGAGTGGTTCTTACCGAGCCTGTTGCTCCCGTTCCTTGCGCTTGAGATTCATGGCCATCATCCGCCATGTCAGATTCTCCATGCGCTCTTGGTTGGGCAACTGAGACTTTGTCCTGGTATATAATTTCCAAATCTGAGCGGCCAACGGATCCTTCCTTTGCATCTCATCGGGGCTTTCGCCACGCGGTGCACCGTTAGTCCATTCAGGGAAGATGGAATTGCCAAGGACATTATCATTGGTTTTGGAAGAATCGGAGGGACTGAATGGAGAGTCAAAGGAAAAGTCGTCGGACATCATATGAGAATCGGTATCGAAGCCAAGGAAGGCCATAGGCTGGGAAGGTCGGGAAACCCCGTGCCCTCCGTGATGTATCCCCTCCATATTCTCCGATGGAGAGGGTTTGAATGAGAGGGGAAAAGTAATTCAAATAGAGACGACCGCGGGGGGATAAACGGCAAAAAAGGTGGGTTGAATTGAAATTCCCCCGTACCCGCCGTAAACGAGACCCTTGCCGGAACTTGATGATCGAATGCAGCCAAGCGAGAGACGATTGGCAGGATTCAGCCAACGACCAGGGTCTGTCAACGCAAAACGCCTATTAGCACGGGACGGATCTTATAATAATAATATATGGTAATAAGATAATTAAGCTGACGACTGGGAAGAGACGCACGATGAATATGGAGACCACCACCCAGCCTCGACGCCTCTTGGGATTCGAGTCGTGGAGGGGGGCTAGACCCTCCAGACGCTCATGCCCCGAAAGGATATATCTTTTGATGGAAGAAAAAAATTCCTCCCGGGAATGACCAGGAAAGAAGAGAATAAAGCGACAAAAGATGAAATTGGAAAGATGGAGAGAGGGGAGAATGGAATTGTGTGGGACGGGGGGAAAAAGGGCAGGGGATTTACTGCCGACCACGCAATGACAATAACCAAGTATAAGTTAGAATCAAAGATGTACTTTTTTTTCCGTTATAGATATGTTGGAGCAAAAGAATAGGAATAAAAAAAAAAGAAAAGAGGGAAAGTGGAATAATATGATGTTCTAAATCTGCTAGTTAAGGCTCAAGAGTGAATCGAATAAGGTACTTTGTAATATATGGTAATATATATGGTAATATATGTAACTTCCATGTACTAGTATTACACTTGTTACGGGCAAATGACCGATTTACGGCGCTTCGCTCGCCCAAAGAATTTACGTTGTACGTGCCACTCCCGTCGTCTTAAAAAAAACGACCCTTTTTTTACTTTTTCCTTTAATTTTCTTTAAATTGCTTATGAAGAGGGACTTTTGAACTTCTTTTTAATTCGACTTCGTAGGGAGAAAAGTGGTTACTTGGGCATCAGGATCTAGAAGGTCTTTCTCTGCATAACTCTCTGCATATTCGCACGGGCCCTTCTCTTTTTTTGTTAAAACATATCATATTGTCTGACATGGGTATTGTTTTCGAGTACAGAGACCGGCATCTCGAATTAGATCATCGGCCCGAGTGGCCGTAAGGCCCCGTACTAAAGTTGAAACTAATGTATGTGTTTGCCCCCACGACCCTCTTTCTTTGAGTCGGGGCTGGTCCAAACGCAGGTACCTATCAATTTCCATGGCCAGTTGGAAACAGCCGGAAATAAGCTTGTGGGAAGACAGTAACACGGGCACTCCCAAAGACATGCTCCTTAGCGTCCCCGGAGAAATTCCAGATGCAGGTTAAGTGGGTACTGTTCGTTAGTGGAGGTGTAACTCTCGGTCAAAGAGGTCTCGTGGGAATCCAGGACATCCATCTTGTGTTAAGATCTCAAATCTCTTATCTGGAATATTTCAGATCAATGAGATTGCTTTCTGCAGACCCGTGAAGAATTGAAGCAAAGTTGAAAACAAGAAAGAAGAAAAAAGCACCATCAGAAGTGTTTATATCGAAGTTTATAGTCCATGCTTTTAGCGCGGCGCAGCGGGGCGGATGATAGTAAACCGAGCAACGGATGGATCCTCAAAAGATAAGAAATGTTCTATGGGTCTTCCTTTTTCGCCCTTCTCGTTTGGGGCTTTTGAAGGGGAAGAGAAGAGAATGGCGCTGTTTCCCTCAGCTTTGAGTAGATATTGCCATATATCGTAGATATTGCAGATATTCCAAAAAAAAAATAGCCGCGATGATATAGGAGAATCAATCTCATCTCGGTACAATAATATAACTGTGAAGACTCACCGAGAGGCTCATAAAGAGATCCCTATATTACCCGAAAACAGTACCACCCGCGTATGGGGGAGATATACACGATGGCTTGTCACGGAATTTCCCCGATCTTCGCCCCCAAAACGATGTAAAGTACCAAGTAAAAAGGCAACCGACAACTTCGCAAATCAACGTCCATCGTTGGCATTTGGGTAAATTCTTCCTTCGCGGGGGATCTTGCGGTGGACTTCCGTATCGGTTAATATCCCTGCTCTTTCTTCGCTTCTCTTGCCATAGGTTGGCCAGAGGTTTGCCACTGCGGCACTAAGGCGGGGTTCATGTACAACTCCGGCCGGTCTCTCGTGGATTCAGAGTCGATCTCTCAGAATTCCGTGTCGTTTTGATATTCCTCGGGAGTCTGGTCGACTCAAAACCATGTGGGGACGGGGGACCCGGATCGGGATACGGAACAGGCACGCGAGGCCTAAATGGGCCACAAATGATATTCCCATCTTCCAATAACGACGTAGGAGAACGAAGTTAATCAGCTCCAATATACCGTCGAGTCCTCTGAAGCTCCAGAGGACTATTTGGCCCCACGACCCACCATAAGTTGGGGAATCCAAGATAAGAGGGCTTGATAGGAATGTAAATTAGGATGTAATTAACCATGGTCATTGCTGATAAACTGTAGATCGGGGGGACTTTTTTTGGACCTTATCTCTTTGTTAGCATAAAAGTACATGGAAGTCATACGTGTTTCTAATCATATTGTCAAATCCATTTTGGATCAGGGAATATGAGTGGGGGAATAACTGTCTGTCTCAGGCACCCGGATCAACCCGAAGATGTATGTCGCGGGGGAAAGCACTGGGCAATTATTGCCATCGCACAGGGGAGGTGGGTCGTGGCGTCCTGCACATTCAGCCCGCGACGCCAATCTGACGGTACTTTGGTCAATGGTCTTCTCTCACGGGAGTAAGAGGGGTTGGGAGGCCGGTCCTTTTTTTTTTCTGTGCGGTTCTTGCGGTTACGCGAGAAAATATCCCAAAAGGTCGATGCATTTGCCTGATCCCATATGAACAAAAGTGTTTGCCCAGGGGGCGAAGAGCGTGGCGACAAGAGACACCTGGTCGTATGTCACGAAACCAAACAGGGATTCCCCTTTAGGGGAATCCGAGTTAACATAGTCGAGATTGACCGAGTTGGCACCGAAGTGAAGCCGAAGTCAAAAGGAAACACCTGGGACAATGCACTATATATACGTTGTACTCAGGAACTCCAAGAAAATTGACGCCTTGCCGTGTGGTTATCCACCAAAACCGTCTCGATAAGACGTAACGCTACCTAAGGGGCCAAACAATGTGCTGGCTGATATCGCAACCAACAGGGTGAATCCCAGGTATCTTGGCCAAAGAAAATTCAACGTGCAGAGAGAGATAAGACCCCCTGACACAGACCAGAGGAATGATTGATGCGTTATAATTGGATCTATCCCCTACACCGCCATCATACTGCGACTCTGCTATCTCCAGATTTCAACCCCAGAGTTTTCTTTCCACCGGATCTCCGGGGGATCCTCGAATGCGGATCCCGTGGCGTCAATTTATGATGCCGTAAATGGACAATGGACCTTATCTCCGAGGTCGTCTAGAGCTCACTGTTGTCTGTGAGATAAAGACGACTATATCTCTGATGTGACTGATCTTTGAGACATCCCAATGCATCTCCCACAGATATGGGGATGATCAGATCATTGGCTCAATCTGTGATAATCTGTGGTATCAACACTGACGCGACGCCATCAGCAGATCACGCAAGGAGAAAATCACAGATGACAATCTCCTCGGAGTCACCAGAATGCTCTGGTTTATCTTGCCAATCTCGTCTTTGTTCTATCTTGATGGAAGGGCCCTATCAAGTGAGATTTGCGAGGTTATTGATGTACAAATCCATACTCTCTTGGCTATTTGTAATCAGGACTTCTCACCCGGGTTTTCTATCTCCTTATTATCTATCTTCCTATCTCCAAGGCTGTGTCAAAGGGGTTTGTTATCAACTCAGATGACCTAAAGTCCAGAGTTATTTGGCATTTGATGTTCATGTACGGAGTACGGAGTACAGAGTATCCAGGGACATAAATTGTCCTCACAGGGACAATGCTCTGCACAGTATCGAGAATTTGATTGGTATTTCTCAAAGAACCAATAGCCGACTCGACTTTTTACGGGTTTCCGGTTTTGGAATACGTATGATCCTGACCAATAGAGCCTCGAGAACAAGTCAAGGTACTTGCTCGCTTCTCTGCATGTGAGCTATGATGCATTACTCACCCCTATGTCTGACGCAACTTTGCTCCTACTATTTAACGCAAGAAAGAATACGATTCCCATACGGAGTATGTACAAAGTACTACGTGCTATTTTGTTACGTACAATTAGGCTTTGACAAAGCAAGGGTGCACCGTACATGTACGCTTCTGTAAGCAGGAAGTCGGAGAATCATATATCATATCCATAGGTAGGGCTCTTATAATACACGCTTTGTACATTGATAATAGACTAATAAGAACTTTGAAGGGAAGACTGAGGTATTCTAAAAAAATATAGATATGCAATGCAGGCATTGTGGAAAATATATACAAACAAAGTACGTATTTCCAGAACAAATTAAGCACGTGCCTTGGAGAAGGCTGAAAAGAGATAAGATTATAGCTCAGTAGAGAAATACTAGAACAAGGTCATCGATGTGACTCAAATCATGACTGTAACAAAGTATAGTAACACTTCAATTGTTATTCTATCTTGTTCGTTGAGCTGGTCCATATATTTCCTGCATGCAGGAGGCTCATCTTCCTAATAACACAAAAGCGACAAAGATGAGAAGGGTATCCTGTATTGACGAGATTACACATAAATCGTCTATGAGAATAAAGGGGAATAAGAAGAAAAAAAGTCTATATGGATGACCCAAAGAAAAGCTCCAACATGTATGAGGTAGATGACACTCCAATCCAGACAACCACCGGCCAGAAAAAAACAACCCGCATATAACCAGGGGGTAAATGCCACTGAATGAGATAGAGAAAAGCATGCAAAACAAAAAGGGGTTTAGAAAGAGCCTGAAGAGATATAGGGGAAATGAAGAGGGTGGACTATGCCATGATAAAAAAAAATATAAAAAAAGAGACAAGAAACCATGGTAAAAAAAAAAGCCACCCGAAAACCCTTGCGCCCGCTAATGACCAGCTGCAAAGCAGACCCGCCACGGTATATGAGGATGAGGTGAAAATGTAGAAGATCAAATGCCAATTGGGGGTAAAAAGTATGTCCCGCGGGGTATTAGAAATGAAACAGGCCGTCTAGGAATGTGATGTGCAACATGAATTCGGACTCGAAGAAATGCAAAAGGGGCAAGCTTGGCAGAAGTAGAATATCAGAAAAGAAAGGGTTCATGGGTTTGGTGACCGGGCCGGGCCTCCAGGGTGTCCCATCGAAGCAGGGTTAGGCGGGTATGCATGTTGTGGAACAGGGTCACCAGAGTACATGGGATATGGGACGACTCCCATCCCAGACATAGCACTCATATCCTGCCATTGAGGATAGCTCATTCCTGGTGGGTATGGTACGGAGCCTGGAGTCTGCATCTCAGGCGTACCTGGCGAGCCAAGTGGGCCCATGGCACTCGTGGCAGACAGGGATTGTGCGGGCGTGGTCATCCTCCGTTTGGGCTCTGGAGGCATGTGCGGGTGAAACTGATTAGGGTATGATGAGCCCATTTCCTGTCCAGGATAGCTCATAGTTCGAGGCGGTGGCGGCGGAACCTGCCAAACTGTTCCGTCTGGCTGCATAGCCATAGCGTATGCTGGCGTCTGGCCCATAGGCTGCGGCTGGCCTCCCATTGAAGATGCTGCAGATATCGGCGAAGGGGGTGGCAGGCCTGAGGGTATGTTCCCAGGATTCCATACGTTCGGTGACATATTCATCATCTGGCCCTTTGCGGCTGCCATCGTATTCAATAGTTGCGGGTCTGCTATTGTCGTAAATTCGTCCCATGCGACTCCAGCGTCCATTGGCTGGTGCCCGGCAAAGTCTACTGGTCCCATAGGTCGGTCTAGTTCGGATCAATCAGTTCAATTAATTCGTCTGGATCGTAGTGCAGAGGTGATAGTCTGCATGGCACAAACCTACCTGGTGTTAGACTCATGGTGGTTTGAACCATTCCGACGTTGTATGTTGACATGTCCTGCGCGGACGAGGCGTTCATTGGCATAGCCTGGTATGGGTAGAAAGTCTCGGCGGGGTCGGCCATCAAATTAGTCGGAGAGGAAGCAATTGGTGTAGTGTTTGAGCGCTCAGTTGAAGGTGTTTCCAATCTCGAGTTTGGTCGTGATTTCTTTTCAATTGGTGGTTGTTGGTCCACTGGAAAAAACTGACAGTCCTTTCGCAATCGAATGCAGTTTTCACATCGTCCTTCCGTATCATCTGTCGATACAAGACATCGGATCTTTCGTCGTCGACAGTGTACTGTAAATGTATAAGTAAAATAGTCACATGCGGATACGCCACTCTCAAAAGGAGGGGTCTTTTTTGGAATTTCCTCCAGATTGACACATTTTCGCACAGCGAAAATGGAGAGGAAAAGGCGACACGCAAAAGAGTGACGAGTGCTTGGGATTTATTACTGACCACATGCGACAGAGGTTCGATGATATCCTAACTTATTGCGCTTCTTATCATTTGCGTCCATGGCGCTTTGTGAATTTGCTGTTGATGCCATCTGGTCGACAGCTGCGGGCATAGCTCCCACGAGCACGGTTCTCTCGCTGTATTGGTCGAAGGTGCATCAAAAGCCCTGGCAAGGTGAAAGGTGTGTGTTGTGAAGAAGTAGCCGGCTGATAAGACCTCTAGGCGTGATCAAAGATGAATGCGACAAGAATCCGCGCAAGGCTATACAAACACTGCAAAGAGAATATGACTGAGGAGTGCCTCCAGAGGATGACGCTGCTACAATTCCCAGGTTCTGATCCACATGCGCCACACTGGACCAGGTATGATATTGGCGTTTCAGAGCGAGGGTGTTGGGCGTATGTTAGGGCCCGCCGCGTGTCTCAAAGTATACAGGTACTGTGCAGTAGAGTGGTCGAGGATAGATTAGATTCCCAAGTTCGGAGTCCCCCAAATTCCCAAGTCCAGTAATTGCGAATTAATCAATGATTATTATAGTGATTAAAGTGTTGAAATGCCGGGGATTTGGACGGGGTTAGGGCCTAGAAGTTTATTGTGGCCCAGTTTGAGATCGAGGAAGAGATCACACTAGGACAAGTCGATAATAACCAAAAAGAGATTAAAAAGAAATTGGAAAAGGAGAAAAGAAAAGGAAAAATAGGGTATTCAAAGGAGCGAATATGAAGTGAACGGTGTGAAGAGAAGAAGGGCAGATCGAAGATGGTAGGTATAGTCCAACAAGTAGAAGCTAATCGCGGGGTGAAACGCCCAAAGGTCTTGTGTTTTAATTTTTTTGGCTGTTTTATTAATATTTCAAGATTTTTGATTTAATTTAATTTTCACAATGTATGTATATCACGCCGTACGTGGAACAAGGTGGCTCTCATACCAACTAAGACTAACACGGATGTATCGACTTAGCCCAAATCAACTGCAGGTCATTGTCAATGGATGATCAGTTCAGGGGCCCGCGGAGAACTTCCCTTATTGCTCTGATCCTATTATATACTTTATAGTAAAGTGTAGATTTACGCTTGAAGGGAGAGAATTTCTTGTTTTCTCAAAGTTTTTACTGTTCTACTTATTTTTGGTAATACATTTTTTTTGCCCATGTAGTTCATTTTTTTAAAAAAAAAACAAAAATACTGTCATCATCAGATTGGTCCTCAGTTGATTAGGTAACTTGCCAATGCCCCTGATTGCGTACTATAGACCCGGTTCTTCAAATGAAGCAAAGGCGAGGAACCATGGTCTGGGAGCCATGACAACAGTGGAGATGAGTGGATGTTGGATAGTGGTCGCTCAAAGTGTACAATACCAGTTAGGCTTAGGGCCAACAAGGATACCTGTCAATCATTGATGAACTGGGGAATACTTCCTTCAAGTCCCAACTAGGTGATTGGTGACGCGAGCTTAGGTCGGCACTCAGAACCAATGGGCTTGTTAATTAGAGGATCCATCACGAAGAACCTTCTGTCTCAGGTTATTTCAGAGGCTGATCCCTAGAAACCTTGGTGGCTTCTCGAAGGGGAGCTGTGCAGTTCGATCTAAGTGATATTGACCACATGGTCTTCTGGAAGAATAGAATTCCGCTATCCCATATTTCTACTCCGTAACATTCTATGATCTGAAACGAACCATCGGTTAATTTGTGCTAAAAACAGATTCAGGGTCCACGGTTGGTGTGTATCAGGTTATTGGTTATTTTTTTAAATCCTATTTTCCTTTGATAATGTTTTAATATAGCGTCTATTTTTCTAAAAAAAAACTATATTATCTTAGATGTTGGTTTTGGTTTTCGCCCCTTTTCCGATAGATTTAATCCCTATTTGGCTGGCACATTTCTCTAACCAAAAAAAGAAGAAGAAAAACATCAAATATCCATGGAAATAGTGGGCCAATCATTGGTGGCGGACCTTTCTTCATGGATCCGACTACAACATACTATGTACCTTGAAAAGTCTTAACAAAACTCCGTAATAATATGTCAATCAGGATAATCTCTGTTTCAACGATGCCGTATCTGAGCACAATTCCCAGGAACACGTGGCCTTTAAGATTTGATACAATAAAATATAGCATTGGACGCCGTACTTTAGAAACCAATCGGTACATACATGAGGCAAGCACTTAACACAGCCCTGAACTAATACCCAAGTGGGATAACCGTCCGAAAGCCTTAAAAAAATCCGTGGTCATATACAAATAATATAATAATAATACAACATAGGTAACAAAATGCGAAGTCGCAAGCGATCTCACAAATAGTGGAGTTAGTCAAGGTTTAATTAAGGATCATCTTAACGGTGGTAGCGTGTTACAGGTTGGGTCTTGGCATTGTCATGGGGCTCATCTCGGGGGTTTTTTTCTTCTACCTCGCTTCCATGGAGACTCAATGGAAGGGATAATTCCACCCCATACTTCTATATTAAATGTAGAGAAGCCATGGGCCTTATTCTATACAATATAATATACCTGACCAGATGAGAGGGGGAGAGAAAACAAAGAGGTGTGACTATTATCCACTCCCGGTTAAACTGAAGAGGAAAACGTGTCAAAACCCGGCGTGGCTTGAGGAATATGTACTACTGTTCTGGTAAGTGGACTGGAGTACTGGTGTGGTGTATCACGTCAACAACACCCCTCAAGGCCAATAAACGCCACCGATCTTCGTACTCTCTCGTGCTCCTCCAAGCCACTTTACAAACAACGAATAACGTACAATACTTTGTATACACTGTATCCTTTCAAATCCAAGGGGATGCTTCCACCGCCCTTTTGCAAAGAGAAACTACAACATTAATAGGCCCCACAGCTCAGCACCACAGGTCAAAGATCGACAAGCACGGATCTTGAGAAATGCACATGGGACAATACAATTGGGTCGTCTCACAACAGGGACTCTTTGCGGTTGGGGTGCGCCTGCAGCTAATCAATCAGCACATGCATCGTGACGCGGCAAATATTCCAAGGTTGCGATAGATCTCGCAGCAGTGCAAGGCAACTATGCAACCATAGACGCGACGAAGCCATACAATTAATAATATACATATATTTACTAATTAATGCATGTTGTATATAAAATGCAGTACATATACTGTAGCACAAATTTTATATATAATTTGGTCCATTTGAACAATTAGGCGAAGCCCCAACGGGCGTCGCGTCATTGTCGATCGGGAAAATTGTTTAAACTGAAACAGGGTCCAGGGCTGAGCGAGATCTCGTTGATCTCAGCCAAGAATACACCCATGTGGGTGGAGAGATGTAGAAAAGTCTTCCAGGTGTGCACTTTTAGATATCGATTAATCAGATAATCACATCCATGTTGTATCCTAGTCTACCTCGGTCGTCTACGTAAAAAGTAGGTACATAGTGAATATGGTGGTTTGAAACTATTGTACACTTCGAGAAATGCCCCCAATTTTTCCTTTCTGGGATTAGTACGCAAACGCCCTTTTTTTCCCCCTTGCCAAACCCCAACTGCCGAGCCCCGCAGTGGCGTGCAGGTATACGCTACTTTGTCAGGTATACGCTACTTTGTATGAGCTAGGGCTATATTATTCGGTGTTATGATTGTTCTTTGGGAAACTGCATTGATGGTAATTTTTTTGGACTAGGTCTGTCGCGTGGCATACTTTCGGGTTTGGTGCTATTTTAGAATGTCTACTCCGTAGCCTCTACCTCCCAAGGAGTCTAATGAGGCTTATTTGCCCAAGAAACCGCCTGTGCGTATGTATAAGTATGCAGATGAAATTATATGATTAATATGTAAGTCTGCATATAGGTGATATCAAGCAGGTGGTGAGCCCTACTCCGTACAATATACATTTAGAGATACTCCGATATACAATTAGGGTTTTCCCTCTTCTCCCTACAATATATATAGTAACAACACTCCGTACTCCGTACCATTTATATATGAGATCGGAGATCTCCCTGTGGGCCAACAATGCAGGGACCTCACTGGTCTCTCAACTTTGGACCGGCTGTTTCACTATCCTCGGGGCCCTTGACTCCATTCGGTCAGCTCCAAGGGGGAGGGTCACCCTTTTTAACCTGCAACCTGCCTTACGCGTCCTCCCAAGAAAAAAAATAATCCATCCCTCTCTCCATTTTGCCCCTATCATGATTCGCGGCGTTTTTATTTTTTTATTTTTGGTTTTCTGAAGGAGAAGAGGAAGGTGGTATTCACTGTTTTTCCTGGCGTCCGATGGCGCAGAAGGCTTTTCCCCCCTTCTTGACCACGCTTGCATTTCTCTTCTCTCCACGGCTTCTCCGGAGAGAAAACCCGTTGAAGCCACAAGAGGCTTTTTTCCAGTTCCCAAAAAGGGGGCGGCCAATATCCGCGGACTTTTATCCTATATTGTTTTACTCAATCATGGAGAACAATGCCCCAGTTTGCGCGATTATGGCCACATTTCGTCTTCTCGGACTTTTCCCATATACAGTCCCCCAAATTTTGACCTCTAGAACAGTAGCAGCATGGCGACCAATATCTCTATTCATTTGAAAAAAAATGCCTCAGTCGCTTACTCGTACCACAACCATTGCGTCAATGGCTCGAGCTTGTCTGATTGAACACGCGACACAACATGCCACTCGATTTCCTCCGGACCGGCTTATGATCGCATGGCACCCGACAGCGGCGCACCACGCTCGAGCGAACGTTTCCCTGTCTCGGCTGCCCCGCGCATCGATGACCATAATCCCCGGGGCTTGAGTTGCCCCCGCGCCTTGTGACGATGTCGATCGTGGCGCCGGGGTAGTCGAAAGGCTTTCCAACGAAACATAGTTGTATCGATAGGACTTGTGCAGAGGATGGCCTGGTAGACGTGTATACTTGGACACGGGTCTCGTAGGCTGTTGGGTTTCATTCTTCTCGCGGTCGGATTTGCGAGAGGCGACTCCCAACGGTGGACAGCATTCATGCGCGGAGATAAAGCGCACATTATACTTGAGGGGGAAACAAACCGTAGTTGGTTCTCCAGCATTGTGTGCGTCTTTGACGGAGAACGACATGGATGCGGCAGCAGGTGTAATGCCATTCCCATTGGGAGGCTTGTAATCACCGACAGACAGAGTCAACCCTTCGATTTTGACAGTGGATGTTGGAATTGGCCCTGGATTATCTGTTGGGAGTGTAAATGCGTCTGCTGTGATATCTCCCATTCCTAGCGGTGTTGATTCCATCGCAAGCTTGACTCCGTGTTTGATTCGAGGCCTGCTCGACATCTGTGGGACCTCTTCAACAGCGAGTTCCAGCCATCCGCGCTTAAATAATTCCCGCGTATTCACATCCCGGGGCATCATGTCGCTGCTGATCCACCCCATGCATGTATTAGCTCCTGCTGAACTGGACAGGACACGTCCGACAACGCATGCTTTGCTCCACCAACTCCGTCCGCCGTAAACGAACCCTCCATAGAGGTTGGCGATTGGACCCAGTTGATCCAGCACATCTGCGTCGTTCTCAAGGAGCGTCGCCATGAGCAGGTGACTGATCCCCTCTCCGGGTACCACGAATCCGGAGAGCCAGGAGCGCGAGATCCAGCCTAGAGTTTTAGACCGTGGATCACCAGAGCTGCAGAGCTTGACGCGTCGACGGCAGGGGTTTCGTGTGTACATATCCTCCTTGGCCAGTAACAGCTCCTTGGATATCTTTTCCCGTCCCCACCTGTCATCGACGACTACGGCTGGCAGGACCGGATTGTTAGGGTCTCCAAGTTTCATCTCCATGGTAGCTTTCAATTCAGCCAACCTAGGCCATCCGATGTTTTCCGCGAAGACATATAGACCCTCCAGCTGCAATCGAACGTGCGTAGAGCTCAGTTCACAGTCCCAGGCAGACTGTAGATCCGCAACAGGAGACGAGTTACGTCGAGTGAGGCTGTCCAGCAATGGGAAACGGCGACTTTTCTCAGGCGACTTGATGGATTGGGATCTTGAGCGCGAGCCAGCCGGCGAGGGCGGTGGTTGTGGCGATGCGCAAGTGATATGAAGACTGTTGAGGAACCGACGCGCAACAATCAGATCCCAGTTTAGCTTTCCTTCTCGTAATTTCTCGAATTGTAAAAGCTCGTGTAGTGTGAGAGGATGCTCATGCGGATCATGCAGCATGTCGACTCGAACGAACGCATCCAAACGAAGAAGCAACTCAGCAGAGAGGAGCATCTGGATGAGAAACCACTTTCGCTCCATCCCGGACTTGATCAGAACATCCCGCGGCACTTTCTGATTACTGGAATCGGGGTCCAGACAGTCCCCATCACCATGCACGGATGCCTCCCATAGAACCTGTCCTGCCCGGAAGCGCCACTCGGGAAGACTGAAATTGATCCACGCTCCTGGGGTTGCCAGCACGATTGCCAGAGTTTTGATCTGGGATTTGATGCTTTGCGGATGACTCTCTATGATATCGGTAGGTGGAGGGCGAGGGTAAAGGAACTGCGTGTGCAAGATTTCGTGCATCTCGCGCGGACTCTCAATATCCAAAATTGTCCTCGTCGATCCATCTCTGAGCATGTCATGTCGGTGCTGGCGCAGATATTCTAACCGTTGCACGAGAGCTCGAAGGTTAATATCTCGTACTCCAATGCGCTTCCAAGCCTCAGGGCCTTCACAAATGAGTCTATGGCGATCGTACACGGCACCACTCTGGCATTGCGAATACGGTTTGTTGTAGCCCTCCATTATATCGAACGCCGCCATTGCCGCCATGGTTGAGACCTGCTGTAAATACGCAGGGGTTCTCGGCTTTTCAGGGCCGTTGTATCGAACCACGTCAGCAACAGGTAATTCAAGAAAGTGCCGGAAACCGACGGTGCCGGGTTCTTGGCCGTTGTTAGATAGCATGTTGGGCACTTCAAAGATCCCGACATCAAACGTTGCCCTGTTTACGGCGCTTGTTCGGCGTCGCCAGTCATGGACTTGCATGGGAACGCCGCCTTTGATAGCCCAGTCGTCTGGGACTGGCAGATGGGCGTGGAGTGTGCTTAGAGTAAAGGATGCATGGGGCAATTGCTTGCGATCCCACATATGTTGGATTACTGGGTTCTGTTCATCCCATGGGAAGATCACCTGGGGATACCACCGGCCATGCTTGCCTTTCTCCAGAAGAAAGTGAGGTGCTCCAGACAACAATGCCTTGATCTCTTTCGTTGTGAGGATTGAGTCATCTGGTGTACCGGGGTTAGCACCATACGAGATGTCTCTTAGCTTGTCTGCCATGTCTAATCTGGATTCAAGAAGATCGTAGATATTTTGAGGTTGCCTTGGCTCGGTGTGTTCTCCTGGTGCGGGCGAATCGCGCTTAGGGGAGCCAATGGGGCGGGGATCTTGGCTCTCATGTCGTCGGCCACTACTCTCTTGTTGCGATTTGGGCGGCGTGCTGGCCGCATTTAAATCTGACTTTTCTTTTCCCTTTTTCGTCATGAGCTAGCTGTTCTCACGACAAAATAAACATCCTTACTTGTGTTGCGGTTGGAGAAGGTATGTCTGAACTACCACTCTGTCTTCGAAATAGATTTCGGAATCCCCCGTGGTTAGGCTGATCATCTGGGTGCTGGCTGGGACTCTGACGTTGCGATTCTACCCGGTTGAGTGTTGCAGATTCATTGCCAGCAGTAGAAGCTGCATCTGAGGAACGACGTCGGCCAAATATGAAAGACATCAGAACCCAAAGGTATGCAATTATCGCATCTTCTAAACAAAAAAATAAAATGTCCTGGTGAAGGGAAAGTCAATCAAGGGACTGGAATAAGAAATGGGAATGACAGACCTTGAAATAAGCACTATATGCGGAATTGCTGATCTCGGCCCCTTCGGATTCGCGACGTTGACCCTGGAACGGAAATGCGGCAATGCGGCAAGTGGGTGACGGTGACACCGAAATATTTCCGTGTATGCGCAGATTATGTAGATTGAGATGAATTAATCTAAATCCCAAAATTGGATTGTTGAAAAATAGAAAATCGGGGAGGTTAAGGAGGTTAAGGGGGAATTGGGAATGGGAAAGTGATGACGTCTTGTGGACAACCTTGGGTGGCGGGCATCTTATATATTCATACGTTATCTATCTTCCTATCTATTTTATAAGGGAGAAAATAAGATAAAGAGGCTTCTTTATGTACTTCTCAATATCTCATCTTATACGAAAAGAAGACATAAATAATACCCCTCAAACTCAATTTACAATTCAAGCTATAGGGCTTATCTTTGTTGGGCATTGGGCATGCACTAGAAGGACGCCATGTGTACTCCGTACACAGGAAGGTATTTTTGCTTGTCCATATGGGACTGATAATAACTCTTGGAATAGGAAATCTATTTCTCATAGTATTATCAAATCTCCGCAGTAGTGATACTGCTTTTTTTCCCCTTCGTTTACGAGTGCTGGTGGAAGAATTCGAGAACGGTCTTGTATCCGCGCTCGTACTCCTTGCGTACCTCGTCTCTCTCGAGGTCCGATCGCGCAGCCATCCATCCGTGGATCTGAGTTGAGAAAGTCTCCACGTGCTTAGGGACCTTCAAGTTGGCCTCGAAGTCCTTGACATCCTGGACAGGCTCGTCTCCCGATGCGAGCAACGCCATGGGGATATTCACGACCTTTGCATCATTGGCATCGACCATAGCTGGGTGGCACTGCGCAGCAGCTTTGAATAACTTGTTGTCAGCGCCAGAGGCCAGGGTTGCGATCTTACCGCCCCAGCAGTAGCCCAGGATGGACCAGGATTGGAAGTTGCCGCCAGGGGGCTAGCTTGTTGCCTTCGGCAACGACATTGGGAATCTTGGAGAGGGTTTTTGGTGGGACTGCCTTGGTCGAGAAGAAGTTACCCAGCTTCTCCTTGTGCTCCTGGGTGGTGGGTGGATACCACGAGATGTCGGCAGGGCTACCCTCGAAGAAGTCGGGCATGAACACGCGGTATTTTTGGTCGGTCGAGGTTGCTAGGATGTCGGCGCCCTGGATGGTCTGATCGAAGAAGCCGAAGATGTCTGCAAATCGCGCAATTGTATCAGTTTATGGTCGGTTTGTTTTCTTGTGGGGAAGTAGGTGACTGACCATATACGACCAGGATAGCCTTGGTGGCCGATTCTGGGCCAGTGACGTCTATAAGTAATCTCATTAGCTCAATTCATAAGATTTCATAGGAGTTCTGTGAAAGTAAGAACCCACAGGTCTTCAGGCCATTGATGGTCTTGTATTCTCCCTTGGCCTGGTAGCCCTTGGAGACAACAGGGGGGATTCTGAATACGGTGATGGTCAGCGACGCCTAATTAAGGCAGTACAGAATGCAATGGATATGGGGATCACTAACGAGCAACAGGCTTTGCTAATTCCAGACATGGTTGTAGAGAAACGATGGAAGGGATGTGTTAAGGTGGGGTGGTTTCAAGCAACGGTCTGTCTTTGGAAGGTCAGTGGCCTGTTTTTCATTTGGAGTCAGGACTAGAGAGCAACATACAGCTACAATTGAATTCTGAGTTCAAAGCAAAGTTGAAGAGCGGAAGTAGAGGAATGAAACTCGAAATGCAAAGAAAATTGTAGTACCCCGCCGTTCGGCCCTTTCGACGTCATCGGAGCAACACTCGGCAATTGAAGAGATGCAACCCGGTGCAACTCGGGACATCTCAAGGGTATTTAGATCTTCTATTCTATTCTATTATTTCTTGGGGGGTGTAATTTCCGAAGATACATTGTATGTTGAGTTATTGATGCGATCGGATCATCAATCCATGTTGTGTACGAAGATATATATGGCCGAAGCTTGACTATAGCCGGGGTTCCTATGTCTATATATCAACGGGAGCAGACGAGTAGCACAGCTACCTTGGAATGAAGGATACACATTCTAATTAGGTAAAATGGGTCGAACCTCCAGGGCCTGGAAAAGCTGGGGTATTAGGTGAGCAAAAGACTCACGGGACCTTATTATTTGCAGTAAACTAAAGAGAATCACAAATAGGTCTTGAGACCACATTTATGCACCTAAAGGTTTCACCACAGAGACTGTCATACCGGATAGCTTATGAGATTGAGAGCGCAAGGGCGAATGGAATCGGCTAATTTTATCACAAATAGAGCACGATGCTAGAGAAAGTCAACATGTCTTCCAAATTCTTACACCTAAGGCAATACAATGCAAGCAGAATCCACTGTCAGAATCTTTGCCGCAAGGGAGAACCTTAGGGCGACCGAAAGATGCTCGTGGGGCAGTTTCTCATCGAGGGGCGGGAGAGAGTAAAAAAACAAAGAAAAAAAAAAATCAAAACGAAAAATACATGCCGAGACAAGAAGAGGCTCTAGCTTGGCTTCTGATTGGAAAGCAACTGAACCAAAATGACCCTAAACCAAAGGGATCCGTGCTCTATTACCTCTTGAGACCGCATATACTAGCACTTTTATATTCGATAGAATAGGTCCAGACACGTTGGAAAGAACGGCAGACAAAATGTGGTCTCTGAAATCCAAGGGTGGACATACTCCTGCAGGAAACTCATGGCCGCTGATCTCCCGGGATGAGAAGAGAGTCAACGATGAAACGCCATTCCCGAGGACGATCGTGAACGCCAACCGTGAGCCTCTCCGAAGCCACACCGGCAACAGCCGATGCAGGCGACACTAAGGCGTTCGCGATCAGCCAGGTGGATCCTTGCGCGCTGTCACATCTGGGAAGTGTAGGAGCCTTGCATGAAGAGCGACTAATCGGCTGCGAACCGTAGTGGGATCGCCTGAAAATCGAGGGGGAAAAAAAAGGGTCGATCAAGCGGGAACAAGCATAGGGGGCCCAAGATTTGATCAACTGATCGTCGCTGATATCAACCGTTTTGGGTAGGCAAGGTTGCGGCTACAGACGCGGAGGGATTATTGAATTCGAGTTTATTTGATTTAAAGACAAATAAGGATGTCTAGCTCAAGAAATTGTCAGTATACTGCATAGAAATGTATAGAATGTAATATTGGAGAAAATGCTTAGACACAGGGAGGTATGCAGTTCCTAAGAATGTGACTTGGCTCTTGCCTTAAGACCTATACGGAATAAGACTAGTTCCCCCTTTTTATTTTATTTTTATGTCTTCCCCCTTCTCCTATTTGGATCTTTTCAACACTGCAGGCTTTTAAAGCCGAACTACTAAATACGGGGGAAATGCGGACCGGATCGTAATATTAAATTCCCAGTGGATGTGCCAAGGAGCTTCAGCTATTCAGGATTACTATGCATACTTTGTGAGAGTCATCGGTCTTTACTCGGGACATATGAAAAACGTTATTGCGGCAGATCAGCTCTGTCAAGTTCTATATTTTTGGTTTATATGGAGTACAATGATAGACATCGATCGACAGGGCATATCCTTTCCCCCTTTTCTCTACATAAGCATCTGCCACGTCCGTGCAGGACAAAAGAGATGTATTAGTTTGATTGGAGGATAAGACTCATAGAAGGTGAGGTTATGAAGTGTTCAACCGTTTGGCCACCCATTAGACGAGAAAAACCCGAGTGAGTGGATGCTGGAGGCAATTGGCTTCCGAGTGAGAGAATAACGGGTGTTTGAGAGGACCTTTTAAGGTCCGAGCGAAAAGAAGCGAAAAGAAAAAAAACCAAAGCAACCATCGGCCGGTGAACCCCGGGAACCAATTAAATCGATTTGTTAGTTCGGCTATTAGGGGCTGAATAAGGGAGAAGTGCAGATGACCATACGGAGTAGACATATATAGATTATAATATGGTCTATAATATACATATGGTCTGAGTATTTCCCGTATGTTATACACTATAATATAGGGAATATGCTAAGACATACTAATTTTAAAAAAAAAAAATCACAACTGAAATGGTTTTTACCTAACGAATGACAAGACAGCTCGCTTCTCTCTGCCCTGTCTATGGACTTCTCGTATTCTGGCCATTCCGGTCTTGTCCGTGCGTGAACGTATTGATCTTTTAATTGGACAGGAATCCTACCGGTGATAGTAGAAAAGTATGGATCCATTTCATATTTCCTTTTTTTCTTTTTTGGTCGATTTTTCCCTTTTTTCCTTCCCTTTTTCCCCCTAAAAAATGATGGGAAATTTGTTTCTCAATAAAGTCGGGTCCATTCCTACATATTCTCTCCGGAGTCCTTACACTAGCGTCTTTTTTTTTTTTTTTTTTTTTTTTTCACGCGATCAGTCCGGACGCAAGGGATTTTCCCTCGAGGGTCCTTTTTTTTTTATATATTTTTTGTTTTCTAGGGTAGAAACTATATACATACTTTGGGCTATGTTGAATATATAAGTTTAGTAACGTTAAGAAGCCTAAGTAACTAAACGTTCATATATAACTAAACTACATATTGCTATATAATATAAGAAAATAATTAAAAAAAACCATTCAGAACAACCAACCGGGAGAGGTCTTTGTTTAGCTGTCAACCACGTTCTGCTGACACCCCTCTTCTCTTTTCGCCTTTTTTTCCTACTTTCTACTTGGGTTTTAATATATGAATCTGTTTTATTATACCATTGCTTTCCCCACGGTGGCCACCTGGCTAGACCCGCGTCGACTCCATTCCCCGAAAAATCAATCTTATTTACTTTTCTGTATTCTAACTCCCCTAAATCTCTCTTATAATACCTCCCCCGCGCTTGCTATCGCCTCCAACGCCACGGTCCTTTGCCCACCCCCCCCACATCTCTCTCTCTCTCTTCCTCAGCTTCAACTTCCTCGGCGAAACTCTTTCAACTCTTTCTCTTCCCCGAGACCATGTACTACACGCGCATACGTCGACCGTGACAATCTCACTTTTTTTGATCTGGATCTCTTGAGAGCTATTTTCTACTTCCCTTTTTCGAGGGTTCTCTAGTCCTTCCGGAAATTCCCCTATTTCTCGGACCTGAGTCCCTCGACTCTCTTCCATATTTCGATCGCGAGCCCTAGCGATCGCCGATCGCCCCTCCTGGATTCTACCAGCCCTTCCGGGGGCTTACCTGGCGATCGAGATTGGGCCTTGAGCGGATCTTCCTTCCAGCTCACCAACATCAACGACCCCGATTTCTACGTAGGAGTGAGGGACCCATCCGCCAATCTGGCGACTCTAGCAGTACCGGCGGGAATGGGGACGGCCTTGGACGCCCTGTCAGCCCCGCCGTTGAACATTCGTCGTCCTGCGGCCCCGACATTACCTAGCTTTGAGCTTCCACCACCACCGTTCACGTTGGGTGCGGCAGCACCCAAATACGCACATCCAAACCACCCCCCAGTCTCACACGCGCCAGTCAACGTGAGCGTGGGGAATCTGCTAACGCCACCCGCCACGATTCAAACAGGGGACCACGCCACACCTCAGCCATTGGCGCCGTCAACAGGCGCGTCCTCCGAGCTGCCGCCGGCATATTGGTCAGGGGCCAATCCATACGGACAGTCCTGGGGATCCGGCGTAAACCCGTACTCAGCCCGAAGTTCCTTCTCACCATCCGGTATGCAGCGCTCGGTAATATCACCGCCGACGACGGACGGCTTGCCGCACCCATATGAAGGCCCGACATTATCATATCAACCTTTACCCGCCCCGTCAACAATGCCCTCCGCTTCACAACCAGCCATGACAATGTACCATGGCGGACCCACTACATCTCCCGCTCCACTGCCATCAAACGATCCATATGCACCTAAACACCAGCACCAGCATATGTATGCCGCTTCTCCCCCAATGCACAGTCCCCACCAAACCGGGTTCTCCCCCATGTATGGCCCCGCCGGCCTCGGCATCCACCCTCCAGGCCGAATGCCTGTACATAGTCCAGGCGGACAGCCACCGCTGGGATATCCCCGCCAACCCTGGCCCTCATATTCTCTCCCGGCGATGAACGGTCCCGTCATGAGCAACGTGCACAGCCCCGGTGGGCCCATGTCGATGATGGGTGGAATGCAGCCGGGACTTCTACCAGGATTCAACAGTGGACATGTAGCCAGTTCTCAACATCTATATGGAGGCCATCCACCACCGCACGGAATGTCAGCTCCCGCGGCAGACCGACCTTTTAAATGCGACCAGTGTCCGCAGAGTTTCAACCGGAATCACGATCTCAAGCGCCATAAACGGATTCATTTAGCCGTGAAGCCTTTCCCTTGCTCGCACTGTGATAAGAGCTTCTCGCGCAAGGATGCGCTTAAGGTATGTAAATCTGCGATTTTTTGTGTAATAGTTGCGCCGGACACTGACCTTTGCAGCGACATATCCTTGTGAAAGGCTGCGGGAAGGACGGGGACTCGGATGCGAACAGCACCCAGACTGGGACAGATATCAAGGGTGAAGGGAGGAGCGAAGACGGCAGTCCCCTCCTCAATGGACGTTGAACAGTTCCTATATTCCGATATTCCCGTCTGTGAAACTTTCGTCTTTGCGACGTAACTTCCCCCGAACCTTCATCCGCATATATATGGGGGTGAAGTTTGAAGACATTTGTATGTATCTACCGAGGCATTGGGAGTCGGGGTTCCTAGGTTCCTACCGGATTTTGATTTTTCTTTTGATTTTTGTGTTATTTTTTGAGCTTCGGCGAAAGGTTTGTGATTTGGGCATCATGGGAAGGTCTGATCTCTTTTTCTTTTTCTTTTTTTTTTATCCGGATTTATGTTTACTATATGTGCTTATCAGACTCATGTGTGACGTGTGTACCTATCCTGCTTCTCTGTGATTTAAAGCGATTAAGCGAACTGTTAATGGGATGGGCGACGTCGGTATATAAACAACCCTGCATCAATTTTGATATGGAAGATACCCCGTGGAACTCCGAAGTATATCGATCGTCTTAATTTATGTAATAAAAAACAGATAATAAGCCACGTTTTGTTACTCGGCCATTATTGGTTCCCCATCTGTCTGTTGGCGCTTGGATGTGAATTCGTCAGACATATGGCTGCTTTGGCTGCTTTGGCTGAACAGCCATCTCAGCCACTGACTAGGTAGCCACATGGCTGTCTCATTTTCTATTTGGACGACAGGTATAGGTGAGTCTATTTATTCCGGATTTATATCTATATTCTTATGATCTCTTATTTCATTTTCGTCTGGGGAAAGGGGTATGTCTATAGATCCCCATTGTCGTCCGAAATAGGTGTTATTGTACTCCCGAGGTCCATAGTGGCCCATCACAACCAAGGAACTACCTTCCTTATAAGTAGATGATCGGCAACTCTCTTTGAACTCCCTTGGATAATTTATACTTTGAATTCTCCATAGGATACTACTATGTTTCCCCTGCTTTTTCTTTCAATCACAGTGCACCGCTGTTTACCCAGATCTCTATTGGATCAGCAGGTTAAATACATATATGTGTGCAGTTATCTCCTACACCTTTTTATTCTTCCTCTCTCCCCCTCCGCTCTCATCAAGTATCATTCTCTGGCATATCCCTCACAGCGATGTATCCCACCATGCTTCCACTGCTCTCGATATGCGCTCTACTAGCACAGCAAACCCTATCATTCTCTATCTAGCACAGAGTCAACGAGAACCCCTTACCATATCACCTCCGTACAGGCAGATATTCTCACAGGAGCTACCAGATCCCCAGCGTAATACAAAACGGAACCAGCAGAGTCCAATTCGACATCCCCACGCCAGAAACAACACTTAGTCCAGAGACCCTCTTTAGTCTAGACGCACCACAGCTAGACCCAATCAACAGCTCCGTATTCGACTGGTGGTATTTCGACGCCGTCTCAGAAACAAACCCAGACGATTCCCTCGTCATCACATTCTTCACCTCGACCATGAACGCATTCCCATTCCTCCGAGCAAACGAAACCTCCATAGTCAATGTCTGGCTATGGGCTTCGTTCGCACACGGCACCACGTTTGCTGATACTGTCCCGGCCACAGTGGCGACGGTGACTGGCGCAGACCGCAAGGGCGCTAATAGCGCTGGTGACTGGTCCCCTACGGGCTTTAGCTGGAATGCTCCCACGGAGGATCTATCGCAGTATGAGATTGTTATTGCGTCTGAGAAGATCCAGGTTGAAGGGCGGTTGACGTTGACTTCGGTGAGTAGGGACTGCGAATCGTGGGGATAGATAGATTGTTAACCTTGTCCAATAGCATGTACCGCCTCATCTGCCTTGTGGTATTCAACCCGAACGGACTACACTTGAGATTGCGCCTCATACCGGGTGGGTCAGTCTTGTACCTGATGCCGTGGGTGAGGTGGATATGAAGATCCGTGGGTCGACGCTGAAGTCCCGAGGGCCAGGGTACCATGATAAAGTAAGTGGGTTGACCTCACTTCCAGTGGCATGGAGAGGAAAAATGAGAACTCCAGCTGACGGAATCATAGAATTGGTCTGACCGACCCTTTGTGGACTCTGTCAATAGCTGGTACTGGGGCCACGGCCGTCTAGGTCCATACTCGATCGTATGGTTCAGTTACCTTGCCGTTAACGACCCAAACAACTCCACATACGTGAGCAGCTACGTTGCTAAAGATGGAAAGCTGCTCGTATCGGCCTGCGAATCCTCTATTCTCACTGTGAGGCCGATCGGTACCCCCGGGACGACTGGTGGGCGATATCCGCCGCGCGAGGGTGATATACCGATAGGATTCCGATTGGAATATGATCTGGGAGAGGAGCATGGTCGGTTGAATGTTAATGTCTCGATGAGAACGGTGGTTGCGGGGGATAGAGAAAATTATATGAGATGGACAGGAGATATGGTTGGGGAGCTGATTGGGTCTGAGAGACGGACACATGAGGCGGGTAGTGATCCAAAAGGGGGTGAAACACAGTCATCTTCTCCTGTTGGTGTTGCGGTTTTGGAGCAATTCGTTTTACTGGAATAGATGATGCCGAAGACGGGCATTATCAAAGAAAGGCATAATAAGGTCATATAATATACTCACATATGATGTATAGAAAAACATCGCTTTATAGTTCACAACTTATGTAAAAGAAAGAAATAGGAGTATCTCGGAGATACATCGACGTGCAAGCGAAAATAGGAAGACAAAGTAATATATATCAGATATCAGACAAGATGACATGAAAAAAACGAAAGACCATACTCAAACATTACTTGGTTCCTTGCTTAGATTTCCACTCATCGACCAGACCCCTGTAATCCTCAGGACCATATGGCTGCAAGCACCGGGCCAGCAAGCCCTGCTTGCGCTGTGGTGACAAACCCAGTTCTCCCAACATCAGATCAACATATGGGATGGCATCAAACACGAAGTCGGGGTTCCGCCGCCCGAATCCTCCCGGGTAACGATACTTTCCAAATTCAGTAAACAGCGCTGTCTCCCAGGCAAGGTCGATTTCTGATACGTCTTCCGTCTTGAAATCAGACGCAGCACGCACAGCGACTGGGCAGCTTTCACGTGTTTCCGGGGTCAGATCGCCCTTGAAGTAAGCCGCGATCCACAGTGCCTGCGTCTGGGCAATTAGGGTTGTGTTGATGGTCATGGTGATACCCATGAATGCGAGAGAGCGCTCCTTTACTAGCGAAAGTGGGACCATGAACTTCGCTAGCCGGAAGGGGTGCGGCACAGCCGCCTCGGAATGCTCGTCTAGCGGGGTGTAGTGGGGGTTTGGGTTTGGTTGATCACGCAGTCGGGGGAATCGGCGCAGGATCTCTTCGTCTGCCGCTTTCACTAACTTTTCGTTCAGTGGATCTACACTCCAAGGGAATCCAAGCTGGCGATCAATGCCTTCCGGTAGGAATTTGAGGTTTGGAGTGCAACGCCAGCCGGTTGAGCATATCAGCGCTGAAGATGGCAGCGCCTCACCCGATGACAAATGGACGGTGTGATCCGAGAGATGGTCCAAGTCAGCGATGTGCACCTTGATAGTGCCATCCTTGACGAAATCAAAGAAATTGGTCGGATAGTTCAAAATACTGAGCGAGGAAGCGATCCAGAATGGGCTCACCCAAGGCTTCAGCTTCTTCGTCTCCGGATGCTTGTCGTAGGCGTTCAACTGAATAACATCATTGGCCAGAATAGCCCAGAACGTGTCCACAATCTTACGACCTAGCCAGGTACCATGTAGGAAGCTGCGAACGCCATTATACCCATCAGCCTCTCCCCAAATACACGGACTGAACCAGGTCAGAAGCCGTGTGGTGACTAGCTTTTCTAGCCACTTTTTCAAGGGCGTCACGTAGGGCGGCGCCATCCAAATAGGTCCATGGCCGGACTCGCGAATGATCCAGTCTACTTTCATACCTGCCGTTGCGCAGGCATAGGCTGCATCCCAGGCCGACTTGGTGCCTCCAAAAACGGTCGCGCGCTCCCCGGACTGGAGCACGGCATCTTGATATTCCAGGAGATCACGGCAGTGGAAAAGGGGGGCATCAAAATCATCCTGCCCTTTGAAGATAGGCAAGTATGCCTGTGACGTGATACCGGTGGCCACAATCATCTTCTTAGTCTCGATTATTGTCGTATCCGCTCCGTGCAACACGCTCAACTGCCATGTTCCGTCCGAATTGTGTCGCGCGCTTTCCACATGGCGTTCCAGTCGAATACAATCGGCAAAATCAAAGTGTTGTACATACGCCTCCATGTATTTCTGAATTACATGACCTGGGATATGCTGTCCAGGCTTGATGTCGAAAGTCGCTTCGTCCATTGGGAAATCGCTATACTCATACGTGCCCAGCATATTGTTCGATTTGAGGCCTTTGTATAAACGGTGTTTAGCCCATACTCCGCCAATAGAACTGGCAGCTTCCAGTAAGAGTACATTGTGGTCTGGATTGACCTCGCGGTAGGTCTTGATGGCAGAGAGCCCGCTCCAACCTATAGCCCTTGTTAGCCAAATAGTTAGCGACGGTGAATATTCAACTTACCTGCGCCTACTACCACAAGATCCACTGACTCCATTTTCTGAAGTCCCTTACTTTCGTCTTTTTTTCCTTGGAGGGGTAGAAAATAACTGGCTGCGCGACCAGGATTAATGCATGAATTTATGTACAGGCAAACAATCCCAAGCGACTAGATTAACCGGAAACGAAGGAATGGGCGACAATTAAAGTATTAGCGTCGAGTAGCATTTGATTTATTTGGGATTTATTTTCTTTTTTAATTTCAGCCCTCGCTGTTGCAGGAAAGGGACAGGAGGGTGGCATGGTGGGACTGCCAAGTTAGATCACCTAGACAAGCCCACGACGTTGACATTTCCCGCAAACTTTAGCATGGGTGGTATGTATCCCCTGAGACAAATGACGATAGGCGTTAGGCTAATGGTTCTATACAACATAATGGTATTATGGCCACGAACCTAATACTTAGACCCCTTGACCTATCTAGGCTATCTGGATGCACTTGGCATGTATTTTACTTTGTATAACATACAATAAGACGCTTTAATGTCTCCAGGGGCTCTTCAGATAATTCGAAACCGCACTGAATATTTCAGCTTCGGTCCTTAGCTTCGGTCCTTAGCCTCGCTTCGTCGTTTGACCAGTTTAGCCCTGCTGTCAAAGCGTGGCTAGGCCTGCGTGGGTCGCCCGCGCTTCTAATATTGCTTGAGCGTTTATAAGGGTAAGCGGGTTACGAGGGGCAAGCGATGCTCCACTGTTATTTTAGATAGTTTTTACTGTGGAAACAAGGGTGGCTGGCGTTTGCATTTACTAATTTTGTGCCACAAAAAGAAAACAAAAGTCGGATTCAACAATATGCAGGTTGCCATTCTTCAGTTAGTATGTCAATTCTACTCCGTACTATTATCCAATTAAGTAAATTGGTCTGCAAATTATTTGACAAGACTACACAGTTGCCGAATTGAGGAAAAAACGAACTGCCCGTTATTAATATACAGAGTACGGAGTACCCGCTTTTTTCGGTCCACCAAGTTCCAAGGTTGGCGGGAGTTTACGGCTGTATAATAATGAAGGTCTTAGCTTTTTGATATGAAACATATCTACAACATATGGATGGACATGGCATATATGGCATGCTCTTTTGAGGGGCTATGCACAGGGTTAAGGTTAATTAGTATGTACCAAGGTACATAAATCGAAGCCAACCCCTAACCCGGAAGGGAAACCGTGGCCTAATTCAGTTCGATACATATGTATCTCCTGGACTCATTTAGCGCGTTATATTATTACAAACGACATCAGCCACTGATAATAATAATATTATGACTGGCCTGAGAGCCGGTAACTAGTCCCAATCTCTGCTATAAAGTACTAGTATGTATCTACTCCGTACTCCGTACTTTGTACGTACATTCCTCGGAGTAATCTCCGGCCTGATCAGCAACCAAACTGACCTAAAAGAGAATGTGGGTCAGAGAAATCAATACAAGCCAGTACTATGACTTCCTCACATCTCGAGCTAACGGCAGTTAATTGGCTGTAGTACGCAAGCTTTATGCAACTGCGCTACAAAGTACTCTGTACTTTGTACATCAGTCAGCCTTTGAGTTCCGTTTGCTCGTCATAAATTGCATGGAACTCAAAGATATCCCCGGCTGAAATTGCCGGTTTATTGCTGCTTCTCAAAATCGGCCCAGTTGATATTGTGCCTGAGTGCGGTACTCGCGTGTAACAGAAAAAGCCCTCGTATCAGTCAAAGTGAGTGCTGTCGAAGTACCGCCTCGTATTTGGTCAAAAAGTCGCTCTTTACTCCGATCATTCCCCCAATGGGGAACTTCATATCGGCTCAGGGGAGATGTGGACCTTTTGATTGCCGGTTTGTATTTCCATGAACCAGTAAGCTGGGAGTGGAACAAACGGTCGCCTTGACCTTAAACTTCCCCTCCCCGGCACGCTGAAGGACCCGTTCATGTCCAAAGATAGTATGTCGTTATCCAATGAGACTTGGCAGACGGTGCGATGGAGTTGCCATTTTCGCATAATAACATCCGGACCTGTCATAACTCTTCTTCACGTGTTATAATCTCCATAATAGATGGGGCTTGCAGCTTAGTTCGACGGAAGCCACAATAAGTGAATACGCCCGACAAACAGAAATTTGAGATCAATCCTGTGCCTTGCTTTTTCTTTCCTTCTTGGTGTTGGTAAGTCGACTAAGGAGCGGGCTTGGTTCTTTATCCGGTCTGGTTCCAATATCAACGAGGAAGATCAAGGGAGATCATTGAGATACTGTCCTCTGCCGCTCGTTACCCCCCGGATGCAATTGACTTTCTCTCCCTTTATCTGAATGTACATCCTGGATTGAATGATTTTTTTTCCCTTTAATTTTGATGGCATATAGTACAGAACTATCACTGAAACTCGTCAATCATGGATGGGTTTAGTATAGAAGCGTTCTCTCTGTTGGGGGTAGCCATTTTCATCATTGGCTTACGAACTACTGCAAGATGGATTATGGTCGGCCCAAGAGGGTTTCAAGCTGACGATTATCTAATGTTGGTGGCATGTGTGAGTTGGATTGGGATCTGATCTCTTTGCGTTCGTCTTGCTAATATGGGTATAGGTGGTGTATGGGCTAGAAACCGGTGCAGCATACATGGTCGGCGCGTGGTTCATGGGCCTTGCCAATAACTCGATGACGGACGAGCAGCGAAAGAATTTATCGCCTCATTCGGAAGAATATCGTCTACGTCAGGGTGGCTCCAAAGTTCAAGTGGCCGGCTGGTCATTATACACTCTGTTATTATGGTTGCTGAAAACATGCATGGCCATTTTCTACTCTCGATTGACGTGAGCTTTGATCCCACCGGATTCATTATGTCCTTTGTTACTAACGTATATCCTAATGACTAGCGCGGGCTTAGTGAATATGCGAATCCGAATCCATATCGCCTACGTCCTGATCGCCATAACTTATATTGCCACAATCTGCTCGATTCTCTTCGGATGTCATCCAATGGAGAAGAATTGGCAAATATATCCAGACCCTGGAAGTACGTCATATGTTACAAACGACTTATCGGTATGAGAGACTGTGCCTCTGACTATTTGTTAGATTACTGTCAACCCGCCGTGTCCAAGATCGACATCTATGTGACCGTTGTACTTAACGTCGCGACCGACCTTTATCTTATTAGCATTCCAGCGCCGGTAAGTCAACTGTCTAACCATATGTGTGTAACATCACTGACAAGACTTATGTCAAGATGCTTGTCAAAGCCCGACTAAAATGGCGGGAAAAACTCGAACTCCTGATTCTTTTCAGCGGTGGTTTGTTTGTTATGATGGCTGGTATTCTGCGCTGCGTTCTCATCTTGACAGTAAGTTATATTAAGCATTATTTTCTGGGATGTCAAAATCTAATAGTTCATTAGGCTGGCGCAAATGGCGCCCAACAAGCTGGCAGCTGGGCCTGCCGCGAGACTTTCGTCGCCGTCATCATCGGCAACACACCCATGATATACCCGTTGATAAGACGATTCACAAGGCGGGCTGGTATATACATCACATCAAGGGGTGGCTCACAGAGCTACCCTGGGTACCCTCTATCAGATGCCGACACTGGCGGGTATTCCAGACGCAAGAAGTACCGCCATCCGCTGTCGATTCCCGGAGACACCCAATGGAATACAATGAGCGACGAACAAATGATCCTACCTACCTCACGACAGCAACCGCCCACATGCACCGCTGGCGATGGCGACTGGGAGTCCCACAGCCAGGGTAGCCAGACTGGGATAAAGGTTGTTCATGAAACAATTATTCACACTTCCGAGAAGATTCCTCCGCAATAGTACAAAGATTTCCCATATGGAAATATTGAACCCTTTGCATTTCTTTTATTCTTGTTGATGCTGGGCATTTGAGCGTTGGCATGTCTTATTATTTGGTTTCTTTCTGTCATGTATATATTTTTATACCCACTTTCGGCCCGGCTTTTGTGCTTTCTTTTTTCTTGAGAATCAAAGCTACATCAAAGAGTACTACATGTTGTTTCATCCAAGAAATTCGCAATCTGACAGGCTAATTACTGACCTGAATATGTTTATAGATCAACAGATTGTGAGACGGATTGTGATTTAAACTTATTCCATGAACATTGTTGCACATTTGGTTTTGACCGAGTAGATGCAAATTTCCATCCACCTTCAGGGCTGCTGTGGCGATTTCGTCAAGTCTTACATCAATGGGTGGGAATTTGAAATAGACCGGAGTAAGTATGCAAGGAGGGTATCTACTGAGGGCGAAACACAAGGGAGAAACAATCATGGATGTTGACTATCTGGGAATAACGAAACTAGATCTGCGGAGTATAGCGAATACACAGGAGGCCTTGGCAGCTAGCTAGTGATTCAAGTGATGCGATGGGGCCGAAATGAGACCACTAGGCAGTCGCCCATGAAGTACTCTCTGCAGGTCCTGGTGTGTTTCAAGGGTGCTTGCTTTTGTTTCTCTCTTTTGTTTCTCTTCTCTTCGATTTCTTATCTCTTTCTATAACGAGATATATTCTGATTCAGATCTGCAAAATTAAAGTCCGGAAATTTTCAAGGTTGTTCTCACCACGTACATTGTGTCACCCGCAAAGGGGTTCGTGGAACCATGTGAGTTGAATTAAACGCATTAGAAACGCCAGTCTGGGGCTGACTCTGCATTGGGAATATGTCAATGTTCCTGCAATTTTATAATAGTAACATTGAGCTCTATGAAGATCCAACCTTGGAAAGCAAGTGGCATAAAATTAAATCTTTTTCTATAATAATCTATTTTGTAGGTTACCATGTAGTATTTTTTGCAAGGAATTGCATATCATCACTCATCACATGGCAGATTTGCTACGGGAGATCGAAAGTATTGAGTATATTTGAAGACGTTTGGCGTTTTTTGTGGCGTCTATAGGACAGATGCACGTGAGCGTTGATAGCAGCCAGAATTTCTGACTTCGATGAGTCTCCATCCCGCAGACGGAAGGGGTTGCGGTACTATTCATTATAACGCGTATCGAAAGAAGGGATTTTGCTTGTCGGTGAGATCGTCGAATGCAATCTTGTCACGCTGCACCTCATCCAAATCCAAGGATTCCCGAATTCGGTTTTCCCGTCGAAGGACGAAATACAACACGACTGCGGCACTAATTGTGATACAGTAGCTGTACTTCGTTAGATTGGCCCAAAAATGGGGAATGATATGAACTTACCAGATGATCATGCCAGTCCACAATTCTGGGTAATGTTCTGCCTTGGTGTTGCTCTTCACAAGCTGCGGCCCAATGATGTTGCCGACAGTGTAAGCCACGAACACGGTTGCTGCCATGACGGTTTTCTTCGTGGCTCCGGCGACGTTGCTAGCTCCAATTGTGATAATCAGGCTGACAACTGGTCCAAAGAAGCCAGTTAGAGCATAACCAACGACTGGAGTAACTGGGTGATATCCCCATGAGGATTTCCAGATCATGACACAACCAGCAATGACAGGCAGACAGCAGGTAATGAGCAAAGGTATGCGGGTGTTGGGAACAACAGTAGGAATATAACCACAAAGAGGAATGAAAATGACGCAAACGGCGCCGACGGGGAACTGGAATAGCACTGAATGAAGGGTATCATAGCCGAAGGTGGCCACAATCAACGGCCCAAAGCCTGATATAGCACCATTGATGGTGTAGCTAAATTTATAGAGGTTAGCATCAAGAAAGTGTGGTGTTTAATGTTGTAGACCACATAATAAGAGAGGAAACTCACGCTGACGCCATCATGATAGCCACCAGATAGAGCTTAATATCTGTCAAAGCCTCTTTGATTTGATCGAACTTGATCTGCTGACAACGGACACCAGTTTGCCCTTTGCGAAGTCTCTCCACAGCAACCACGCGTTCTTCCTTGGTTAGGAACCAGGCAGAAACTGGAGAATTAGGCATAGTGCAACACCAGAGGCCAAACAAGAAGGTCAAGGCACCAGCCAGAATGTAGATGTACTGCCATCTTTTCAATGATCCAGATGTGATTTGGCCGAATCCATAGTTCATGGCACCACCGATGATAGTGAACCAACCGGTGCCAGAGAACCACCATGCCTGTCGAAGAGTCTGCTCCTCTTGAGTGTACCATCCACTGACAATGGTCATGAAGCCCGTAGGAATAACACTTTCAATGAATCCTATCTTCTATTAGACAGGAGACCAATAAAAGGCACCAAAGTTAAACTTACCAAGGAAGAATCGTTGCGCGAAAAGTCCTTGCCAGCTTGTTACACCTGCAGTGGAGGCACAGACAATAGCCCATACCAGAACAACTGGACCGAGAACAGCTCGAGTGTTAAATCTTTGCAAAATGAATGTCATTGGGTAGAGACCAGCAAGCATTCCGAAATAAAAGATTGATGTTGCCCAGCTGAGCCGTGTAGTACTAACAGTTGGAGGAGAAGTGGAATAATCTTTCACTTGCAATTCCAAGTCAGTGGTCATGCCAAAGAGCGTGGCACTACCCAAGATAGCCTATACAGAGATTAGTATATTTCGGCTAATAGAGATTCGGCGCATTCATCGCACCTTGTCATAGTACACCATGCCATAGCCTGTGTTCGAGTTAGTTCACGATTCCCAGGTCACAGATATGGAGGTTATAACTGACCTATCAGCATGGCAGGCATCAAATACAAATCGATCTTGCGCAGCACCCTTTTTTCCACCACCGGATCGATTTCTTGAGCAAACTCGCTCACCACCGCCAACGCTTCATCTTTTTCAGATGAGGCGTGGGGCAATTCGCCGGCACTAGATATACCATGGACCTCGATCATCTTTTCACGCCAAAATGGCTGCTCTGAACGACGGAAAGGCCGGGAAAGTTATATGTCTTTGGGATATGACTGTATCTAAGAATAAATAAGTGTGAGAGAGAAAATTTGTTTCTTAAACTTCGTACCTTCCAAATTGGGATGTCCGATACCGCGTGGCTTTGCCCTTACCGCCTTCGAATTCTGGCAGGAGCTAGCGACAATCGGGTTAAGCACCTTCACGGAAATTAATTTTACCAAGCTCCCAACTACTAAAAGGGTCTTGTGTTCGTGATGCGATATAAAAGATACTTGATTTAAAAAATCTATGATTGAGGGAGAATTTATGGTTATATGGGGCCCACTAACACAGGGTCGTTGTGTTGGGAGCTTGGCGCGATTATTGACACTCTAAATAGGTCCTTGAGAGAAAGATTTGGTGACACCAAGCTCATTGATATGTTCTCAAATCTATACATTTCAAGAGCTTAACTCGAATAATCCATGCTTTCCATTAAATCCAACAGTTTTTGACGAGGTCTAATACTGACATACGCATCCTCGGTCCTTTATGGAATGATTTAGAAAGGGTTGAAAGGATCTTTCGCACCGGGGGTCAGTACTCCGTCCCATATACTAGATGGGAGCCCAGATCCCACGTGAGACGAATGAGTGTCCGGCTAGCTAGAAATAGCATAGAGCATGGGGTCGCACAGAACATGTTGTATGTGGTCGAGTAAATATCAAATTGATAAAAAAATACTTCTGGATCTGCGCCACGTCACTCTGTACTACTCTGTACTGCAATCGAAGAAGGTGGGTGACGGAGCACGGCGAACGCGAGCATATGATGTCGTCAATTTCCAGCGCTTTGAAGATTCCAAGGTAGATTAGGCCCCTGGTAAGGCCATGCGATAAACTCTGAGGAGATTAGATCTTTGCTCCAATCTTGGCATCGAGATTTTAGCTCAATTTTGGGACCAAGAGAAACAGGGCCGTGATATCTGCAATGAGACCCCATCATGCAGGCCCACTCCATTGTATCACAGATCGTCCACGGGTCTTGTGGTCGATTCCAAGCTGTGGAGGTTACCTCCAGGCATATTTCGTTTGACTAAAAATTCCTCGGTGCTCGGAACTATGGATAGCGACGTACTAGAGGGTCGCCTATAAAATAGAGTTAAAGCTCATGAGTGTTGACACCTTAATCCTTCCTTGATACATTACAAATCTCACAAACCCAAACTGCACTTTGAAATATTTCCGACAATGACAATCAAATTCACCGTATACAAAGGCTCCAAGGATGGAATCAAGCAAGCGGAGACTGAGCGGGAGAACCTCAAAGGAGACGAAGTCCTGGTACGGACCACTCATTCGGGAGTGTGCGGCACAGACGTCCACTTCCAGACAGCAGAAATGGGCCTTGGCCACGAGGGAACAGGTGTGGTTGAGGCAATTGGACCGGACGCGAAGCTTTTGAAGAAAGGCGACCGTGTGGGATGGGGCTTTGGACATGACTGCTGTGGTCATTGCAGACAATGTATGACCGGATGGGAGACAATGTGCCCTGAGCGAAAAATGTATGGGGTTGACGATCTCGATCAGGGATCTTTCGGCACCCATGCCGTGTGGCGTGAGGCCTTTTTGTTCAAGATCCCCGACAACCTAAGCAACGAGGATGCGGGACCCTTGATGTGTGGTGGATCAACTGTTTTCAACGTCCTACATATGGCGCAAGTTCGTCCGACCGCGCGCGTTGGCATCGTCGGTGTAGGGGGTCTGGGACACCTGGCTATACAGTTTGCTGCAAAGATGGGCTGTCAAGTTGTGGCCTTCTCCGGCACAGATAACAAGAAGGATGAGGCGATGAAACTGGGAGCTGGCGAGTTTTATGTGACCAGTGGTGTGAAGGAGTTGAAGGTCAAAGCTCCTATTGATAATCTCATTGTCACGACTAGCGCTCAGCCAGATTGGCCAATGTACTGCAATATAATGGCGCCCGGCGGTGTCATTTCGTCTCTGTCTGTCGATTCAAAGGATCTCAAAATCCCGTATATGCCGTTGATCCTGAATGGTATTCGGATTCAAGGAGGCCTCGTGGCTTCGAGACAGGTCCATAGGGATATGCTTGATTTTGCTGCATACCACAAGATCAAGCCTATCAATATGACCTTCCCTTTGACGTTGGATGGAATTAAACAAGCTCTCAAGACATTGGAAGAAGGAAAAATGCGTTATCGTGGTGTGTTGGTGGCACCCTAGAATGTCATTATGTGAACCAAAACACAGTTAGAATGAATGCAAATGATTGAATGTCATAAATTTGTATTTTTCTTTTTTTGAAAAAGAGAAAATTGAAAGAGTCAGGTGTTTTGAAACATGGCAGAGTTCAACGAGAGAGCAGGACTTCTGGCAGCGAAGAAAAAGGAGAGCGGGAGAGACAACCGCGAGCCCCGCATGCACTGCCACCTGTTGATGCCTCGGACGCCAATGGTGACCATAATAGGGTCGGAAATTGAAACTGGGAATGGGGAAGGATGTGGTGTATATTCATCGGCTGGAAGGCGGGGGGACCTTGAGAGTCGACCGCGCTATCCACATCAACCGCTTGGCAAAGAAATGCAACTTCCATAATTGGATTTTCACAAACATATCATCTTGATCAAACACCATCCCGCCAAAGCCAACTTCTAGACCCTAACATGCCACGAAACAAGCTCAAAGACGTCCCTGAATTGGTTTATCTTCCCCATCTCGAACATCGGCAGGGGGTAGACGAGGCTCAGGCAACCCCAAATCGCGTGCAACCTCTCGGGCCGCCCAGAGACCTGTCACGAACGCGAGAGCAAGCCCGCCGGCGTATCCGAGATTACTGAAGCCACCAGCATCGACGCCTGCGACGAGCAAGCCTGGAATTCTGACTTTATCGGGGGTCAAGGCATGCGCTTTCGCATCGATCGCGATACCGCCGTAGGTGAATGTGATCCTATTGAGCGTTAGATATTGGGAGTTTGGGTGGGTAAGAGACGACCTACGATGGCTGGACCTCCATGGCATAGAAGGGACCTTCCCCATCCACCAAGGGTGTAGGGGGTGAACCAGCACGACCGACAGGGGCGTCAAGGGAAATACTCTTGTCGCCCAAACGAACTACTCGATCATACTTATCGATAGTCTGCCTTGCCTGTACATCGTTCACACCCCACTCGTGAAGAATATCTACCAGACCACTTAATGCTGTGGCACTTCCAACATTACAGCCATGTTCGCGGGCTTTCTGCAGACGATCGATGTCCCCTGCATTAGGGAATAGCGCAGTGACGCAGTGTTGGAGGCGGGTTTTCTCGCTAGAATAATAAATCACAGGTTAGAATATAGCACTAATCTCTTCTCCTGGGAACTAAAATACTTGAACAATATGAACCCGCGGCGCTTTTGCTGTTTGGCGAGATACTGATTGACAATCTCGTCACCTGTGGTTTCATCGGCAAATCGCTTGCCTGCTTCGTTCAAGAGTAGACAGTGTTTGCTTTCTGTGGCCTGGTTAGACGGAAACAACGAGTTGAGGAGGGCTTGCTCTTACGGTATTGCGCGAGTGGAAGATAATCCTTCGGATCCACGTCTTCAGCTCTAAGTGGAGCTGCCAGAAGATGACCGTAGTAGGTGTTCATTCCTCTACTGGTTCCCGCACCAGATTCGATGGCCAGCTTGAGTCCATCGCCCACCGATCCACGATTTGAACGCACAAAGATGTTGTCTCCGCCTTGTCCCAGGTATTTTGATGTCATCCCTGGAGAGCCTTGGAAGCCACCTGTAGCCAGAACCACTATTTTCGCTCTGACTTCGTAATATGCAGCGGGCGAGTTAGAGTAATTCCTGCAAATGACAGCGCCAGTTATGCTCGATCCTGAAACCCCGGGCTCCCTCTGAATCAACTTGACCACGGACGTGTTGGTGAAAATTTCGGAACGTGTCTTGCTAGACTCAATGCGCTTTCGATGGAGGTTATGGAGGTGTGGGATCTTAATTGGGAACCCAATACCTATGATGTGTCAGGATAACTGTTCAACAAATTCTTTTGTTAGTTCTACCAATTGTCATAATACCGTCGAACCGGTCTGCCGTTGGCACCCCATTTTCACGCATCCATTGTACAGCGGGCAAGTAATCGCTTAACCAGGCCTTCTGCAATTCTGGATCTCCTTCTGGGACCCAATTCCTTAGCTTGCTATATGTTTGCGGGGCCCAGCTGACCGTGGTATTAAAAATCTGGTTTGTGTTCAAGATTGACTCAATCACTTACAACATGCCTGCAGAGTAATTTGACGAGCCACCTATACCTGCTTGCTTTTCAACCACTAGGACTTTGGCTCCTGCTTCCGCTGCAAAAGCAGCGCATGCCATTCCAGACATGCCTCCTCCGCAGACGAGAACATCGACTTGAATAGTCTCCATTGTGGACATGGTCAGTATCAGGCCAGAAACTTAGGGTGATCAAAGGATTATATTTTTAAAACCTCGTTAGAACAAGCGGTTAGCATTTGATATAATGATTATACTGTCGAATTTTAATCTTCCGGGGCTATAGATGCCTCGGACCCGGCGAATAAATTAAGTGACCGGGTGGATACTAGGGCAGGGATGCGGGGCTATACAAGTATTTGCTTTACAGTTGACGGCTAAATGTAATCCCGTGGAGTATACGCTCGTGTAAGTAAGGCCTAACAAGGGAATTTGGGTCTTTAATTTGCCTGGTTTGCCTTGCTCGCATCAGGGTAGTGTTTGGGGGACCATTTCTTGTTTTAAGGAATGGACGCGGCTTAACTAAATTCGAGGCTCTACCAGACTCAGGTATGAGGTTGTTTACCGGCGCAGCACTATATATATATATATATATATGTATACACCCTCGGCCGAGATTTGCGACTTATAGCGCTTCAAAAGCAGCCGTAGAAGTAAGCACAAAACTCGAAGCTCTTGAGTCTTGAACGCATCAAATAATAACGTATTTCTAGGTGGCAACCAACACAATGGCTCTTGAGTATGCCTCTGCTATTTGATTCAACTGTACATCTTCTGATGTGGGGAACAAGATTATGCACGTCGATCTAAAAACCATCTCGATCCACTGTTAATATGAACAAAGCTTCAAGCTAGCATTGGAAATGGCGAATATTCCCGCCAGCGACTACGCCAAGTGGAAGAGTCGTTGCCAATGAAAATATTGTGCCAGCCAGTGGATATAGCCAATATAGCATGATATTCAGGATTGTAACAGAGATTTTTGTAACGGAAGCGACATTGGAAGTGGATGGATGTCGAGATGTGTAAACCTTTCTATAAAATCTCATAGCCGAAAACCCCCCGCAAGTTTTGAAATTCCAGGGGCATTTGATATTTCTCCACACTCCTTCTCCTTGGATTAACTTGAATTTCGATTTAATAATACCTCGATATTGTTTATTATTTAATGTAAATTTCATTCCTAGAGCCCTCATGTCTTTGAATTCTGGGGATGATAACTCGTCTGGCCAAACTCGCCCCGCCGCCGCGCCCGCGTGTGAGGCGTGTCGGAAATTGAAAGTATAGCCTTCAATCCTTCACCCCAAGTGATACACACTTGCTAACAAAAAATCGTAGATGAGATGCATCCGAGCACAAAAGGAGCAGCAAGGTGATGCCTTGGCAGAACCGTGCGAACGATGTAGGCATAATAACCGCGAGTGCAATATCCCAGAGCCGAGAAAGCTTGGGAGAAAACATGGTGCTACAGGTCGTTATCAAGGAATTGAAAAAGCCTACCGGAAAATGCAGTTAGAATTGAAGAAGGCGAAAAAGTCTCATGCTGGTGAGAGTGATGAAATGAGGAATTTTGTCGCCGACAAAGACCCGATGCTAGAGCTCTTATTCTCCAATCACCCAGATGAGACAACCAACCCCGCCCAAACGTCACCAGAGCCAGGAACTGAAGGCTCTTTCGGCCCGTGCTATGACTCGATTGTGCCAACTGCACAAGAAGATCAACCGTTAGCAAACCTTGGCTCTCCTATATTCCGCAGCGGTGAACTCTCCCACTCCAACCGCGAACCAATCAGTAATCCTTTGGCCTTACTGGCAGATGCCTCCGATGCCGCACAGGCGTTGGAAATAAACTCAACATCTGCCAACACTTCCCCGGAAGCAAATGAAGCCTCTTCTGCGAGGCGATCTTCAGCTAGCCTATCAACTGGAGCGAGCCTGGGTCGTCAACTGCTGAATCGGCCAGGTTATGTCTCACTCGGCCTACAACTGAGCAGAGATACGCTTGAAGCAGGAATTGATTCCCTGAATGCTCCATCTGAGCACCCATACCGTTACTCGAATTATTTCAAATCGTCTCCACAGGTGCCTTTACACGATATTGGCCCCGATGTTGACCCGGTGGACCTCGGCCTGGTGACCATGGATGAGGCTTGTTATTTGTTTCCAGTGTAAGTCTAAATTCTCTTTGCACCATCGACCCACAAGCACTGATTAATTTAGATATTTTGTCCGCTTGCATCCAGTCAACGGAATCCTAGACCCGATGCTTCACACGCCGGATTTCGTGCGTTCGCGATCGGCTCTTTTATTTACTTGGATACTTGCTTTGACTGCACAATTCGAACATGGGTCAGCATCAGTAGCCAAACGATTGCGCCTTCATGGCGAAAAGCTCTCGAAGCACGTTCATACCTGTGGATATAAGTCCGTTGAAATCGTTCAAGGCTACTATATCTCATTACTATCAGCCACTCCCGCAGAGACACTGGCACAGGAGCGCTCATGGCTTTATACAATCTATGCTTTTGGTGTAGCAGCGGAACTAGGTCTAGACCAAGATTCCCGTGCCAAAGATGCGACACCTCTGAACTCGACTAATGCTTCCTATTATCAAACCCAGGATGCAGCCCCAACACCATTCCCAGGAAATGCCTCGTCACGCCCATTACTGGAGTATCCCACAAAAGAATTCATCGAGAATCAGCGCATGGCGCGAAATCGCGAGAGGACGTGGCTAAGAATTCTACTATGGGAACGGGCGAACAGTGCAGCCTGTGGTAAAATACACACTTTCCCGGAAACAGACTTGACACAAAGAGTCGACACTTGGTGGCTCCACCATCTGGCGGACCCAACAGACAAGCACACATGTGCGTTTATCACTCTGCGACGCATTCTAGCATCACTACAAAGTGAACTAAGACGTCGAGCTCATTTCACAAATGACGATGCCCATTGGGTACGGGAAATGGTTGATACAGCCCTGAGACCCTGGGGTAACATCTGGCTACCAGATCCAACACCCAATTCAATCATATCAGCCTCTGAAAAGCTGTCCAATATTTTCCTACATTATGTTTACCTCCACGGCAGGCTTTGGACCTTGTCATTTGCTCTTCATGGGTCCATAAACGGGGACCAAAATATGGATGCCATCCGAGCGGATTGCCTCCAGGCTGCAGTCAATTGCTGCGAGCTCGCTGTGCGTGATTTGGATGATATCGGAGAGCCATTGTATTGCATGTTAGCTCCAACATGGGCGATGATATCCTATGCCGGCGTGTTAGCTTTGAAACTATTCCCCGTCTTATATGGATCGCGCGTCGGAAACGATGTGGAACTTCTTGCTCTACTAAGCCAAGTTGCTATTCAATTAGAGCGTGCAGGCACGACCCCATCGCATCGATTTGGAATCGCTGCATTGCTTGGACAGCACCTTATGATGATCCTGAGAGCCAGAGCAGCGGGGTTGAAAGAAATGAAAGACCCAAATCAACTTGGCCAGACCAGAACTGATGCTTCGTACAACAGTGCGGGCTCAGATGACGGAGTGAGGCAATTTATGTCACAGCAGTCCCCCCATTCGAAATCATATCAGGCTCTCGTTTCGGATTACGATCCTTTCTTGACGACGGCTTCAATGTCTACTCAGGGCGGTCTAACTGGCGAGGAATTTGCTGACTTCTTTCGAGAAATGTTTGGGCCTGGATTTGGGGGCGTCTTTTGACAATTTTGAAGTTGGTTGTATATTGCCGTGATAGTCGGCGAAGCTTAGAGCGGATGTTGCTATACACTTCCAGAATTGTCCTATTAATATAAATTGACTTCCTGATAATACTAGTATATGACTATAGATGATTGATGTCTCCTGGGTGTAGTCCCTCTCGAATGACGTTTGGATGTCTTAGATGAAGTCGATAGAAGAGGAACAATCCGACTATACCGTTGGCTGTAATACCCTGTGAGTCGTGGATACCATTTGGAAGATTTCAAAAGCTTGGCTAGATTGCTCCAAGTATAACAAGGACAGAATTTCCACTGTTGACATTCTAGATAGGAAACCAGAAGACAGCGAGGATAACTCGTGAAACGATGGCAGTATAGGAGGAGCCCCAGAAGCGCCAACTAGCACGGGCAATGACAGGGAAGGGAACATGGTATACAGCAACCACACTGTCGTTTGCTGCGATGGCCAATGATATGATGAAACAAGATAAGGCGATAATGCTTAGAGATTCACGGTAGGTGAGGCCAACGGCAATCATACCACTGGCGATTGCCCCACACGGTGCATTAAAAAATACGCCGGTTTGTGGAGGTGGCGTCAAGTGGCGTCAAGTGGCGCGAACATCTCGGGTATTCGATCATCCATTTGATGTATTAATGGATGGACGCGAATAATAATCCAAAAGAATCATACAAGCTATTCAATCTGGAATCATGACAATATCCTGGCCTCCATCCAAAACAAACTCATTGGGTATCGCCACCTTGTCCCTCGGTAATTGGCGAGAGCATCGGTTGGAACCACGCCTGGAAGCCGCGGCGAAATCGGGATATCAATGGATCGACTTATTTGATGAGTGCTGGGCCGCGTACCTGGAAGAACATGGACTTCCAGGAGACCAACTTTGGGAACCGACTTCGGAGAATCTAGAGGTTGCTCGAAAATTGGCTCGTGTTGTCAAGTCCTTGGGAATGCGGATTGTTTGCACGCAACCTCTTCGGAAAATCGAAGGAATCAAAGATCCAGCTGAACGCAAAGCTACCTTAGATCTAGTCGCCAAGTAAGATATACCTTACCTTGATAACGAAGTACCGGTATCTGGTGCTCACGTCCATACTAACCTACTGCCATAGACGATTTCCATTCATGCGCGCCTTTGACACAGACCTTGTCTTCATGTGTGCGAATATTCGCACGGACGAGGGTGTAACATCTGATCTCAAGACGGTCGCGAGAGACCTCGCAGAACTGGGCGACATGGCGGCTGCATATGCAAAGGCTGATGGTGGACGCATGATAAAGATTGGGTACGAGGGCTTATCTTGGGCAACTCGAAATACATGGTCGGCATCATGGGAAGTTGTACGATTTGCTAACCGCCCTAACGTTGGGCTGATCGTGGATGCTTTCAATATCCTCGCCGTCGAGTTTGCTGATCCATACAATGCTGCTGGCCACGGGCGGATCTACCCAACCCTGGCGGAGTCTCTAGATGTTCTTACCGGATCACTCGCATCATTGGCCTCGACGGTACCGGGTGATCGGATATTTTTCTTCCAGTGCGGTGATGCGGAGTTGATGAACCCAGCGACTTTCCTCCCTCCAACTGACCCGGAAACACCAGCACTACTCCCATGGTCGCGAAGTCATCGGCTGTATCCTCTTGAGCAGTCTAGAGGTGCGTATATGCCGGTTGAGCTTGTCGCGGCTGCTGTACTTGCCACCGGATACCAAGGTCCAATTTCACTTGAAGTGTTCAATGCATCACTGAACAAACCAGGACAGACCGTTCCGGCGGAGCATGCGTCTAGAGGAATGAATGGTCTTCGCCTCTTGTGCGAAACTGCGAAGTCCATTCCAGCGTTTTGGAAAAGTGACGGTGAACGTAAGAGCGCTATCGCACAAGTGGTACAACGGCTACAGTCAGATGAACACACATAAGCTATGAAAATGAACTTATATACATTTCTATAACTGCCGAATCTGAGGGTAATCAGTCGTACACTGGAAGTGAGAGCCTCATCTCTTTTTACTAGTCTGTTTCTAGTCTAACATTCTGGAATGCAATTACAGCGAATAATCCACGTTCGTCATTCTAAACTGAAATTTGGTGTCTACCGTACGCGGGGTCTCTGATGATACCCTATCTTCAACCAGTGTTACATGATATTTCCGACAGGAACCTTCCAATTCTCCAAGGATTTTTTCCTTGGAGTAATTTCCACACTAGTTTTTCCACTGTTTATAGTACTGCAGTACTAGTTAAGGCCTACTAATTACTAAATATAATAAGTATACTAGTTAATAAACACTGTGGTACAAAGACCCTATTCCTATTCCCGGTTTGTTCCCGTATACGGTAAATCCCGGTTATAAGGATACAAAGTAGACAAGGGGAGAATATCGTTATATCTAGGTGTTCATAAAATCGAAATGCCGCAGGTTGAATATATATTTCTGGTCTACAAGCACATTTATACTCCAAAATTTCAAAAGAAAAGCTTCTAATATTGCTCTGCTTCTCTAGCTCCAGTTTCCTCGTTTCCACCAGCCTTCTATATCTATTAAGCACCCCAATTAACTTCTCTTATATAGCCACTTTCTAGGAGGTTAACATCGATCGGTGAGGCATTTTAATTGGCTGAAAGCGGTCACAGATCACGTGACCGGACAAAGAGGTATTCAATTGATTAAAATCAATCAACCTACGTGACACCCCCTCAATATAACGATTTTTGTATGGCAAATTAATCCAAGCACCGGATTTTGATCGTTGTACCCGGCATCGTTAGAACCAGGTTTTACTGTTACTGCGGGCAAAATTCGTTATAGCGCATTGGCGGTTGGAGACTGCCGTAATTGGCCCCCAATCGTGTGCATTGTCCCCACGAAATGCCTGCGAATGATACTTCTAGGTGAATACATGATCCGAGGGTAACATCGGCTACGAGCGATGTTCTTTTATGCCTAAGAAGGAAGTATCTATCTTTTCCCTAATAAACAGGGCTAGGTGGAGGATTAGTGGTCTCTTTCCTCCGCTCAGGCAACATTAAGGTCTTGAATAAGACCAAAATACTCAGCAAGTACAGATGGCCATGTTAAGTACATAAACAAACAGACCGTGCGTTTAGGAAATGACGCAAATTTCACAAGTCATCCCTTGGGTACAATGGGTAATCTGACACCTGTGGCGTTGCGGCTCAACATGTGGGAGGCTCTACATCCCGCGATTTCATTTTCTTCATTTCTCCCCATTGTTCTCGCTGCGAATTTCACATGATGAGTACAGCGACTGATTTACCATCTTCTGCAAACCGAGGTGATGCACTAGATGCCTTACCACCACCTTACACTGCGGCTGAAGCCCCCCAATATGAAAGACCGTCTTATACTGAATCTACCAGTACATCTGGGTCTGCAACTACCAAATTTCCGCCTGTCATGAACGGATATTTTCAACTGAAAATTACAACCACATTCCACCTTGGGCCGACCGCGGAAGAAAAGTTGTACGCCGTGTCAACCCCTGCGACTATTTTCAATAGCAAACCCTCGCTCGTGTTACACGACGGTCCAACTAATAAGCACCCGGCAATGGCAACGGCACGCGATGATAAGTGGGGAAGAATTAGGCCTATCACAATCACACTCCCACCTCGTCCAGGGTCTCAACATAAACATGACATCGTGGAACAGGTCGTTCCCGGTGGGTCGTTCAAGCATATTTCACCTAGCTACTCATTCGAAATACCCGTCGGCCCGAAGGGAACAACACCAGAGAGATTTGAATGGCGTAACAGCCAGGGCAATGAAATCAAAGATCTCGCTGGTTCTTCTTCTGGATGGAAACTAGTGCGCTTGGCAGCACCAGTGAAGAACAGCGTAGGCGGGAGCAGAAAGCAGCGCGATCGGGGTTATACTAGTGATGGGCTGGAGATTGTCGCTCTTATCGCACACAACACTTCGTGGAGCATGACCAAACGGTTTCGATTTACTTTCATGGGTACTGGGCTGACTGGTACCTTGGGCGAGAATTGGGAGATTTTTGTCGTTACTTCCGCTATCCAACTGTGGTACATCGACGTCGAAACCAGGTCTGCTGCAGGTGCTGCCGCCTCTTAAATTGACTACAAACCCTTGCTATTTTGTATTTTGAGCTTCTGAATCTCATCTAATTCCCGCCGTTCTTCTTGACTATACGACGCCTACCAAGCTTAACGTACCTTTGTTACCGAAAAGAGACTGGGGCCAATATGGGGCCTATTGCTGGTGTGACATTGACCACTGGATATCAACGAGTAGCATTCCCAATCTAAACTACATATGGACTCATGGTACGGCATTTGAAGTTGCATTTCTAGGTCGGAAAGCCGAAACCGGCGGCATGTGCGGGACCGGATATTAACATTTAAATCTCCGAAAGATGGCGATCCGTTGATCAACAAATCTATCGAGGAAGGTACACCGGACATGGTGTATTGAAAGTAATTGCATGTGGACTTTGTCGCTAACCTCGTCCAGTCCGAGATACTCATGTCTAATGTCTCAGGTTGATCTCCAGCTCTCTTTCTCCACCATCACCTCCCGCGAGCCCACTCGGGCTGATCCACCTTCGTCATCAGCGGTTTTCGTACGGAGTACAAAGTATTCTCATGCTATTCGATATACACTCGCTGTTGGTATTCTCCGTGGACTCATGGCTTTGGAGCAATGTGAAGGCTAAAACGCCATGACTCTACAACTTTCGGACACAATTTTTTGTACAGAGTATCGTCGCAATGACTGCACATTCATGCAGCTAAGTGGCTCTTCGACTGTCAATATCTGTCAATTCCTCCCTCTCAGACCCAAATACTCCCCACTTATCCATGCGAAGTTCGGGGGATTTCGCAGAGAAGTTGATGCAGTCATTTCCTTCATATTTATGATATGTGATTCATGGACAGGGCCGGAATTATAATCCGAGATCACGGCAAACCTTCCAACAACGCAAGTTGTCTGTTTTCGAGATGTTCGATTTTTTCTTTAAAGTGGAAACTAACAATTTACCACCTGTCAGAGTCTTTGCTTATAGATCCACCGGCTTCATGGCATTGGCCGGATCGGATCAAAGTTTGGTCTTCCAGAACTTCCTCGGTGGCCAACTTATAGAAATTTGATCCATAAATATGGAGTACTCCATTTCATTGCTTTGATCTCGAATTATTTTGTTCTCTCATTCACTACCTCCCCGCGATCTGTATCCGTTGCACTTATTGTTGTTCGGCTTGATTTGTTGAATTTCCGAAAGTACTATCATGGAGCTAGTGCTACCCAATGACGTACTACTCTTGATAGGAGAGCAACTGGAACATAAAGCAGATCGCTGCAACCTCATCTTTGTCTCCCGTCATTTCCACGATCTTTTTCTCCCGCTGGTATATCGAAAAGCGTCTTTCTACAATTGGCAGGATGCGAATTCCTTCCTGCATGCCATACTGCAACGACCTGCGCTGGCGCGGGCCGTTCGGGAGCTAGATTTAACAGGTTGGCATGCAAAAAGCGTATCAGACGACGACTGCGACAAAATCCAAGGCTCGGAATCTTTGCATGCATGGCTGCATGCTGTATCATGCTCAAGGCTCGAAATTGATCAATGGTCCCAAGATCTTGGAAAAGGCCTCGCTGACGCCTGGGTTGCTCTCGTTTTCCCGCTGTTAAGTCAGCTCAGGAAGCTTTCACTCGCCTATACGACAAACTCTCCTCATTTGGAACGGATTATGCAACAGGCCGTGGATTGCAAACCGCCATTTTCCATCCAACCAGCCTTCCGGCACCTACACGAAGTTTCATTATATCATCGGGAAGATCTCAACCACAACGAGCACGTGGACAATGTGGGACGTGAAACTCAACTATCATCAGCACTGCTCCTACCATTTTTCCAACTGCCATCTGTTCGTACCATCATAGCTAACTCTGTGGTGGATCGGAGTTCCACCACTCCGCCCTCCGATGAACCGACAGATGACGAGAAACCACGCCTTGGTTTCTCGTCAATCACCGATATTGATTTGCGTGCAAGTAGCGGGAACCACGGTATGGAGATGTTGGTTAGTTCATGCGCAGATCTGAAGTCATTTAAATACCAGCATTCGGACTCGCACGTTCTTTCGCATGGCTACCAACCATCCGCCTTCCATCGCTCTCTGAGCCACAGCAAAAAGAGCCTGCAGACATTGTGGCTGGACAACTATGGCAGCCACTACCCTTTCACCGCTGCGGGGTTGAATCAAAACCATGACGAGTGGTTCGGCTCCCTGGTTGATTTCACTGCTTTGCAAGAAGTGCGTGTGAGACTGCCGAATCTTCTCGACATTCGATACCAGAATGAACCAACCACACCTCTCATGGAATGTCTCCCGTCCTCGCTTGAGACCCTTTACATTGAAGGGTGTGAGGAGCAATATCTGGGAATGTTGGTCTCCCAATTACAAACCGTGATCAAAAGCCGCAAGACTCGTTTCCCCCAACTCAAGCGTGTCCATATTGAGGGCGCATTCCACAATGCGCCGTCGGATGATGATGGCCAGGTTGCCAGGCCCGGATCGGATGTACTTGAAGCTGTGATCAAGGAGAAAATATACCAGGCTGCTGAGCCTTTGCATATAGACTGCGCCAATGCCGGTTTGGAGTTGCATCTTCACGACCGCGCTCTATCGCATATTTGATTCTCTGTCCCCATTCGTTAGCAACCTTGGGCTTGCATTTTCCAACATTTTATTTGGCGATACCACCTTGAAGATTTGCATTATATAGATCTGTTTCATTTCTCCAGAGTCATTTGACACGAGACTTAGAATTTCAACTGTTTAGATGATTGAATAGACTTCCATCTTTCATATTCAACTTAAGTGCTGGATTGGTATAAACTACGGCGAAAATTTGATTTATTTTGAACAAGACACACTGATACAGCCTATAAAGATGGTCAGAGACCAGCATTTTTCAAGGAAATGTCTTTAAATGGCATTTCAAATCGAATTTGGTGTGATCAGAGGGTATTCTATAATTTGCATATTTAAAGGGAAGCAAGAACCGTCTCGGCGCCAGATTTCTGCAAACAAGTTGACTCGTTAGCGACCAAAAATACCAAAAGCTAGGTGTAAAATTCCATACCTTGACAACACCCCTTTCGGTCTCGATATCGGCATAGCGGACCTTACCGTGATCGATAACGATCGCATACCGGGCTGTACGGCCGGATGCCTCATCAGCCCAGCCAATGCTCTTGGAAAATTTGGCATCAGGGTCCGAGAGGAAAAGCTATTCATCAAAATCAATACTGATCACAGAGACATGTAACATGCTGTACTCACAATATCATCCCCGCGAACTTTGTTTGCCTTGCCCCAGGCACTCATCACGAAAGGATCATTGAAAGCAACGACAGCGACAATGTCAACTCCCTTCTCGCGGAGCTTGGGCAGGTTCTGGATATATCCAGGCACGTGGCTGACAGAGCAAGTCGGGGTGAAGGCACCTTAGTTTTCACACGCACGTTAGCATTAACTTCAGCTCGCGGGTAATGTCAACTCACCGGGAACCGAGAACAAGACGACCTTCTTGTTGTCCCACTCCTGCGAGGCATTGTAGTTGATGGGGATGCCGCACGACGTGATTTCATCACTTTCCTCGGTCCATGGAATGTACCTAAAGGGATCAGCGGGGCATTCTTTGCGGGGGTGGGGGTTTAATCACTTAAAGACAACGTCGCTAGGGAACGAGTCACCGGACTTGAGGGTAGTCATATTGGACGAATGTGGGTATTATAGATGGTAGATATGAAAGAGAAGTTGGGATTTTGGCAATGGCGGGGTTAAAGATGTTGTGATGTCTCGACGTCAAGCTGATTAATATGAGGTGATCGCGGGGGGCGGAGCTCACCGACCTCGGTATCCGGGCAAGCTCTCATATCTCTCTTCCACTTTTTTTTTTTTTTTTTTTTTTTCACTGTCTGTGTTAATCCAATTAAACAAATCGGAGCTCTAATGACAAACATCATATTGAAACGGACAGGACTTTGATGTGTTATGGCTGGAAAGTCAAGTTCCCAGACTCCCAGATGGTCTCCATATCCGCACAGATTGTTCAAAAGTCAGATTTTGTAATATTTTACTACAAAGTAGTTAGAGTTATGAATTCAGAGACAAACCAATCCTCAAATCACGAGTTTTCCACGTCCGCCAGACTTTAAGAGAATGAGAATGAATCCGCTAATAAAAACTCTAGCGCCTATAGCGGTCGGGAACATCTCTCTGAGTATATGAAGGTCATGGGCCGAGAGCGATCGGCGCGGATTCAGAGTCGCTTCGATAGGATCTGATTGGTATGGGGGACATGTCGTCGTCCGTGCTGCTAGACCAGCTGGGTGAAAGTGGAACTCTCGGCCACCCGCATGGGTATGCGGGAGGCCAAGAGGTTCAGGAGCAACCACCCAGATCGACTTCTCGTCTGACTCTTTCACAACCCAGACGCCATCGATTGGGCCCAGCGAGGGATGGTAGGTAATGAACTTCTCGTTGAGTGGCGTGATGGTTGGTTCTATAGAGGCGCGTGCAGCAGCAACGTCTTTGCTGCCCCATTCAGTTGATGTTGTTTCCGTAAAACAGTTAGCTATTTCTTGCGCTGTGGAGATACTCATCTGGGTCTTCCTTACTAGAGAGCAAGACCATTGACCACAGCAACCCTACCCGTTCAGCACGACGCCTCTCGTGAGGGTCAATGCATTTATCCGGAATCAGAGGGTAGGGAAAAAGGTCTGAGTGTCTGGTATCTATTCGCTGTTGTTTTATTGGCAATGCATTGTTAGTGCTAGGCCTGATTACTCTTGGTATGGTGGGCCAAGAGTGAGGAGAGTTGCTCAAATCCAGATGTCAATTGTAAGGCAGTTTTCGTAACTTTAGAAGTGAAAGAACGACCAGGTGGAAGGGGGGCTTTTATAGTATACAATGGCGTAGGCAAACGTCCACAAATGGTAGGCACAATGAAAAATGGTCAAAGTGAGGTTGGTTGGCCGTAAATTCTCAACATAGACCATAACGTACAATGAATTAGTCCTATATTTAATAAAGATTAAATAATCAGACTGTCTCTTAACAAAACCCATTGAGATCAATATGTCGTGTAGTAGTAAATACCACTCATGGGAACTCTGCTTTAGTCTACAGATTGTCTTTATAAGAAGAGCAATTTGATCAGGGTACTCCTCTTTCTGTCCTTTAGGAGGCTCAATTTCAATTAGCTCCTTTAATGCAGTATAGAGGAATGCAGTTATAATATTAACATAGTGTAAAAACCAGCCTTTGGCAGCTACAATTGCAACAAAGATTTTGAAAGACATAGGCTTCGTAACCACTGTATACACTTTATGAAAATCGAGATCTTTTACCTAGCGAAAACCTCTAGCAACCAGTCTTACTTTGTAGGTACCATCGTGCTTGATTTTGAATACCCATCGAAGAGTAAGGGGCTTCTTTTTACCACTTCAAGTCGCGCGTGGAATCATCCGCCATGTACCATTGATGATTTGTCTCGACAGCTCTTTATGCGCAGCAATAAGCCATTTGTCTTTTTCAACACAAGACATTGCCTCCTGCCAGCCGTTGGGTTCAAAACCAACGTCTTTGGCTGTCAATTTCGAAGGCGTATACTTCTCTTCAAATTTGGAAGTAGCCAGTGAATAAATAGTATGTAACAAGAATGTCGGAAAATTCGGTGAGCAGTTGAAGTACATTGCTGTCAAAGAAGGATTTGCTAGCTAGACTCTCAATGTAAGCCTGGCTGGGTTTTTTGATCCTAGTAGAGCCTATGTTTATAGGCTGCCAAGATTTTTCCCAGCAAGTGCAGATCCTTGTAGCTGGTCAAGTTGATCCTAGGCTGCTCTTTCAGCGCTGCTTCCAATTCCTTATTTTGCTTTCAGATCGTTTTGATAGTCGCATCAGTGCGGGCGACCTTGCCCTCGAATGCTGCTAGAGCTGCATCTAACGAGCAATTATCTCCATGAATCTTGCCTAGCTTTCCTTCCATTAAGGCATTTTTGTGGTGCTTGTTCATTCTTTTAACAAGCTGCCCCGATCAGACTGACGATCCTAATGGCAATTCGCGCAGTGTTGCATACCAGGCATACGAACACAAGATGTAGATTTGTCATCAAGAATCTGGCAGTTTACGGAGACCAGGCCCTGCCTAGGTTCTTCGTCGATTGTCTGGCCTAGTAAAGCCTCAATGTTTGTCTTGTGGCTCGACACTTGCTTTTCGAACAAGAATCCGTTCGGTAATTTTCGCTTCTGATTCTTGCTCTTGTTCTGGAGTATTGGCTCCCGTCGGGGTTTCATTTGGGATAGCCAGTTGAGTAATTCCGTATGCCTTTTGCAGGTTGATACCTCTTGGCCATAGGCATGTCCCTACTCTCTTTGCCCAGTATGCAGGTTTTTATTCGGATTCATTGTAAGCACCATAGGTAGGGTCTGGTGGGACTTTTGAGCGGGTTGTTAGCTAGCCTTCTAGCATAGCGTAAAAGCAAAACAAAGAAAATATAACAGAACCAGAAATCAACAAAGATTGAGCGCGGCAATGAAAAGCAAGGTTTGCCCATCGAATATGATATCTTGCATGTTAGGGGGACAAACGGGGACATCAAAGACAGCACAACATGGTATGACTACATATGGAGCGCCAGTAACTTCTTTGGTCGCATCAAGCTCAGCGCAAGAATACGGCTGCTGCACATGCAGCAACTGTGGGGAAGAAGGTATTAATCGAATTTTGCCCCAAGGTATCATCATATGATCCTGTCAATGAATAAGGAGCACCGAGAGAGGCGAGCCGCCGTATTTTGAATGTACAACGCGCTTCGTGATAGAGTCAAGGACGACAATCTGTACTCAACCATCCGAAGAGTCAAACAACCATGCGGCATCTCTAACAAGTGTTGGTGATGTTTCTGAGACACCGGTTTCGATAAACACAGTAGGCTAGCTCAATTCAGTACTAGGCGGCTAACGTTCAGAAGGGATAAAACCTTTATCTCCCTCCTTCCCTCGCTGTGGTGATTTGAACCGTATGGTCCTGCCCCAGCGATAGACGTCGTTTGACCATACAACTAAATTGCAGATCCACCTTTTGTAGTAGTAGGCCGGCTTCCGTGTCCTTATGTTGGTATCCGGCTGTTAGACGCAAAATGTAGGTGTCTCCCTTTAAACCCGAAACGAGTTGACGCCCTCAAGGTAATCGTGATCGTCGAACAGTCGTTGTGTGCTTTGGGGAATGTTACTTCAGTAGTGCTAAGTACTGATGTGATTCTCGTTATATTCTGTGTCTTTTTCGAGGTTTCCACAAACGCTTTAGCTCCGAGCCTATCACGAATGAGAGCACAAGTTGAGATATACCAACAGTGGAAGAATGATCATAAACATATATATCAACTTGATCAAACGGTATTCCGCCGAAGTCAACTTCTATCTTCGTGAGACAGATTTTCGTCTTCTCTCTCGTCGCTAGCTAGCCCCTTGCATTGCCGCAATACCGTTGAAATACCATATCAGATTGAGTAACTCAGACGAGGGTAGGGGTCGGTTGATCGGGTCATCAGTTGTAACTGTGGAAGCGTCTCCAGAGTAGATCTCAAATTTCTTTTCTATATAGTATAACCTATAGCCTCCAGCAGGGTAGCTGTGAATCTTGTATTTTTGTTCTCGAAACGGGTGCTGGTGGCTGGAATCTTAGTTTACCGTTTGATCTTGTTGCTGAGGATAGGTAACCAATGGAAAGCAATGTGGACCACAGTCTGTTCCCTGTTAGGAGAAACAAGAGGAAAAGTACCAATATCGTGACTCCAGTATGTGTGGACATGGCATACTAGAGTGAGCGAGTTGTAGGTGCGCTCTGTGTTAATGCAATGTTTTGGCTTCCCATTTGCGGACATCCTCCGGTCCTCAGAAAAGTTCTAGCCATTGCTAGAACGCCCCGATAACGCCTGGCGCTTTAGTACCATGCAGCTGGTGAGATATAATATGCGCAGATTCTAGAATTGGATTGCAGTGTTTGGTCACGACAAAGTTCACAATCTCGCTGGAAATACTAAAAGTAAACATTATTAGCGTTGTTGTCTCTTTAAGATTTGCAGTGAACCTACCTTCTTGATAGGATCCTTCTCACGTCTCAGCAACGCAGTACAGGCATCATTTGATTCTGTGCTGTTCAGTCTCCCCAAGCTGGGCAGTCTCCTCAGTGGACTCTGGGGATGATTCTTCGGGAAAAGGGTTGTTCTTTTGCAAACAACTATTTGAAGCAGAAAATGTTAGTCTAGTATCGCACACGTACAAGAGATAGTTTACTTACAAATTCCAGGGATGTTTCCGGGGTTGAGAGAGAGCTTAATACATCTTTAAAAAATAGTAAAACGGCTCGAGTTTTCTTTCTTACGAAATGGCGAAGAACTTTCTCATCCACAAACCACGAAGGGAAAAAGATTCTTTCTGGGTATACTCTCTGTACCAGGAGTACTTCCGACTATGCGACGGATTACTTGTCGCGAGAATCAAAGCTAAAGTCTCTTCTCTCACCTAGCGAGGAATCAACGGCGGATTCCATCTTGGCTCCATCAAATCTCTTCAATGAGGAAATTGTGGTGTCCTCAAAAGGTTTCATGGTGAAAATAGAGAATGTAAAACTGGTAGAAGGGACGAAGAAGGGAGTTGCTTTAGTATAGGAGGGGAGGGGGAAAGAGGAGACTAGGTGTCTACCCGTGGACAGCACTTTGCTCGGTGTGGGCTTGGAGCGTTGGGCTGGTGTTCCCTCAGTATCTAGTATCGCAGTGCATACTACGAAGATTTTTCGTGTTGGCTTTTTGTGCAGTTAGTTTGATACGTTATCAGGTAGGTTCTAGTTAGTATTCCACTAAGATACTTTTTGACAATCTCTTGAGATGTAATTTGAGATTCTCTTATCAATCCTTCATATCACTTATCTTTCTAGACGTCTTCTGAGATTTCTTTTGAGATGCCTATAAATGTCTGTTGAAAATACCTGGAGTTGGGATGGGATGCTCATTGAAAACTTTATGAACATAACGGTCTACTTGCTACTTGGGGTTTGGTGGATAAAATGAGCGTGTTATTGGAGATTAGCAAGAAAAGCACGCAAGCAGAAATGCATGCTAGCAGACTAGCACGCCAGAAGAAAAATAAAGAAGACTAGCAGACCGATAGCCGAGACTCTACTGCGGACGTATCCTAAAGCTAGCCACACCACTGTCCACTGCCACTTGTAGGACGTGGATGTCTGCCTGAAAGACCCCTGAGAGAGTCTAATTAGCAGAATCTCGGATGAGTGTAGCTGTGGCCACTTGAATGGGCTCCAACAGGCGGTCAAAATCTTGACCCGTGGCTGGAATCACGTTAGAGAGGCCCGGATTAGGGATCACAGGTTGTTCAAAGGGGTCTGGAGTACGGTGGTTAAATGAGCAGCGCGCACGCCGGTAGACATTTACCCACCAGCAGTTTGCACAATCGGCGTGTGCTGCGGGCTGACGGGTTGTGGAGTACAGAGACAATCCTCCATACTTTTGTAAACAGTATTCCCAATCCGCATTCGAGATCATGTTCGAGATCATGCCGGTCATAAAAAGAAACATTGCCTCGGTCCGACGGCTGTGTTAGGCTCGACGTGGACCTCCTGTACTGAGTATGGCTTCTGGGTGCTCATTGGTTGTGTGGTTAGGGGAGGGATATTGGGGGATTGTGCGCGCAGTGGACCGAGATACGCTTGGATGAGTGAGCGTGGAGCACTGCTGGCAGCCATTTGCCATTTTTCAAATGTGGGCTGGGCCGAGTAATCCCACCCCAACCTCGGAAATGATAAGCCATCTCTTAGCATCTTCACGAAACCGACTGAGGAATTCGGAAACCACTGCTTCGATGAAAAAGTCAGCCATGACCCACTTGAAAGCCCATTGGGGCAGCGAGCTGGAGGTAAAAATGCTCGGTCCTCCTGTTTACCTGCACTAGCGGTGGGCTTATAGGCTGATATTCTAGCCCAGATCATCTCTAACTATCTGAGTCCCATTGCAATAAGCTTCATGTAGATTGGTCGATTGAGCTTGGTTGTGGCTACATCATGACGTTTTGAAGGGATCACTTTAATTAGTCCAGTGGTCCCTTCCCATTGAAAGCGATAAAACGGCTTCGAGACTGCTGTGACACTCTTCATCGAGCTTTTGGATTGTTCATGCTGAGAGATTAAGGATGACCATAAAATGGTTCCCTGTTACAACCTGCCCCTGGACTGGCGAGTTACACACTAGGCCAAAAAGACCACTCTATTTGAGCAATACGCTCAGACATTCCAGGCTCCGATGTATATAGTGGGACATGACATTCCCACCCCGTTTCTCTTTTAGAGACATCAGTATCTGCTCACGCGGGGCCTGGCCTGCATAAACTGCCAGATGCAGCTTGCTGAAAGAATAGAAAAAGGAATTCAAACAGACAAAATGCACGAAGATGTTCGCTCGCTGGACACAGCTTTAGCAGCCTTTAAGTGCAAGGTCGCCCACGCTAAGGCGGTCATCAAAAACGACCCGCTAACAAAAGAAGGAGCTGGAAAAGACACTTAAAAATAGCCCAAGATGGACTCAATCAGCCGCAAACATCTCAATTCGCTAGGAAAAACTTTGGCAGCCTATGAATGCAAGCTCGTCCACGCAAGAAAGATCATCAAAATGGTCTGAAAACAGAAAAGGAAGATACTGAAGGAAATCAAGGAGGTAGCGGCTATGAGCTATATGGAAGATTAAGATGTAGCAGATGCTATAAACGCTGGGTGAAACTGTGGGAGCTTTTGAGTATAAGCTCACCCATTGTCACGGATTGGGAAAGAGGTGAGGTATTCATAAAGAAGACCCGCCTAGCAAATATTCCCAATCAATAAATATCATTATCCCTCGGGCTTAATTTTTTTTGATCGTAATACTGCGCGAATGATACAATGGAAATGATCTGGAGAATAAGGAATTCAGTTCCAGTCTGAATAGTCCAAGTCCTACCCAGTTCAGGTCGAGTTGAACCCAGAGCGAGCTTCAAACATGTACACAACTGAATTGTATCCACATAGTCCCAACCAGTTGAATCTATGAAGTTCAACCGTTAGACCCTAAAAAACCAAGAATGGCAGTGTATAGCTGTCCACCAATGATAGACTACGAAAAAGGGCCAGATACCCGCCAAACCACTTCGGGTATATGCACCGCTGGCCGCAATCGCCAACTAGCTTGTGTAAATTATTATGGGGCATGAACCCAGAAGATACGATCCAAGCGTGAAGCTAGCGAATTCCAGGGGTACATCCAACGGGCTGGTCACATTTCCTCGGCCTAATTGTTCAATATGGACTGCAGGGATTCTCAACCTCGCAGTAATATTGGAAGTTGTAAATATGATGGATCACATGTGAATACGGCTAGTAAGCGAGCCAAAATCCGCAGAAAGAGGCAGGGGAGGGAAACGATAAAAAAAAAAGCTTACATCCCAAGGCCTTGATTTTATTTGAGGTGTTCGACTGGGGAAACTGTGCGTGCCATGTTTTCAGACCAGAGACAGGGATGCGTGGTGTGTTGTTCACCCAATAGGCCTAATATGAGGGAAGGGTGGGGAAAGGTTGTACATTATTGCCGACCTGGAGCCTCCCGAAGGGGCTCTTCCTGCGTCGTTGATGGCTGTCTTAAGTTGCAAAAACCGAGTTCTTTAACAACCGAATCTTGGTGGTCAGCAATGGATGTGAGCAAATAACCCTTTGATTCTGACTTTCATCCCGAATGCGATGGAAGTCATGTGGCGTGCTAAGTAAGTACCTCGTAAGCGTAGCCGTGATCGCCCATTTAGCGCCTTAATTTACGCCTTCGAAGGGTACAGACTCAATACCCCAGCCCCAACCGCAATGTGGCGCTTTACAGGTGCGCCAAGGCACTAGATATGGGGCCATTTGGGGTTTAACATAGAGTAATTTAAGTCAGAAGGGCCCCTGTGTAGAAATGGTTCAGGGGTGTGGTACACCAGTCTGTCGGCATTATAATTTACTCCCAGGGTGTGCAAATTCCGCATCCTTGTCGGGTCGTACCACGCGAGTATTTCTTTTTATCGGGGAAACAGACTCCGAGGGCGTTGGCTCGTGCATGTGTCGTGTTGCCAAATCATAACGGGAGAGGCTTGTTGCCAAGGTGAACGGACTGCCTTCCGTCTTATGGCGCACTATAGGTCAAGCCTCGCGTAGGCCAAGATCGCAACTTCGATGTCAACGCTAAGCGGATGTCGGCACTTGGATTACTCTTGGCCCTTGGTTCTCTTTGGTGGAAAGTTAAGTTTCTTTGTATTTTACGTTGGTTCATGTTAACAAAGGAGGGGAAAACCCAAGAGACGGGAGACCAGATCCATGGATGTTCCTTACACTGAGACCCTTGAACAAAATAGGTAAATGTCCGACATGCGATGGTACCATGTGGCTTGAGGCGACACTTGAAGTTACATACACTACGGGGCTGACCAGCATCTGACCACAAACTAGTTTGATATCTAGCTGATGATTGGTGATTTGATGACTCTGTGACTTGATGACTCGGTGGCTTTGAGTTTGACAGGGTTATGAAGTGGAAAGCACATGTGGATTCTGTTAGCGTCCTCTATATAGTGTTTTATTTTGAATGCTACATGCATTTATAGTCGCAATGCAACTATAAATGCAGGTATTCGGGGAAATACGCCTTCTTTTTTCCCCCGCATCTCCACATCTCCGCCTTTTCTGTTTTGGGTTTTGGACCCTTTCCCGTTTGGGTATTTTAGTGTTTTACTGTGGTTTTACTGTGGTTTTACTGTTTTTGGGTGTTTTTGGTGTTTGTGTTCAGCTCTTTAAAATCCCTCACCCTTGCTCTTTTCCCTTTTTCTTTCCTCCAACTCTGGAATCCCTTCCTTTTTGATCTAACTCCCTTGCGGAACTTCATCATGGGGTACAAGATCACCAATATTTATGTCATCACCACGGTGGCCGTCATTGGCGGTGCACTATTTGGTTTTGATATTGCTTCTATGTCTGCCATGTGAGTATGCTGATTCCTTAGGCTGAGAGTGGAAGATCGCTGATCTCTTGTAGTCTCGGCACCCAACAGTACAAATGTTTCTTCAACCAAACTGGCACTAACAAGGATGGTAAATGCGGTGGTCCTACCTCTGCCAACCAGGGTGGCATCTCAGCATCCATGCCTGGTGGTTCCTGGGTAGGCGCTCTAGCTTCCGGTTTCGTGACTGACTATCTGGGTCGCCGCGGAGCCATTCAGACAGGCTCTGTGATCTGGTGCATCGGTAGCGCCATCGTGTGCTCATCTTTTGGGGTCGCCCAGCTTGTCGTTGGCCGCTTCATCAACGGTATTTCCGTGGGCATCCTCAGCGCCCAGGTCCCTGTCTACGTCGCCGAATTAGCCCAGCCCAGTAAGCGTGGCCAAGTGGTCGGAGCACAACAGTGGGCCATCACATGGGGAATCCTGATCATGTTCTACGTCTCCTACGGTTGTAGTTTCCTCGAGGGTACTGCTGCATGGCGTACTCCCTGGGGTCTGCAGATGGTCCCCGCCGCCATGCTCTTTGGCTTGGTCTTCCTGTTGCCTGAGAGTCCACGTTGGTTGGCCAAGAAAGATCGCTGGGAGGAGGCTCACGAGGTTTTGGCTTCGGTCCATGCTAAGGGTGACCGCAATGCCCCCTTTGTGCAGGCTGAGTTACAAGAGATCCGTGAGATGGTCGACTTCGAACGTCACAACAAGGATGCCTCATACCTGGACCTATTCAAGGGTCCTATGCTTTACCGCACCCACCTCGGCATGTTTACTCAAATTTGGTCTCAGCTCACTGGCATGAACGTCATGATGCTTTACATCACCTATGTGTTTGGTATGGCCGGTCTCACTGGAAACTCGAACCTTGTCGCATCCTCAATTCAGTACGTCATCAATGTCGTGATGACCATCCTAGCTTTGCTCTTCATTGATCGTTGGGGCCGTCGCACTCCGCTTTTGGTTGGTTCGACACTCATGATGGTGTTCATGTTTGCCAACGCTGGCATCATGGCTTCGTATGGCAAGCCAGCTCCACCGGGCGGTGTTGATGGTACCCCCGAACAGTCGTGGGATCTCTCCGATGCCCCCAAGGCGGCGAAGGGAGTCATCGCTTGCACCTATCTATTCGTTGCCAGTTATGCGCCAACCTGGGGTCCTGTCAGCTGGATCTACCCCCCTGAGCTGTATCCCCTTCGTCTGCGTGGCAAAGCTGTCGCACTTTCCACGTCATCTAACTGGATCTTCAACTTTGCCCTGTCCTACTTCGTCCCGCCTGCTTTTGAGAACATCAGGTGGAAGGTTTATATCGTCTTCGGAATATTCTGCTTCGCAATGACTGTACATGTCTTCTTCGCCTTCCCAGAAACGGCTGGAAAGACCCTGGAGGAGGTTGAATCCATGTTTACAACCCCTGGTCTTGTGCCATGGAAGACCAAGGTGCAGTACCAGCAGGTTCGCAGGCTAGAGCAGGGAGGTATTCAATCAGACAAGGTGGCCGATCTTCACGCGGAGGAAGGAACTGTCCAAACTCCTAAGAACGTTGAGAAAGAGACCACTGTTTCGCAGGTTGAATAGGTACCCAGTCTCCATAATTCGGTACAACACCTCCATGTGTATCCTGAATTTGAACTACGGCCAATGCTTTGTCACCAATGGGCCAAGGTTTCATTGCCTAAATCTATCTAGGCTTTGCTAATATGATGGGTTGCTTTTTATTTCTCCTTAGCTTTAGGGTTATTGCTCCCAGGACTTTTTTAATTACTACTTAACACCGAATACCAATGCTTCTTGCTTTTATTAGTTTACCAAGATAAAGATCTTCTTTTAAGTTGCAAATTGACAATAAATTCATAATGACACGTGACTTGTACAAAAACAATTCGCACAAAACCGAGTTGAGCCAGAATCATCCAACACTATTGTCGACTTTTCTCAGAATTTAATCTGAGAGTCCAAGCCGGGGCAATGCTCGCTAGACTCCTCGGTAATCTCATCATAAGGGGCTGGGAGAGTCCAGATGAGGTCGTATCTATATAAATGTTAGAAAAGTCGAAAAGTATGACAAGGGTCAAATATTAACCTGTCATCCGGATATTGCGGCGCATCATCAAGTCCCATAGTCTCCATAATATCAGTGATAGCATCGTGCTCCCAGCAAATCAGGATATTTGTCAGGCCCTTTCCATCATATTTATCCACGACCTGCTTGACACAACCTGGATCATCCCGATCGCAAGAAATGTCAACCTCAAGGCCAAGATCATCGGCCAGCGGCTTAACGGTGTCGTAGGGACGGGCGCGCTTGCCATCTGTGTTGTTCACGTTAGCCCTCTAGGCTATAATACTGCATGTCGAAGCCACACAGCACAGGGACAGGGTATAATCATACTGCTCTTGGGCGTCTGCGCCATAATGTGGGTGATCTTATATTCGGAATCCTTGCCGAAAACGTCCCGCAGGCATTGGGCACGTTCGAGGCCCATGGCGTTCAACCCGTTTCCTCCATCTTCAGGCTTTTCTCCGTGGCGGATGAAGTAGAGTGTGGGCTCGCGGGCTGTTGCGAAAGATGCAATGGCCAGTAGGCCGAAAGGTACAAAGCCAAGCATGATGTCGGATGTGAGGGAATAGTAGAGAAGGAATTTTATTTCACAATGGGGTAAGTGAACTTCACATTAATATATGAGAGGGTGGTCTAGTCTTTAATAGCAAGTGAGTGACTTCAAAAACACCAACCATTTATCAATCGACAGGGACATGTCACGTTCCTGGGATTTAATTGGATGTGATTCGGTCTTAGCCTTATGGGGAAAATGGGCGGGCCCGCTTCTAATGAAAATGACGGACTTGAGCCAATAGTAGCATTGTCAGCGTAGTATTGACATCTTAGTGTGCTTCACTTCTTGACTACAAAGGGAAACTCCCGGTTTCTGTATTGCATTCTGCATTACTCACAACGGAAAAGATAGGCGATCATAGTAGAATAGGCGGTGCGCCTATCCCCGCTCCCGCCCCCGTGTTTTGAAGGCTACAAGAAACTATTCTACACTAAGAAAATGGTGGGATTTACATACATTAGTCATATCTCTTGATAGCAGGTTTTGTTATTCTATCCGTTTGATCACGCTACTGGAGAGGTTTCTAATGAACTTTCTCTTCTTCCCACTGCGGTTTATAGTACTTCGGTCCATACACAGAGCACGCAAAGAAGAGTTTACAAAGCACATAAGCTGACCTCGAAAACATGGCAAACTACGCTAGACTATTTAGTATCTGCACTATGCAAAATCGATCGTGGGACTTGTAATTATGGGACACTGTTTGGATTTAGCAGTGACAGACGAATTCTACAATTGAGGCAACAGCAAGCAAGATCCAGCAGTGACGCATGTATTTTCAACTACGTACTCAGTGCACCACAATTGTCAATCTTTAGTTCTATATGGTACAGTAGACTACCTAAGATGACCTTTCGTGAGGTATATACACAAGAATATAGTTAGCCAGATATGCGGCCTTGTCAAGTCATTTTGATAGTGGACTTGACAGTCTTTCAGTAGTCCTTCTAGATATCTTGTCAGATATCTCCTTGGTTGTAAATTTGATCAAGATATCCATTCCCTTTTGGTGTTATAGCTAAATATAAGGTAGAGTCAGCCACCATATCGAATATATATTCTACCCTTGTCAACGCTTAGCACCGAACGCTATTATGTTACGCACTCCAATCGAGCCCAATCGAGCTTTATTATCCAGTTAAACAGACTCTATTACTTGAATCAAACACGAAGACCAATATATAAGCTTAAACCGGAGTTTGCTATGAACTCAGTGGTGATTTGATTCACTTAAATGTCACAGGCAACTGTTATCATAGAGGGACGGCTGAGAGGGAATTGAAGGGGGAGCTCCATCATGCGCTCGGTCATTTTGTTGCAAGATAAAGTTTGGCTCGCCCGCTTCGGGGGACAGTGGTGAATAATAACGAATGACAAAAGCATGGGTTAGGCTGCCAGCGACCGCGCTGGGGGTCACATCGGCCTTTTTGGCATACTACGGCTGTTGTGGTTGTGCTGGCTGTATGATATATGATAATTGGGGATGTTCGGTGTTTGTGAGGATATTATTGGATTAACAGTAGTCTCCACCACAAATCACGCGCATTTCTTAATAGGCAGGCAACCCCCAATTTCTGCTGCAAGAAATATTTCACCCTGCCAACTTTGGAAGATGCTCCATCATAACTACTCCGTACTGCATGCAGAGAACCTCTCATAAGATAGAGCAACCACATCAGTGCGGCTTCAAATTCCTTATCTTTACGTCATACAATACATCAAGGTCAATGGGATTCGTCGCTCCGATAGTGCGGAGTTGAAGTGGCATAATGGCCCTGTGGGTACCCAAGCTACGGCGCTACCCCGGTTTATACCCAAGAACCTGAGAATCTGCAATACTTTTAGAGAGATTCTCTTCCTTTCCATTAGATAGCTATGCTGGGGAACTAGACCGAGTCAGAAAATAAAGCTTGATTGCATGAAGAGAGGAGATATCACAAACAGAGATGAGAGAAGAACAAAGGAGCATGAGTGACTCCGAGTGCCTGGCACCCAGGGAACCCTCGAACAATAATTTCATTATGTAATAGCCCCTATGGTGTTTTCTCGAGAATATACCTTCGCAGGACAGTAGAGAGGCAGATTGATATCTGCTCTCGATCATCACTATATTTAGATGCCTGAGTACCTATTCGCTTGAATTCCCAATTGCACCATGCCTCATAGATTGACTCCTCAAGATTGAGTTTCTCCCTGACATCAGTTCTCAAGGTTCTTTCTTCAACTCTAGAAACAACCCATCAGACATACCTAGTAGTTCAGCTGCTATTTTATCGTAGGATGTCAACACGCATTTGAGGTCATGATACCCCCATCGCCTTTTACTACCCAGCTATATACCGAGAAGGTCGGCAAATTCCGAAAAGTACTTCTTGGGCTGAACTCACTCGCTATCTCTCTCTCTCAAAATATCATTAGAGTTAACAATATCTCTTCCAAGGTTGTATCCCTAACAATGTAGAGCGTGTTACGATACTCAACCAATTTGAAGCTCACCAAAACATACCTACCGCTAGGTTGATTTGTCTACACAGTTTGGAAAAGAGGGATTGACTACCTAATCAGGACTTAGATAGGTGAATGACTGATAGAACAAAAAAAGATTGATACACTTATATATAGGTAGTCTTTGACAGAGCATGAGCCTTTGAACAAGAGTCCTGTGCCTGTGCCTATGGGCCTATAGTAACATTATATGCACCATCACAAAAGCCATAACTCTGGAAGCTTCCAAGGCCGTAGTATATATATTTACGAGTTGTACCCGCTTGGCCCCTCACCATTGTAGGGATTTTTCTGCTTGTAGCTTTTCACCTCCGGCATCCGGATTTCTGCGATGAGGTCTTCAAAGGCATCCAATGCGGCCATCACACGATCATAAGTTTCCAGTCCGTGGCCTGCCTCATATGCTTCGATATACGGGGCCCTTGCATCCCGAATTGCGTCACGTGCCCATCTCCGTGCAACTCGTAGGGCCTCCGTGAAGTGATCATCATTCCAAAGTGCCCACCAATTCTGGAGGTTGTAAGTCTCGGTCGTTTCTTCGATATCGCTCAGTGTTATATATCCATTCTTTATCACATGGTCAAATCGAGCCTGGAATTGGGCATCCCGAATATACTCGAAGGCCGCGAATGCCTAGCCATGTTAGTTAACTTGCTAATCAGGGGCGATGTGGGACCGGTACTTACCACCTGGAGTTTCGAAAGGAACACGTTAGCTTCTTCCATCGTATCTACCTTCACGGCTTTCTTTGCTGCTGTCTGGATAACCTTCAAGTCGACCGGGTTTTTCAACTCGAAGATTTTGCCCTTGCGAATATTAAGCGAGGCCTCGACGGCCATGAAGGGGTACGGGTTGTCGTCTGATCCGAAGACTTCTCCAAAACGTTCGTTAGGCTGCGCCGGCTGCTTGCCTTTGCTGTTACCTACAGGCGGTTTCTGGGCCAATTTGGCGGAGGCGAAGCTCCATTTAAAACGCCAGAAATTCTCAGATATCGGTTTGAGATGTGCAATGCGCCCAGAGGGGAGTATGCCACTCGCCATTGATTCAAGTACGCTGTCCTGAAGTCTCTTGTCAACTGGATGCTCACTGTTTAGGCCACTAATCTGTGCTGCGGTCGGTTGGTCAGGCAAGTTCGTGATTTGTAAAACAGAGCCCCCGCAGGTACCGGTCCGTGTCCTGAAAGCCTTCTTGAGCACCAAAGCTGCCTGTTTAATAGTGAACAGCTTTCCCATAGATGGATATTTAGCGATAATCCGAATGATCGTGAGCGCCCCCACTGTGAGCGAAGTTTGCACTTTCCCAGCCCGTTTTTCGAGACTGGATTCGCTGGGCGAGACAGGCGAGAGAACGAGAAGCTCGCTCGCAGCTCGTTTCAGAATGTCATTACGATCACTTATTGAACAATAGCCGCTATCTTGATCATTACACTTAGTTAAAGTGCATACTGCCTTTCTCGTCGGTGCTTTCTTCACTGTGCAGCACGCTGCTCTTTTTCGGCCCCCTAAATATCATCTTTAGCTTTCAAAATCTATGAGAATGATGGCGGAAATCTTACAGTCACACGTAAGATAGCCATCACCTAGGGAAGAGGTTGCGATCTGGAGCTCGGTGGAATTGCACTTCGCATTCACGCAATCTCTACCACCACTTCCACCTGTCCAGTGACAGCTGGTGAGCTCAACTGGGGTAGGGCAGCAGTATTTTTCCCCTTTGGAATAACAATTGTCGTACAATGTCAAGACAGATTCTTTTCCGCTCGGGCATTCCTTTCCACTATATTCAACGTTAGATGACTCGACGGCAGATTGTCAGTCTTTCACTTACCATTTAGCCCAAGAGCACCCCTTGGTGACTTCGTGGTAGTCAGGGTCCGGACAGCAGAATACCTTGTATCCGCGGCCGCATTTGTTGGTGTTTCCGTCGTTAGTGTACCCACCACCCCATGACGAACGAATGCCATTGACATTGATTTCTCCCGCTGAACATTGCCCACTGCAATCTGAACTGGAGCCGAGTTGGCCAGTGTCGTCACCGCGCCATTTGCACCCCTTGGGAGCGGCACCGTGAGGGCAACAAATTGGCTTACCGCAGTGCTGTACGCCGTTAGTCCCGAAGACACGTTCCAAAGGGCTCGCACTTACACAGCTTGACTTGCCACATCCAGCATCATCCCAGCCAACAACGGTATAACCGTCACCACAGGCATTCGACATGGCCTCAGTGTCATCCAGCTTGATACACCTCTTTGTGTACTTGAAACACTTCTGTCCAGTGAAGGCTGATAAGTCTGTGATAGTGGACTTAGCGTTTGACTGCGCTTTGTTGAAAGCCTGAAGTGTGTGTGTTGAAATAATACTTCTACCGACAAGGCCGGTATGGGCGGAGTATTTATCATCATCTGGGTTCATCGTCAGTGAGTGTGTTTGTCTGTATAGTGTATTGAGAAGAGTCATTCATACCCAGATCTGACGCCCAGACCATTGCGCCCCCCAATCCAACATCATTTGCCCAATCAATCTTTTGCTTGAAGGTTGTCTTGTCATCATACGAGATCCATTGATCATCATTAAACGTAAAGTAGTTGACTGCAGCCTTTTCGTCGTGAATTGGTGAGATAGTGGCCCTTTTGGTCGAGGTTCCCTGCAAGATACTCATAATCTCATAGTGTGCAAGCATACCGCCAGCGTCTGAACAGGGCCCAGCGTCTGAGGCACCACTAAAGGCACACCCGGGTTTCGTACAACTCTTGTCCTGTAGAGTGAATGCACGACCATAGAACCCAATGCCTAACACCACCTTGGCGGGAGGGATCTTAACTCTCCAAAAGAGATCTAAGGCACTCTTAATCTCAGTTAGATTGGTATGTCCTTGGACAATACTACCAATAGGATTGTCGGAATCCCAGACTCCATGGAGATCGTACGACATCACGTTGATCCAGTCAACATACTTCACCATACTTGGCAAGTCAAACCAGCGGAGATACCAGTATGAAGAGGGGGCAGTGAAGGTCAGACCAAATGTGTTTCCACTCGCATCGAATGTCTCTCTCAGTGTCTTCATCAAAAGGACATAGTTCTTCGTGTCTTCGGGTTTACCGCCTCTGTCGCCTGCGCCCGGATATTCCCAATCGAGATCGACACCATCAAACCCTACCATACCCAAATTAGTAAAATATAGATATATTAAAGGGCGGGAGACATACCGTATTGCCTCATGAAATGCACAACGTTGTTTGCGAAGGTCTTCCGCTTAGTCTCAGAAGCTGAAATCTCCCCAAACAGGGGTTGTGTATCAGTACCGTTGTCGGAGAATGTCCATCCTCCAATACTGATAAAGACACTAATGTCTTCTTTGACAGACTTGATATTAGTCGTTTCTTGGAAGAGACTGGTTGGGGTAGACGAGTCCATCGCGACCACTTCATACGTGGACGGATCGATTGAGGCGAATGCAAAGTTCACACTATGTTGGTTGTTAGAAGCCTTGCCCTTTTGTAAGATAGATCCCAAATAGAAACTGCGCTCACTGAGTCAATGCATCTAACGGCAAGTTGGTCGGTTTGATCTTGTGGCAGGCCTTGCGGGCCATCCATGCCTCGTAATATCCAATAACCTTGTTGCTCAGGACATCCATCGAAGCTTTTCCGCCTGGAACAGGAACATTGAGAACACAGTTGCTTTGACATCCAGCTGTGAGGTATTAGTAGCTGAATAAATTAGTTCAATCAGTAGAGACATACTTTTGCAAAAGTCCGTTGTCGTTCCGCACTTTGAACTCGTTAGTCGGTGATTAACATCTCGTCGTAGGCCAGTTTACAACTTACAAAGCCAAACTCACTACAGCATGTATTGAGTGGGCAGGTCTTGCCTGGTGTTGATGCATCCTTTCCACACTCTGCAGTAGCATTGCAGTTCGACACACAACCCGTACCACAGTATGTCGAACCATAACCACAGTATCCACCAGCGCCGCAACAGGCACCATTGCTGCAAGGTTTACTAGCACTGCAAGAATAATCATCCCGCCGAGAAAGGGTATGATTTGGTTGAGTGCTCACAATGTCAATTGGGGCAGCACGACGAGAAAGGATGTTGGAGTTGCGCAAATATTTTGAGTCATGCGGCCAAAAGAATACACACAACAGACCAAGCGCAATGGCAAAGAAAACCCATAACGAGTGCCCTCGCCTGAGATGGGATCCCTGACCACCAGCCATGGTAGGAGAATCGCTTGTCTCCCAAACTGACTGATTTCAGTCAAAAACAATGGAATTTTAAACAAAGGGAAACCAAAAAGGAGTGTATATCGAAGAAATGAATGACTGGGTCAGTATTGATGGGGGAAAAAAAAGATTCAAAGACAGGCAACTTTCAACAACGATTTATCGGCTTTGGAAAAAGACGCCCTTTTACAACATACCATCAATCAAGACCCAGAGGGAGAAAAATTACCCATCGTTTGATAAAACCACATTTTCTCCTTCCGTACGACTATACAAGTTAGTAGCGCATTCTCTAGTGCACTTTTTAGAAACATCAGAAACATGTGGATTCATATCAAAATTGGGGCCACTTCCATGCGCGCCAAAAAGTCTACTACCCACCATCGGACCAAGGAAGAATACAGCATGGCGTCAAACGTGAGGTGTGGTGGTATGCTAGACCCATATGAGTACAGGTACCTCGCTTGCGCAAGATATGCCCGATGCAGACCAGTGGATTCTCAGTCCTGATTCGCTATGCATATCAAGGGCCTGCTTTTTAGGGTCTTTTTTTGCTTGTCTATTGCTTGATGATATACCGCCAGCCACACCGCCTATACAATGTACTGTAAAAATGAGGGCCCTTCATATACTAGTACAGTCAGTGGACATAAATAATTGCATCCGGCCCCACCACTAGGATTACCTAATATTCTGCCCGTCTAAAGAATCTTCATAAAGTATGATTATCTCTACTATTACTGCACATATAAGAGCACTAGCTTAAAAGTCGAGGAGAAAATAACACAGTAATTTGTCTACAAAAAACCGCTGCTTCCTATACTATTTCTAGGTAGTTCTATCCATACATGTTATACATTTTAGGAAGGCGGTATCAGCGGTGAGTTTGGTGGGGCCAAGGGGTATACAATTACTTATGTCCAGTCACTGTACCGAGGCCAAATAACAAAGTGACACCGAAGAAGCAGGATTTCCACACAGAAACCAGTGACTGTAGGAAGATAATTATACCTATTTTGGCAATTAGATATCTCGTTGAGTCTTGATATCCTGATTTATACACGCCGACTAAGAGATTAACTTTATTTTACTAAAATAATTCGGAGAGGCGTACGGAGTACTACGTAAATGTGGTACTTAGAGAACTTTGATATCCAGGACGGAGGTAGGGTGCTTTCAAGGTCCGTGTAATGGTAATTCGGGTACGTTGGTTATCTGCCGGCTAGAAACCAGGGTCTAGGAATCCAGCAGAAATCGGCTAAGATAAGGCCAAAAAGATATAGCCGCCGAACCTTTCGTATATGCAAACCTGCTTTTGATGAAACAAAAGCTCGGAAGAAGGATCATCTACCGCATCCGATCGGCACGGAGATTCTGGTCCCACTACTACCTAAATTCTCACACAAATTACTTGTTATCAATATTACAGGGGTCGAAAATGTGGATCTTAGTACGGAGCGGCCCGGCCACTGAAACGAAAGTTTCTGCCGGATCCCTCGGCATAGAAAAGTAGAGTAGTATATATTAAATCCTTTCAATTCAACTAGTGGTTTTGAAAACTCCTCCAACCATATAGCCCTCATAATCTGGTATCAGGACCACTTCCTGGCCCCCTAATTTCAGGGAGTGGATCTAACAAAATTGAATGAACAGAGAATTCCTTGCTTTCGGGGTTTGACTCTAGCTCCAGTAGAGAGTATCCCTAGTGTCAGAGGGCAATATCGGTAGAAAAAATATCAAAGGCCTTGATTGGAAAAATGGTGTGAAACTTCCTCAAGCGCGTTGGTTGAGCCGATATTGGTACCCGCACCAGGTAGAAAGTATAGAAAACAACATAATACCAAGGGTTATTACATAAAGTTCGCCGAGTTTGTTTAGTTGGGTGTGGTTTGATTCACTCAATTTTCATTCTTTTATTGGTGATTTAAATTTTGCCGAATAGCTCTACTGACACTCTAGTTATAGCCATCCCACCTTGTTTTGGTTTTGGTTTTTTTCCCCCTCGTTTTTTTGTCTGCTCTATGTATAGCCCTGACATAGGCAAAATGCGTGGGCTTTGGACTGCCATAGGGGCTCTACTGATTCCAGCAGTACTGGGCCAGCAGCCTGTTGGACTTCAGGTTTTTACAAACTATACGGGTCTTACTGAGGTTTGTAAAGATGCACTAGCCACCAACGTGACTTGTCCTCCATTTCTCCTCGTGGTTTCTCCAGAGTAAGTTTAAAAAAGAAACATGCGCATGAGATCATATACTAAAATGAACAAGCAATGCTATTCTGGACGAGGACCAAGTCACTGAATTATGTGTCAATGATTGTTACACGTCATTGAAAAGTGCCAGAGCTACCATTCAAGCAGCATGCACTGAAGATACCGATGTGATTGTCTACGAGGATGTAGCTTATCCAGCTACTTTTATTGCCGACAACTACCTGTTCACTTATGATGTCTCCTGCCGCAAGGACGAGTGAGTGACGCTATTAGTTGGTCTTTATTGAACTCTGATCCTAAGCTTTCCCCCATTAGGTCGGGCAACTACTGCGATCCTCAATTTCTATCTTGGGCAAACCGTTCCGCTGTACCAAGCATGAATGCTTCATGCTCAGATTGTTGGCTGGGAGTATTGGAAACTCAACTCAACAGCCCCTTAGGCTATGACGAGGGAATGGAAGAGACCTTTAGCTCTTTGACATCAAGCTGCATTGCTTCGGGCTATTCCGTCACTTCTCCAACCGCCTATGCGCTCAATGCAACTGCAACGGCAACGGAAACTTCGGCTACTGCCACAAGCACCACCACATTAAATTGCGTGGGCTTGTATCAGGCGCAGCAGTCAGACGATTGTAACTCCGTGGCAAAGTTATTAAGCGTCTCTACCTACTCATTATTGCAGGCCAACAAGCTGGATCTATACTGTCAAGATTTCGCTAGCATGATGAACCGGCCTCTCTGTGTTCCCCCGAAGTGCAACACTTATACCTGGAAGGGTACTGATACATGCGACAGCGTCGTTGGTCCTCTCGGCAACGTGACTATTCCACAGTTCCTTTCATGGAACCCCTATATCAACTCTCTATGTCTTAATAGCGATTTCTTCATTGGATATGAGGTGTGCTTGAGGTGAGCAATTTTGCAGTCCTTCTAACTTCGGTGTATGTACGATATTTGACGGGTATACTAATGTGCTATTACCAGCCCTCCTGGTGGCTATCTAAGCCACAATGACTCCGATTCAGGCTCCACTCCAAATCCGACTACTACAGATGCCACTACTGCTGCGCCAGTTCCAACCAATGCCATAGATGGTAGTAACCACAACTGTAGCCTGTGGTACACGGTGAGTGATCGTGAATTCTCCACTTGTTGAAACATTCCCGTCCGATAATTTTCTGATCGATAAATAGGTCCAAGCAGGAGATACCTGCGCCCAGCTTTCGATAGCACAGTCTATTTCACTGCCGGATTTCTACTTTTTGAACCCAGAGATTGACGCCGACTGCACAAATCTCCAGCTGGACGAGGCGTACTGTGTCAAACCTGTTGGTTCACTTACCAGCTACCCCAACTACACCCTCACTGGGTACTTGCCTATCACAGTCCCCACCGCCACCTTCTCCTCCGTGAATACCGACATCCCCACCACTACAAGCTATCCTGGTTTTGTGTACACTGAGCCCACACAGCTCCCCACTGCTCCAGACACCCTTTCGGGCTGCTATGAATACGCAAATCCCTCTAACATTAACGATCTCTGCCGGGACCTCGCAAGGGACTATGAAATCTCCATGGACCAATTGGTGGAGTGGAACCCAAGTCTCTCAAACAACAAGTCGACCTGTACCCTCACAATGACGTACAGCTACTGCGTTCTAGAGTACTCGAACAGCACAGGTAAGTGATGAGGATAATCTCAACATGCGGATCAATGCTGACCGTGGATTAGCGACGGAGCCTACCCTAACCAATTGTCTTTCCATCAACGCCACGGAGAGTGGTACTGCCTCTAACTGCAACTGTCTCACTTCCGTTGATCTTTATGACTCTCCAGGTATGCGCTCTAATACTCTTCAAAAGGGGGGGCTTTATTGACCATATCTAGATTACACATGCGCCGACATTGTCTCCGACTATGGGGTAACATTGGCAGATCTGCAGACCTGGAACACATGGCTATTAGATGACTGCGACACTGCCCTCTTTTCCGGACTCAATTTCACCGATTATCGCGCCATCTGTATCGGTGTCGGCTCCACGGATGTGACCGCCACTTCGACCGCCACTGCGACCAGCACCGGAACTTCCACCCAGACTACGGCCTCAATTGGTCCCACTCAGACTGGAATTGTTTCAGGATGTCAGGAATTCTATACCGCAGTAGACGGTGATAGCTGCTCGACGATTGCGAGTGGGTCTGGTATCAGCCTTGCGGAGTTCTACCAGTGGAATCCCGCGATTGGCAGCACTTGCGGCTCTCTTTGGCTGGGCTATGCATACTGTGTGAAGGGCCCAGCCTCGACTACCACAACCGTGGGGCCAAGTGCCCCAACGCAAACAGGCATCGTATCCAATTGCGAGGAATATCACACGGTGGTGAGCGGGGATTCATGCCCCGAGATTCAGACAACATATGGAATTACATTTGCACAGTTCTACCAGTGGAATCCCGCGATTGGCAGCACCTGCAGCTCTCTTTGGCTGGACTATGCATACTGCGTGAAGGGCCCAGGCTCGACTGCCACGGCCACGGGACCAAGTGCCCCAACGCAAACAGGCATCGTATCCAATTGCGATAAATATTACACCGTGGTGAGCGGGGATTCATGCGCCCAGATTCAGACAACGTATGGGATTACATTTGCACAGCTCTACAAGTGGAATCCCGCGATTGGATCGGATTGCCAGACCCTAGCAATTGGGTATTCGGTTTGTGTGGGAGTTTCTGCCGAGACTACCAAGCGGAAACGGACGGAAAACCCCGACCGATTGAAGTCTCCGAGAGAGAAAGAAGGAAGAAGACATCTACATCTCCACAACCGGGGTGTTTAGGGCACATGTTCCCTGACTAATCCGGCAGTTTTTGTTGAGATTCTAGCTGGAGATAGTTTTGGAGATATCTGGTGAACTAAAGAAAGACCCTTAATCTGCTGTAAAATACCAAATATTACCGTCGGGTATTTACTATCATTTATCCCTTTCAATTTATTTATCGACCTGAAACATTGGGGTCTGTCTCCACTTATATACCGTGATCTGTATCTAGAGCTATGGAGTCCGGACTACATCCGTAAACTGCAGTGGATCACACATCAATGCAACCTCAAGAAGATAGTGTATTCTGTTCAAATTAAATCCTCCATATGGAGTATGATAGATACAGATTCAGACAATGAATAGATCAACATAAAAACGTACTCAAGAAAAAAGCGGGAAACTGATAAGTGAAGATATATATAGCCCCAGGGGGTTAAAGGGGAAAAAATCGGTTGTATAGAGGGCACTTGAGGGGGCAATCGAAGATCTCAAGTCAAATTTATGAACGCTTGTTATTTATTTATTTCGGTGGAATACCTATGTAGGTAGGGCAATAATAGTGAATTAGTTATCTCTCTGTAGTTTTCATTGGAGCTATACAGAATGGTATAAATTACGCTACGTGACTTGTGCAAAACCGGCAGAATTCAATGTGATCATCACCCGACTTGGTCTACTCCGTACCACAGCTAATAATATTGCCCTGGACCCAACTTGATTTTTTCCAAGTTTTCTTCATTTCCTTTTCACTAAATGATTCCAAGACTTTTACGGAAGCAATTATTCAGGTGTTCCAGCCTTTCCACTCGTCCTATCCGTTTTCCTACCAGAACTGGCCCTTCACAGCTCACCAAATCATTCTCAAGAGCAATGAGTTCCTCACGCATTCCCGATTATGAAATCGAACAACCATCAAAACGGGATCCCAACATGGAAACATGCTTAAACGCCGCAGACAACCTAGAACGGCTTCTCCAAAAAGACGGATTCACAAAGTGGGGCTTCGTCATCTATCGCTGCACATATCAAAGCCAAAAAGACTGGGAAAGATTCATGGCTCTCTTCCTCCAGTCCGTCACAGAATACCTCGAGTACAGCAGCGGCCTAGATATGCTAGAAGGGTTTACCCCAACGGTCTTTGAAGACCCCTCATTTGATGGTGCGACCACCGCTGTTCTCCGCACCCATTTCAGGACGTGGGCTACGACTGCACCACTGCAGGAACAGGGTGTCGATACTTTCGGACATTTGGGTCGCTACAGGTTTTTTGTCATGGTCGACCAAGAGGCGCTAGAGTCTGTCTTGAACTCGAACCCGGATACTTCAAGGCAGACCGGGTTTGTTCGTCTAGTTTATGGAGACTGGGAACCGGAGGTAGATGAAGATGACAATGAGTCAGTCTATCTGGATGAGGAGCTTGAGCCCCTGGAGGGATGCACGCTGGAGGATGTTGGTTGGATGAAAGTGCCTTACGATGAGATACAGGGGGTTGGGGCCACGGCTATGTGCGATATGCACCACTGGGATATGTATTATGCTCGTCCTCCGCAAATACAAGAGTTGAGTTGACCTCACAGTATCCGTAAGTGGGACCTGAGGTTGGTTGAGAAATATAGGATTCGGATTGTGTATTTTGAGAGCTTCAACGGCATTGTAAGTTGCATTTGTAGGTCTAAATAATTATCTTCTCCAACAAAGTGAACACATTTGTAACTGTTGCGAGGTGTGGGAGCCTGCACCCCTAGGTAGACAGATCTCTCTCTCCACCCCCTCTCTCCCTCTCTCAATAAATCGAGTCTCTGGTTTCTTCCTAATAATCATAAGCCTGCAAACCTAGCGCTCGCTCGTATCCACTATTCGTATAATGATAGGTTCTTTCCACAAAACATAGGATGTTCAGTGCAGGGGAAACAAGAGAGTCATCACCATTTTCCTGTCCTCGTTGGTATCACACTTGGTGACCTCATATTCCTATGGACGGTAGATAATGTTGACTTCACAGTTTAGCCGTCAATACACCTAATCCATCCGCCGCTCTTCGTAGTGACTTCCAATATTTATCCTTTTGCTGAAGAATCTCAAATCCTTGTTCTGCCCATCGATCCTCCCACGGGGGGAGTGAGTAACCTCCCGTTGCCGGTGCTGGAGGGCCAGCTAAAGTTCTCAAGAAATCGAAATACTCCTTAAACTCGGGCTTTATTTCGTGGAACAAGGCTGTGTGCCCTTTGGATTGAAGTCTCTGGACTTCCCAAACATCCTGCTCTTGTGGCGTTGGTAAGGGCACCGCATTTCTTCCGGCAAAGTATCGGGCAACGGCAACTGCCTGGTATTCATAAACCCGGAAGCTGATCGCAGCGCGGACCTGGCCGACGAGAGCCAAAGATGGGTCCCCGATCTTGAAAATGTGCTGGTAAAACCCTGCTAGCCGGTTGTTGGGGGTCACGGGGTTTGGGACAAGGAATGGATAAGACAACCTGTATTCAGTGGCGAAAATGATCTTGTCCACGCTCTCCAAACGGCTGTTGTCAGAAAACACGACATTTACCCCTTCTTCGGTTGCTTGGATTTCTTTGACCGTTGGCCTAACATTGACATTGGGTAATTCCCATGCGGATTGAAGCGCTTCATTCTTCCCTCTCTGAGACAGCTCGAGCGGACCTTTCACAATGGCATGTAAATCTGCGACAAGATCTGCCGAGGAGACACTGCCTCCAACAACTACCACACGCTTTTTCACATAGTCGTCTGCCTTGCGGAACGCCTTTGAATGCTCGAATACGGTCGGATAGCGCGCAAAGGCAGCACTTAGACCTGGAACGAAAGGTACAAAAGGCACGCTGTAATGTCCCGATGCAACAATCACAGCATCGAATTGTTCTTCCCACCAATAGTCCTTAGGGCTGTTACCATCCCCATGGCCGGATTGACGAAGTGTTAAGGTCCATTTTTGGTTGCGCTTTTCAAGCCTTTCGACCGTTGTATTGAGAGAGGCAAGATGAAGGTACTCCTGGAACACATCTTCTAGATATTTTCTCACCACCCGAAATGGCCGGGTTGGGTTGAACTTCCCCAAGTGTCTGGTTGACGATGCCGAATTTATGTCGGGGAAGGGAGTGTGCGTGAAAGCCATGACTTTGGCCCCGACATTACTGTCAAGGCTCTCATAAATGGCTGTACGAGATGTTACATCTTCAGGAGAAGGGGTTTTAAGCAGCGGAAGGCGACTTGGGATTTCGTGATCTTGACTGGAAGGCTCTTGGGATGGAAATAGATCGGGAGTCTCATCATATTGCCAGATTCCTCCAATGTGACCCCGTCGCTCGAAGAGACGTATAGTCTGGAAAATATTTTCTTCTTGCAATGCTTTGACGGCAGAAATGCCAGATGGGCCAGCGCCGATTACAGCAACACTTTGAAACCGGGGCACCATGACAAGAAGTTGTCTCGTAGAGTGGTTTTGAAAATGGAGAGTATGTTCAAAAATTATATTGCCGTCTGCGAAATATTATCAATAGGATGTGAGCCTTTTTTTTCATAAATCGGGGCATTATTCGTATCATATACAAAAGTAGGCGATGGTGAAAAAATACTCCACCTTGTCGGAATTGAAGCTAAGGACGTGATGGGTCAATATTGCTTGACACCATTTGGAGGGCGACTTTTCATTGGGAATAGCCTGCAAGATGTATTTAGGCTGGAGTTGACGCAATTTGAGATTGATATGGTCATATTTTCCATCCAAACAACATTCAACTATGCCGGTGATATGGATATCTTTCGGTGTATATACATTCAACGTCGTTGGACGAATTTCTAAGAGATTGGTAAGCATACAGCTGCATTGCGAATAGGAGAAGTTGCACTGCGAAATTTGAGACTCCATGGCATACGAAATCTCACAAAATTCATTTGGCGGCAAGCACCCATTCCAATTCACTCGGTTCTTTCCAGTAGTTCGTGTCGCTCAGTGTAAAGCCTAGTTTTTGCAATACCTTTGCACTCCTGGTGTTTTCTCTCTCCGTCTCAGCGACGAACCTTTTGATCCCTCTTTCTTCGATAGACCACCTCATAACGGCTTTTGAGGCTTCCTGCACAATTCCTTGCCCCCAGAATTTTGGCGAGACACCATAGCGCAGCTCAACCATTTCATTCCAAGATGGCAGCACAGGATCTCCAGGCTCTCGTGGCGGCATCGAGGTGGTTGTAGCATCACGGAGTCCTGAATAGCCCACCCATTCGGAGGCAGCAAGATGGACATTATTGGGCCCCGCGACCCGAGCATAGTCATTGCCTTTGAGTATGGTGAACTCATCATTTTGTGCGGAGTGATTGCCAGGCTCGAATGTGGATGGTCCGCGCAACCCCACAGCAAAATCACCTAAATTGCGCTTTTGCCAAGAACGTTCGATATCACGCGTTCGCATCCAATCACGCGTCTCTTCATCGTTCCATGACCTGGCTGGAAAGTGATGTCCGAAGCCCATTTGACAGAAATCTACATTTGCGTGTAGCTCGGCATAAAGCGCCCGGTATGAGTTGAAGGAGATTGCTGTGGTTGTGGGAACAAGAATAAATCGAGGTGTGAGAATAGCAAATTGCTCGGAAGAGTCTCCGTTGTCTAAACCCATTTTGCAAATGATCAGGCTTCAATATAAATTGAATAAAAGAATGGAGTCCGAGCTGTATATTTGGAGGAAGAGCAAACGAAAAGGGTTGATTTTTCTCCATTTGGGTCACGTGTACGTGGGCTACTTTTCAACCTGATATTCCTGGCCATGTGATTTCTTCCGATGTGTAGACTCCTAGGAATGATTGTATTCCAGAAGCGAAAAGAATCCCCTTGTTTTGTTGCGATCGCGAATCAAGTACACCCGAAATTGTTACTATCAACTTGAATGTCGAGGCGGAACCTGTAGTAAGCTCTGGTGGCTTCAGCCTTAATGCCAACCGATAACACATAACCGCATCTTGAAATCCCCTCTCCACTCCAGTCGATTATGGCTATAGTTGACTGCAGCATGGTTGCTCGTTCGCGAACTGGAGTCTAATATCTTCACCTTGGTAGCCGACAAGCTGGACACCTACCTCCAACCATCCAGCCTTCCAAAGTTGGAAGATATGTGACTAAGTTTGTGATATCGTGATTCACCAACCATCGGTTGGGTGTAGGAGCCAACTTTTCTCGCATTACCTTGCGAGTTGCTATCACAGTCTGTATAGCGTGTGAATATGTCAAAAAACGCCGAATCTGATGAAACAATCCGCCCATGGCTTGGCTTCGATGTGAGGCGACTAGTCAGATGTGATAGAGATGGGATGATTAAACTGAGTGTGTTGATAGCATTTATGTTCAGCTGTCGCCGTCTAAGCCACTTATCTCCCGGGTACTAAGACCACATACTATTACCGCGATATTTCTCTGGGTTTTCTTTAACCCAACCAAAATGACAACTGTTGAGAATTCCAGCTCATTCTCAGTAACTAAAATGGAGAACCGGGGTTTCAACACTGCATATATAGCTATAATTCGGAATACCGGCTCGCTAATCTTGGCCCCACGGAAGTAAGGTTAGCACCACCGATGTACGGAGTAGATACATCACTTAGGTCTTTCCATATATACAATATGCAGTAATCGTGCCAAGCGCTCGTACCAATACAGTACCCTGTATTGGTGCACGCCACTCAACGATAATTTTCAGTCAACAATAAATCTCATTGAATTCGAAGCTATATTTACTTATAATAACCATCTTTATCTATATACCAAGTCAAACCCTCCCTATATATAGCTGCCATTCTAGCTTCTCGCTGACTTTCAGCTAAATCCAACTGTTCCTGGGTGCGTTGTTAAGCTTCTAAGACCTTGGCCTACCGCTCTTGTTACCGCTTTATTCTTAAGGAATCAGCTTTTTCTCGCTGCGCTATCTTCCGATTCGCACAAATTGGTGAGAGTATAGACTTCCTAGACCTAAGAATCGACTTATTATTTCTTAGCCTATTTACCCTCGATTTAGTAGCGCGGGCTTTCTCTAATTCCCCCTTCAATATAGCAACCTCTTGCGATAAAAGTAGATTTATATCAATACTTCGCTTGATATACTTCTCTATTGTCTTCGTGTAGGTCTTAATTTGCTCCAAATCCTTAGTAAGCTTAGTTTTAAGCTTCTAAACCCGCTTAATTGCATTAGGTAGTGAGTTAGTTAGACTGCGACATCGCCCATGGACGGGCGGGTGGGCATAGCCCATGGGCCTTATGTAAGCGGGAAATGGGCCCTATGGAGAGGCCTATGGACGGGCCCTACCCTTAGGGCCCACGGGCCGTGGGCGTCATAGGCGCCCGTGGGCCTTTTTAGTAAGCAAAATTTCTTGACCTTGTGACTTGCATTATTTGTGCAATTTTTCTCTGTATTTTTAAGTAATTTAATTATATATACATAGTAGTGGTATTGGTATATAGGTTTGGAAGCCTTGATATAATAATTTAACACTACTGTCAACTTTCTAACCTCGGTTAGAAAAATGAGCTTTGGACGCCTTTATATAACGATTTGATACTACTGTCAATTTTCTAACCGAGGTTAGAAAATTAAGCTTTAGAACCCTTTGTAAAATAACCTAGGGACTTATATTTATACTAATACGACACAAATTGATTATCACTAGGCTTACTACGCTTCCTTACTTCTCTTAAACTAGGGCGCCTTTCAGTGCCAACCTTATCTCTATAAAGAGGGAGATAAGGACTGCTCTTATCTTCGCTGTCGATAAGCTTACTTCTCTGTCGCTTCCGCGTACTTCGTACGATAGAAGGACAAGGAAGCTAACTCTCTATTATAAACTCGTACTCGATTAGTTCGACAGGATTATTATCCTTAGAATCCTCACTATCGCTGATTGGTTTAGGTATATCAGTAGTAAGCTCAGCCTCTCTCTGCTCGTCTGCTTCTTATATAGAATCTAAGTATATATCCTTATCGGGTAGTTCTTCTATTTCAATATTAAACTGGGTTTTACACCGGAATATTATAATATCCTAGATTGTCTTCGCACTCAGCCGCCTATATTGGTAGTGGTAGATATCCCGTGCTGAATTAAATAGACGTTTAACTCCAGCGCCTATTGTAGGAATTAAGAGAATATCGCGAGCAATACTTAAAAGAATCGGGAATTTATTCTTATATTCCTTCTAGAATTCTAAAGGATCGACCTTTCTCCTTACTAGAATAGGTATAAGTATTCCCGCTTATAATAATAGTGATATAACGTACGCTTTTTAAGGTATCTAGAGAGTTTATACTCTGATATTGACGGATCAGAATAAATATAAGGCCGAATATCGAGGAGAGCGTCTAGGTCACTTATACTGGCTAAGTGACGGTTAGGTGTTTACTCTCCTCGTAGGGACTGTCCCTAGGTATATCTTTAGGCGTAAGGAGCTATAAACTAGCGAAGCGTTTCCTTATACTGATTACTCCAGTTTATATCGTTCTCCGATATACCCTACGCTTTACTTAAGAAGAAGTGAAGCTTATACTAGGGTATAAGGATTGTTCTAATCGCGTAGAGATTACTATAGATCTCTTTTATCTTTGTATAGTAAGATATAAGCTTTACTATCCTAGTATTAAGGGCTTATAGTATCGCTTTCTTCTAGGGTATAGTTTTCGGGGTAAGTTGTGCGATAGAATCCTCGAAGTAATCGAAGAGGGTATTATAAATACTAAAAATATAATATACCGTTATTTCCTTAGTCTTTGAAAGTACTGTAGTAAAGCGGTAGAACGGCTCTGTAATATATAGAAGGTAGTCGACCTACCGCTATTCTACCTTACTGAGTTTCTATTTCTGAGTCCCAATATTGTTACAGTATTTATTATATAGCTTACTGAGGCGTTTCGTATAACGAAGTATTAAGAAGGTTGAATTCTAATATATACGGATATCTTAGATAGGCGTAAGTTTTGCTCTATTGGTTTAGAGACAGAAGAAATTATCACGACGTTAGGGGCTTATATTAATAAATACAGTAAGCCCGCGAATCTATATATTTATTAGGTATATTAAATAAGAAATAAAGCGATATACTTACCTTAACAATAGTTTATACAATAACTTATTTACTCTAGGATATACGGAGCGATCGAGCTTAGGCTTAGGCTTAGATATCAGAAATATTCCGATCTGTAGTATCGTTCTAGGGGTCGACCTTCACTGATCTAAGTAGCTCGCGAAGGCTTAGTTAGATAATATATATAAGATAAGGGATTCGAACAACCACTAGGTTATTCGGTAGTTTAAGAGAGTTAATAGAGTCTTAAACTACCTATACTAGAGTTATATTATTAGAGGCGTTATCTAATATAATCGCTAATATACGATCAGTAATATTAAGCTTCCTAAAGATATCTATAAGCACTTTACTTAGATTTATACTAGAATACGCCCTATTAAGTGGTTTAAATCTAAGTAGGATCTTACAATAATTCTAGTCTCGGTCGATAAAGTACCCTATAATCGCTATAAATACTTACTGGAAAGGCGATATCCAGCAGTTAAGGGCGATTAAGAGCTTCGTATCTTATAGTAAGGTAGTGAGGATTATATACTGCTTATTATCGACCAATTTCTTTAGCCGGCGTTAAGTAGTGCGAGGATAGAGTAGAGTAGGCTTAACTGGAGCCTTTTGCGCTATTCGAATTAAGGAAGCAAACTGCTTCCTCTTAAGGACCCGGAAAGGTAGGTTTAGACTAGTAAGATATTCAATCTACTCTCTTTCCTATTTATTATTCGAGAATCTTAAGATATAAGATAATACTAGTTCCTAATATATAACTTATTAGTTATCTTAAAGGGTATAATTATAAAAGACTTACCGGTATATACTATATAGTCTCTTTAATCGACTGTTGTATAGACTTACTTTTACCACCCTTTTAGTATTTACCTGAGGCTATATACCGCTTTAGTGTATTGGTACCGCTTTACTTTACGCTTAGATAAGGTAATATAGCTCTATATATCCGATATATAACTAAAGGTTCGCCTATAATATAATATACTACCTAGTCGAAGTTCTCCTAAATATCTGATATATATTTTGTATCCTATTGTAGCTGTTGTGTCTCAGTATCGCTGCCGCGTATTGTTGTACACCACTATTCGATAAACTTTACTTTCGAGGCGTTGTTTATCGCGTTATAGAGGATAAACTGCTTTCTCCGATTAGGGCCGACGCGTTTAAGGGAGCAATTAAGAAGGGCCGGTTAAGTGAACTTAGACTCTATTAGTGATATAGAAGTCTATTAGCTATTAAAGAGACTCGGATCAATATTTAGATTAAGGTTAGAATTAAATATATCGCTAATATAGGAGAGGTCTAGTTAGGAGCTTAGAGGAAGTAAAGAAGGCCCTGCGGTATAGGTACTAGGTTGAGATATAGTTTATATAATATAAGGGATAGTGCAACGACCAAGGGAGAGTATATAGTCTTAACTTACAATAGGTAACTTACGACTGTGTGAAATAGGGATCACTAGTAAAAGGGGTACGTTATATAGATCTAATAGATTATAAAAAAGTATATACCCACTGTCCTCTATAAGCTGATTGGCTATAAGGGTCTTTG